ATGTGTCACAAATGTCCTGTAACGTGTTAACCAAGAAGGGCTAGAAGTTGTCTACTGACCAGTGATAGCTCAGTCAAAAAGCACTTTCCCGAAGTTAATACTTCTCTCCCATAGTGATTTTCTCTCCTCATTCTGGCTATCAACAGATCTTGATGTTTGTCCCACCCTAAAGCCCAACTCCAGTCTATGCCTCAGGACAAAAGGCGGGGGGCAGGGGGGTGGACAGTTGGGGGGTGCTACAGCAGAGAACACAGACCAAAGCATGCTTTCCACAAGCTCCCTAATTCATGTATATAAATATGCTCTGTCTAAAAGGCAATGGCCACCCACTCCAGTACTCTCGCCTGGAAAATCCCATGGATGGAGCAGTCTAGTAGGCTGCAGTCCATGGGGTCACTAAGAGTTGGACACGACTGAGCAACTTCAGTTTCCCTTTTCACTTTCCTGCATTGGAGAAGGAAATGACAACCCACTACAGTGTTCTTGCCTGGAGAATCTCAGGGACGGGGGAGCCTGGTGGGCTGCCGTCTATGGGGCTGCACAGAGTCGGACATGACTGAAGCGACGCAGCAGCAGCAGTAGCAGCCTGCATGTAGGCCATGGTGGGATCCCAATTTTAGGCAGGCCACTACTTAAGAATCAATAAAGGTTGGTGGGCTACGCACAGACCCCACTTACCAGCCATGTAACTTTGGCTGCTCTTTGGCTTGTGGGATCTTAGTTCCTTCACAGGGGGATTGAACTTGGCTACGGCAGTGAAAGCCACAAGTGCTAGCTAACCTCTGGACCGCCAGGGAATTCCCTATCTATGCCTTCTTTATACTAGGGATCATCACAAGCCTACTGTGCCGATTAAATGTGTTATTTAAGAACACATTTAGGACAATGTGAACTGCCACAAGTGAACACTATCATTGTAATTAAAAACAGTAACAACAACAACAAACCAGCTACTGATCTGGTAAACTACTCATTCTAAAATGTTTGGCCTTGTATCTGAAATGTACAGTTTCAGCCTCATTCTTACTACACCACAGATCCAGGCTTGTCTCACCCACTTTTCCTTACTGTTTTCTTAATCTGACACTTTTCACTCCTGCCCCTAGATCTTATGACCTCTTGTACCTGGAACACTTGCCACGTCTGGCTCACCTTAGGTGTAGGTGTCTGCACCAGTCTCTTGCATGGTCTCCAACAGAAGACTCCCTCGGACCACTTCAGGATCGCCTGCTGAGTCCAGGAGGCTCATTAGTAGCCTGGGGCTACCCTTGACACCTGACTTCTCTCATTTCCTCAGGTGATCTAGCAAAGCATCCAGATCTCTGCGAATCTTTGAGTTTCTGGACAAGGGCATAACTTCTGGTCATTTTCCTGTTCTCCTCCAATGCCTTTCATCTGCGCCAGAACTTAATAAATGAGTATTTTGGCTTTGTTTTGTTTGCCAATAGATGGTTTTGAAAAGAAAGTTGTCCTTGTCGGAGGACTACACAGGCCTGAGGGCTGCAAGACTGTCAAGTGTGTATATGCAGATTGTCTGCCACGATGCAGTTGATGCCTTGTCAAACTGTGGTGAAACTGCAATCACTCCCCAGGCAGCTGCTCCTCCATAAGCCATCTTCCTAATGATGATGTGTTCAGTTGGACAGTATTTCCTTTGCCGGGGCTGCCACAACAAAGTACTACAGACTGGGGGGCCCAAATGAGCGAAATTCTTTTCACAGATGTGGAGGCCAGAAGTCAAAGGTCCAGATGTCAGCAGAGCTACTTCTTCCGAGATCTTTCTCCTCAGCTTGCAGACACTGATCTTCTCCCTGAGTCTTCCCTCCACGCCTGTCTGTTCAAATTTCCTCTTCTATAAGGAGACCAAATCACACTGGATAAAGATGTGCCCTGAGGACCTCATTTTAATTTAATCACTCTTTTGAAGACCTTATCTCCAAATACACTCACATTCTGAGGTACTGGGGTTAGAACTTCAAAACACAAACTTTGAAGGAACACAATTCTGCCCATAACAGATAGCATTTATGTTCCTGAAGATATGTTTTTGAGTCTTTGACTCTAACATGCAGCTTGGTGATCAAGTAATAAACGTTTACATACTTGATAAGAAGCTGACAGCTCTAGCAATGTCTCTGTTCCTCAAGGAACAGTTAAAAGGGTGCTTACTGGGAAGTGTGTATATAGGTCAGGAATTTCTAGACTTTGGTCTTGAAAACTCAATTCATGCCAGTTTTGTCTTACTAAAATCCAGCACTTCTTGGGTCATAAACAGCCATATTTTAAGCATAGAAACCTATGCTGGTAAATCTAAGGGATACCAGCCAGTGTTTACTGTATGGTAAACACTGTGCCAGCCCTTTGCATGGATTAACATCAAACGATACTATGAAATGCGAACTATTGAGTAGTCTCCGCTTACAGTTAAGTAAACGGAGGCATAGGAAGGTTACATAACTTGAGTATGCTTCCAGACCATCATGCAGCAAAGCCCAGATGAGAGAATGCTCAGCCAGGCTCTGGAGCCCACCCTTATAATACCCTGCCTCTGCATGAGACCATTCACCCAACAGCAGCTGGATCCGAACAGCAGCAACAGATGAGGCCACACGTGATGGGCAGAAAAGGCTCAGAGTAAAATCTTGTCAAAGAGGCAGCTCCTTTTTTCCTCATCTTGTGAGAAAGACTTAGAATGTGCCATTTAAGCATGAGGTAAAAAAAGAAATGGAAGACAGTCATTAGCAAGAAAAAACAGCTTCATTCTCACTTAAACTATTTTTCAGAAATCCTCTCGTTTTTGTTTGCTTTGACATAACTATCTTGGGCTTCCCTGGCGGCTCAGACAGTAAACAATCCACCTACAATGGAGACCCAGGATCGATTCCTGGCTCCAGAAAATCCCCTGGAGAAGCGAATGGATACCGACTCTGGTATTCCTGCCTGGAGATGTCCATGGACGGAGGAACCTGGCAGACTACCATCAATGGGGTCACAAAGAGTCAAACACGACTGAGTAACTAACATTTTTAACTATCTTGGGCAGCATTCCAACTAGCATCTGGAGATGATGAAGCTTACCTCAGCAGGAGTCAGAGTTAAACAGAGAAAGGGCACTTGGAGCTCCGGCACCAGTGGCTTCCCGGGGACAGGAGTGGCTGCCACTAGGACGCCTCTCCCAGCTTGAGAGGCTGAGCGTGGCGTTGCCTCAGCCCCACCAGTGCTCCCTGACGGCGGCTCATGACCTCATGTCGACAGCCACCTCCAACCAACACCACCTCACCCACTCCCTTGGCTGCAGACCTGGACTTCTCCATGGAGGCAGCAAAGAAGAGGCACTACCTTAGGAAGGAAGAGGGCAGGGGCGAGAGCTGGAGACGCAGGAAGCACGATTTGTCTAAGCACTGTTCTGCGCAAGCATGCTAAAATTTAATTTCAAAGCTAAGGTACTTAGGAAATATTTTCTTCAACTTCTGACCTTAGAAAAACTCAAGCTGGACCTCATTTTCCCATAAAAGCCTCAATCATCTTCTTCCACAAAATGAGATTACAAGAGGTATCTCATTTTTAAAAAAGTTTTTATTTCAATCCTTCCTAGAGGAATACAGATTTGAATGAAATACATTCATTCCATAAATACATTAGCAGCAAAACCTTCCCACCAGAGTCCTCTCCGCTCCAGCCCAGAGGTTGTGCCTTAGAGCAGGAGAGCATGTTCCATCAACCTCTCCACTCCAGGCCAGAGGTTGCGCCTTAGAGCAGGAGAGCATGTTCCATCAACCGCTGACTTCAGGATGTGTTCGCTTCTTGGTGAAAGCAGGCTATACATGAGAAAGACCAGGTGACAGATAGATGGGTAGGTGAATTAAGCTGGAACCCTGAAAATACATACACGTGGTGACCATTCGACCTTCTGCACTTTCCAAATCCTCTGGAATCCACCGTATTTAACTGATGAGGTATTTCATCACAGACAGCTGGGAGCGCCTAACCTTGCAAATGCACCAACGGATCTTCTGAGTTGGCAACATTTTGATGGTGTCTTGACCCTTTCCAGAGAGTGTCCAAATAGAAAGGATCACTCCCTCCTCCCTTCCACGGGCCGAGGTACCTCCCTGTCAGTTGGTCCACATGCCCTTGCTATCAGGAGACAACGTAGCAGGCATTACTTGGCTTGTTACACCTCCAGATACTCTCTGTCCAGGTGCTAGAGGCTTCACTGGAGACAGAGATGTGTTGAAACCTTCCAAGATCTCTCAGAACAATCAGGTCTCTCAGCAGCTTCCATCAGAGCACAGGACAGAAGGCCTCTGGAGAGTGGCCCAGGCGCCTCTCCTTTTCTTCTCTCCACCAGGGCCTGCTGCCTGACTGCTCCTTTCTCACCTGCCCTCTAGGAGCCTGTGAGATTCTGAGAAGCAAGATCCACCTTCAACTCCCCAGCAGCCAGGAGAGATGAAGGCAGGTGGTGCTTTACATCTGTGAGCCGCGGTCAGAGTAACAAGCTTACACTGTTACGTTCCAATCCACTCTGGGATGAGTTTAAGTCACAAGTCTGCATAAAACATAACACCAGAACCACAATCAGGATGACTGTGACACAGGGACCAAGTCAACGGTTGCTACCAAATCAATGGGTTGGGAGAAAAATGAAATAATCAAAGAATTTAAAATAAATCTCATTTGATGGGCAGAGGGCAGCTCTGACTCAGGTATAAATGCTATCACCCAGATTATCATGTAAATAAAGAATAGCTCTCAAAAGCTGACACCTGCCTCCCCATACACCACTTAAAAAGAGGACACGTGCTCTTTTCTCAATCTTTTTAAAAGTGTTTTCATTAGGATACTCTTCTATAAGTGCTTTATCCATTCCCATTTAGTCTGTTTTGACTGCTGGCTGGAAGGAATCAAACTATTTTATATAAAAACCATTGTAGTGAATAACTGGTTATGTGTTTTTCCCTTTTGCATTTTCCATCCAGAATAGTCAGCTTCTCTCTCTCCTATTTATGTGCAGAGAGAGAGTCATCTGCTGGATACACAGCACTGCCTATGCGACAGTCCTCTGTCCCCACCGAGTCCGCCAGCTCTTCCTCCTCTGAGTCGTCTTCCTCCTCCTCCTCCTGTGCTGATGAACTGGAGGTGGGCCCTTTGCAGGTTTTTAGGTGTCGGGTGAGATGGTATTTGGTAAGATAAGCCTTTGTACATTTTTCACAGACATAATCCCGTTTTCCTTCATGTGAATTGAGATGTTTCTTTAAGTGATTTGTCCTCAAGAACAGCTTGTCACACTTGGGACACTTGATCTGGCGTTCTCTAAGAGGAACACAAGGAAAGAACAAAACAAAACATTTGATTTGGGGTTACAAATACAACTGAGGCACACACTTACTCTGCACAACCTCAAGACCTTTGTCTGAGAAGCTCTACCCAACTAGAATCAAACTTCTCTATAGGAGATGCATCATAGAGAACAGTCATAAGACATGTGTGCAGTTTAAACAGCACAGCCTGATTTTGCCTGTTTTAGACTTCTAGGTAAATGGAATTGTACTGTATGTATCTCTTTTATGTTTTTGCTTCTTTCTGAAAATGAATCAAGTTGCTTCCATGGCAGGAGGCTACTTGGGAACACACCACAACCTGGCTGTGGCACTGGCTCTGTCTGTGGTTAATGGGTACTCTGGTGGTGGTTTTTTATCACCACAGGCAAGACTGCTATGTGAACATTTCTACACTGGTATGAGGGTCTGTTCCTCTAGGGTATATACTCAGGAGAGGCACAGCTGGATCCAAGGATGTGTACACCTTCAGTTTTACCATGATGATGCTAAGCTGTTTTCCAACACTGTTGTATATTTCAATATACACGTCCATCAACAGCCATTTCAGAGCTCCTGTTGCCCCCACATTCTTACCAACTGGAAGACTCAAATTTGAAAATGTTTGCCAACTGATCAACATAATGGTATCTAACTATAATGTTAACAGTAGCCTGTACAATTATCCAATTCAAGATGTCAACAGCGTCAAGGCTGGAGTAATAACTCTGGCCCAGACATCTTAGAGCTGACAAAAAACTTAGGGATCATACAGAGTACGAGTTTAAACTTTTTTTAAGCATCTGAACCCTGTGTCTTAATGAAAATCCAACATGTTAAACAGAAAAAATGGGGCACTCAACCCTGACTGAATCTGAGACCCACTTGGCGAGCTTTTTAAAAATACGAAGACCAGGGCTCTGCCCCTGATCGGAATCCCTGGAGGTGGGGCCTCGGCACCAGTCATTGTTTCTCACATTTCCCAAGTGACTATCATGAGCAGTGTTAGGGGCTGAATACCTAAATTGGTATGCTGATGCTTCAGCTCATAACGTGATGGAATCTGGAGGTGGGGACCTACGGTTAGAAGAGGTTATGAGGATGGGACCCCCGTGACGGGGTTATGTCCTCAGAAGAAGAGAAAGAGAGATCAGAACTTGTTCACTCTCTCCTCCACCTGAGCAAGAAGGCAGCCAGGAAGAAGGCCCTCATCAGAACCCAACCATGCTGGCACCCTGGTCTCAACTTTCAGACTCCAGAAGTTTAAGAATATAAATTTCTTTTGTTTAAGCCACCACTCAGTCTACAGTATTTTCATGTGGCAGCTCAAGCTAATATAAGCAGCTAGATTATTTTCTTTTTTTCCATTTATTTTTATTAGTTGGACGCTAATTACTTTACAACATTGCAGTGGTTTTTGTCATACACTGAAATGAATTAGCCATGGATTTACATGTATTCCCCATCCCGGTCCCCCCTCCCACCTCCCTCTCCACCAGATCCCTCTGGGTCTTCCCAGTGCACCAGGCCCGAGCACTTGTCTCATGCATCCAACCTGGGCTGGTGATCTGTTTCACCCTAGATAATATACATGTTTTGATGCTGTTCTCTTGAAACATCCCACCCTCGCCTTCTCCCACAGAGTCCACAAGTCTGTTCTATACATCTGAGTCTCTTTTTCTGTTTTGCATATAGGGTTATCGTTACCATCTTTCTAAATTCCATATATATGTGTTAGTATACTGTAATGGTCTTTATCTTTCTGGCTTACTTCGCTCTGTATAATGGGCTCCAGTTTCATCCATCTCATTAGAACTGATTCAAATGAATTCTTTTTAATGGCTGAGTAATATTCCATGGGGTATATGTACCACAGCTTCCTCATCCATTCGTCAAGCAGCTAGATTAAATGACCCCAGAGAGCTCTTTCAGTTTCAACTATGTAAAACTATATATAAAATTTGATAATTAATGTATCTAATTTTTAAAATTTCATACTAATAATGAAACCACTTAATGAAAACTTTGTTTTAAAAGGTCATTCTGAGAGTCAGGAATGTAGATCCAGACTCCTTTGGTATTTTAGTGTTTCAGGTTGCACTGTGATTACAAATCAGATAAAAGAGCTGATATGAAAGCAAAATATTTATCTAAAACCCATAATAAGAATAAAAGTTCCATTTTTGATGTATTTCTAAATAAAATACAAGCTAACGTTTTCTCCCTCTTCTAACATTTGCTAAAGGCGATGGACCACAGAATCTGCTCTCTTCTATTTGTCACTGTAACTAACACAGGTTGGACAATTAATTACAGTTGGATTCATGCAATAAATTCCTAATGGGCTGTCCAATATTTGGCCTTTTCCTCCTTCCACCCCCTTGTCCTGCTGCCAGAGTAGTCTCTATAATAAACAGACAACTCACCATGACATTCTTTCCCTTAAAATCCTTCAAGGCTTGTGCAAGAATGTGAATACATTTAACATCACTGAACTACATACTTAAAAAGGGTTAAGACAGAAAAATTTATGTGTTATATACCATAATGAAAATACACACAGGCACACACAAGCACAAAGCTGAGTAGTTCCTGGTACATGGGGAGAAAAAATGCCCCATGACTCTCCATTATTCCCAGAATGAAATTTAATTTTGAACTGGATAAAAGGCTCTTCATTATTTGGTTGCTGCCTCCCTCTATCGCTCTCACATACATGGGATGCTTTCACTATAGAGAATCAGTCTTATTTCACAGTCTTTTTCACATTCATGTTTCTTCATAACCCGTTTCGTCTGTCTAGAAGACTGTTTCCTGAATAATTCTAATTTACCTTAATACTTAGCTCCAACTACCAGGAAGCTTTCTCAGGACACTCACAGACTGGGTGAGGTAACCCTCTTCTTTCAGGATACTACACTTACTCTAACATCTGCAACACAGCATGGCAATTATTTACTCTTCTGTTTCTCTTAATGGCCTCTGAGCTCTTTAAAGCCAAGGACTATTCTCATTTTTGTATTTTCACCACTTAGCAAGTCGCTGGACTTCAAGGAGGTACTTAAAAAGTCGTTAATTAAATGAAATTATGTTTCAAAACTACAAAAGAAAAAAGGAAAAAGAGAGTAGAAGTGAAAATGAGAAAACAAAGCAAGCGCGTCAGCTCTTTCAGGATAAACCAGAAGCTTAGCTTTGTGGCCTATGTGGAACACAGGGGACACAGGCACCACAGCGGGAGACAGACAGTGAGCCGGCACACCCAAGCCGCACTCATTGCCCAGGCAGCCGTCGGCCACGGGCCACTCACTGTGTGTGGATGAGCACGTGCTGCTTGAGATCCTGCCTCCGCATGAACAGCTTGTCACAGTAGTCACACTTGAGGTTCTTCTCCCCCGTGTGGATGACCATGTGGGATTCCAGGTGAGCCTTCTGGGTGAAAGACTTGTCACACAAAGCACACCTGTAGTTCTTCTGACCTGCACATTAACCCACACAGTCACACTGTGAGTCAGGCGCCACGAGCACGCTCAGCATGGAGAGACACAGTGCACAGGTATGTGGCAGAGGCAGCAATAAAACAGAACTGACTGGTAACCGGAGCCTCACATTCTAGGACTGTCTACCTAGAGACACTCAGAGCCCCTGAATTATACGCTGCAACGAGAGCTAGAGAAGCTAACAAACCTGACCTATGACTGCTTACCTACACACACACTCTTTACTGTTTACAGCTAACACATGATACAAGTTCGGGGGGGAAAAATCACTTATAACCCTAGGGCCTAACTTAATTCAATCATTTTTTTAAAAAACCTCAAGAATTCTAGTACTTGTCCACAAGCAAACATATTTTTACAATCTAAATTTTAGTTTTCTTTTTTAAAATACATGTCTTCATAAACCAAGGATGAAATAAAATCTTTTTAAGAATGCAGAAAAAAAGTTACTCAGGGGTTAGCAAACCTTTTCTTATAAGCCATTCCAAATATTAAGGTTTGTGGGCCACACACACTCTGCTGGAACTACTCAGTCTTAATGCAAAAGGATAAGGAACAATTTTACCTTCAAAATTTTGGAGAAAATGACCCAACCAAGAAAACCAAACTAAACCAGTTATTGTTATAGTGCATATGATAGAAACTTATGCCTAAGAGAAAGGGTTTGGTGTGCATGGGATTTAGAAAATAGAAACTCAATAAATTCTGGTGGTGTTCAACAAACAATATTCAAAGGATAGAAACTGGCTCTGGCTAGTGACAGGGGTGACCTCTAATAGTACACTCTAGCTGTTTCTGAAGAATTACCTTCAGGTCCAAACACACAGATGAACTCCCTGATTATTAAATGCATTTTCCCAGTCACATTCAAACTATGACTAGGCCACCTGGAAGATGGAGCAAATTAGTAATATTCTCTGAGCAGGCAGTTATTCCACACAATTCATGACCCAATGAAGTCCTCCTGTCAGCCAGCCAATTCTCTAACATCTGATCTCAACCCTATTTGCCAGACTTGTCTTGCTGCCACGCCCTTACCAATTTCTAATTTTTCAAACTTCCACTTTATGGTCCAAGACAGCTTACCTGTGTGTATCTTGAGGTGGGTCCGCAGGTTGCTGGGATCACTGAAAGCCTTGCTACAGAAATCGCACTTGTGGGGCTTCATACCCATGTGACCCATAAAGTGGACGTGAAGTTTGGAAGGAGAGATAAAAGCCTGGGGGCACATGGAGCACTTCCACTTCCTCTCTTTGCTATGGCTCGGCCCGTGGCTGCTGCTGTGGCCGTGGCTAGGAAGGTGGTTATGGATGTGGCTGCTCAGGTGGGCTTTGAACTCAGTATAGGAACTGCACTCCTTGCCACAGTTACAGAGGTGCACATCTGGGTGTTCAGGAACACCTTTAAAAAAAAATTACTCAATGTACTTACTTCAATTTTAAAACTCAAATTTTAAAACTTAGTGATTGTTGCTTCTAATTTCCCCTTCTATCAAAATTTCCAACTTGCCCACTAACTGTAAAATTAAACACATTTTGTTCAATGCTCTAATCCCAGCATCTCAAATAGTCTGTCAGGCACATAGGGAACACCTAGTAATCATTAAAGTATAAGGCATCTTCCTAGGCAAAAAACTGAAGATTTTGTTGCACGCAAACTCGTGTGTATGTGTGTGTCAGAAGTTTTATTACAGTGAAAAATGACAGAGAATGCTTCTGACGCAGACATCAGAAAGGGGACAGAGTATCATCACTTGTCATTATGACACAGTGCAAAGAAAGACTATGAAGGTTAAACCAACTCACAGCGTTGTCCTTTATGAACTTAAAACTGTAATGATTTGAAAAGGAACTCAGGAACTTCAAATTCCCCAAATCAAAGTCCTAACGCAAAGTTCATGCTGCCTGGCTGGTATGGCTGCCTGGTTCTTCAGCACATGAAGAACTTCACAGATCTTAACACTTCTATTGTAAGGTTAATACTCTGCTTTTACATACACAAAGGCATGTGATTTGCTTCTGCTTACACGTAAATCATTACCAAAACTATACTACTGATCCTCCGTATTTTTACTGTGTCACATTCATGACAAACAAGTCTTATATATAAACTTACCAATTTGCTGAGCATAATCCCGGCTGTAATAAAAAAGCAGTTCATTTTCAGGAGGGATATCTTGGGAGGTGCAGAAGTAGATTTTTCCATCATGGGGATAAGCCACCAAATTCTGTTCTTCCCGATTCCTAGGTTATCACATTTAACAAATCAAGCATATTAATTTTATATTATTTATTTACTTAAAAAAATTTTTGGCCACACTGCGTAGCTTGTGGAATCTCAAGTTTCCCATTCAGGGAATGCCCATCAAGCATATTAATTTTGAAATATATACTAAACACATCATATCCCTATAGCAACATCTTATACGAAAACTTAGATGTACTATTTCTCTGGGTCATTTCTCCAACTACCTATATTACCCGTTAGGGTTAACTTGTTTAGAAACAGAATTCTTACTTCAATACATCAGCTCATTGCTCTTTATAGTCAGGAACACTCTAATCTATTGCTAGAAGAAAAGTAAGTAAAATGAAGTCTTAAAACAATATGACAAAGACACAGAAATAGATAGCTCGATAAGAATTAACACACCAGCCTAAGGGGTTGATTGCATGCATGTGTGCTAAGTTGCTTCAGTTATGTCCAATCCTGTGTGACCCTTCAGACAGTAGCCCTCCAGGTTCCTCTTCTCCATGGTAATTCTCTAGGCAAGAACACTGGAGTGGGTTTTCATGCCCTTCTCCAGGGGATCTTCCTGACCCAGGGATCAAACCTGCATTTCATGTCGCCTGCACTGGCAGGTGGGGTCTTTACTAGCACCACCTGGGAAGCCCAAGTGGCTGACCAATAGCCAATATAAAGAAAAGGTACCTACTTGCAAATTCGATGCTAACTGTGTCATTTTTTATTGAACTGGTAAATGAATAAACTGCTCATAAAAAAGGGATAATTTCTATTTTAATTTATAATCACCATTAGTCAACAACTACTGGGGTGAAGAAAATAAAAAGCCTTAGGCTTTAAGCTCTGTTCAGATATCACTGTCACTGGATTCTTCAATTCTTTCCTATTTTATTCAAAGTTTTCTACTGAAAAATATCTGAATCAACTATTTCTTGCATCCAAGTCTACTCTCACCTGGCTTTGCGCACAAACATCATCCAATTACATTCATTTTCGTCAGTTGTAATGATGCAGAATTCTAGGACACCATTGTGGTATATCTGCCAACAGAAGGCAAACATACACATCAAATGAACTGACAAGTTCTAGCAATAATCTCATTTACTTTGCAGTAGGTACCAGCTTTCCTAGTCAGTGTGAAAATACATGGTTGTCTTCTCATGTGTCTGTCATTTCACCAGTCACCCTATTTCCAGCAATACAATAAAGACCACTAGAGACCTACAGTTAGTGCTCAGTATACAGAATCACGTTGCTCTTGATTAGTCACATTTTGGCTTGACTGGAAAAGACATAAAAAACTCTAGTTGTCTTCATCATCCACCACACAAATGGACATTAAGGTCAGAGAACCACCTCTTCCTATTTTTTGCTCCAGTGAACCTAGCATTCCTGTGTTCTCATCTGGACAACACAATTAAAGTCCCCAGTGCCAGTGGCACTTCACCTTTTCAACTATCACAAGACCCACTTCCGCCTTAATTCAATGTTAACAAGCATCATTCCCAATCTACTAAGATTCTATACAAACATGTAATAGGAATAGGTGTTTACATCAGAAACTTAAGTTTTCAGTCCCTTTCATTAGAAAATTAGAGAAATAATCTTAGCTTCCAAGTCTAGAATTGTTTCCCAAGCTAAATATTTGAGGAATGCTTTAGCTGATTACAAAATAAGACTTTCAACATATAAACAAAGTCCAAAGCTTGAGCTGCCACAAGTAATAAAAATGAGTAGTCATTGGATTACTAACAAAATGGAGACTAAAACAGTTTATCTTCTATATTCAATATCTGACATTTTGTTATGTATTATAATTTGGCTACCAAGAACAGAAAGTAGTATTCAGTGACTGATGGATGAATGGCACTGTATGAATCTTGGCTAAGTTTGACTTTTACATCGCTTTTGACTACTTCATTACTATAAAAGCATCCAAAAGTCACAGAAAAATTTCAACAACACTGACCTTCCAGATATGATTAACCGCCTTGTCTGTCCATTCTGCTACTTCCATGGAGTGACTCTGCTGGCCAATGAGAGGCCCAAAGCAAGTCCGAACAGGGATGGTTTCTCCAGTCCACACACCTAGCAATGGAAGGACACCAACTACACAATCAATGATTTAAACATCTAATAGGATAGAGAAGAGTAGCTTAACTCATGCAAAGAATCTTATTTTCAATGAATCTATGAACTGCTGATATTCTAGCACCCCTGAAAGGTAGGTAAGTCTTATGAATTCTATTCTATAAATAAGGAAAAAGTAATGAATAGATTAGACTGGGTTCAGAAGAAATAGGCAGAGTAAGAAGCAGTATCAGAAATTTCTGAACCACTGTTTATACACAAGGAACCAACCATGTCCCTCCAAGTTGATACATAAAAAGGACTAGACAACATTATTATAAAAAAGTAAAGCAATTACTACAAAATAAATCAAACTTTTAAGATCACTTGTGCTTAAAGCACCGCTCTTTATTATCTAAGAGGTTTAATGCTTTCAACTGACTGATGCCTAAGCTACACCTGAAAGAACAATGAGTCTAGTATCGTATTTTCAAAGAATGGCACAAAAATTCAGATACCACGTTACATTCCAGTATGGATAAGCATACTGTGGCACTCTGTATTTCTTACTCTCTTTTCCTAAGGAGTATTAAGCAATTTATAAACATTTGATAGAAGTATTTTTGGTGATAAAAAGTTATAAATGGTGAATTTTCCGTGTTTTATAAAAGAAACTAAGTTTCACGGAGTGATCTGTCATGATAACTGACAGTGGATGATACAGCTGAAAATAAAAGCCAAGTCTTCAAAGATTCAGCCTTTGAGGATTCTCTCCTCTAGTCAATCCTGATCCTAAAAAAGGGGAACTTTTCCAATAAAGTGTTCAACTTGATTTAGTGCTATCACCACTGGAAAAGTATTCCATAAAAGGATAAATCTTCAGCCATAAATTGACTTTTGGATCAAGCAAGTAATCTCTAAAGTATACACATCCACTTTTACAGCTCTACCCTACAAAGGAAGAAGAGACTTTGATCGAGTTTTATGGTTCCAGGGTCTTACCAACATCTGCTCCCACCATTGACTGGCGGAGAACAAGCTGCTTTGGGAGAGAAAGCCTGGCTCTGCTCTCTATTGGACTGTCAGGAACAAAAGTCACTGGTCCGTGATCAGGGCAGTCTGAGGGATAGGCTCGGTCACAGAGAGTGCACCCTGCAGATGACAAATGTGAGACATAAATGGGGTCAGTTCCAGCAGACAGATCAATGACAACCTGCTTTATTTAAATGTGATTATTAAAATGTAACCAGTATGAAGCAAGGTTCTAGGAGAAATGCTCTGATCAAAGGGCCACTTTATTACACTTACATGTATATCCACTCATATCCTTCTTTTTTTTCATTTATTTTTATTAGTTGGAGGCTAATTACTTCACAACACACTCATATCCTTCTTCAGCAAGATTTGATTTTTTTGAATTTTTTTTTTTAAATACAACTGGACAAGTGTCCTATTCAGTGCATGAGAAAAACACTGATCAAAAAATAACACTACATTACTTCAAGAATCAAGTGTGTTATTTCTTACATTAAGTGGATAAGTAATTCCTTCAGATATGATGTTCTGAAGTCAAAAAGATTCAGTCTACCAAACTCTAAGAGGAAAGTGAGTTGAAACACTGTTGGTGATGCAGTGACAACACAGCACAACGGAGTGAGAGATGCTTATACCACCGCTCGCTCCTGCTTCACTGTTTACAAGCTGGCTGACCACGTTTGCATGACAGGTTCTTAAGGCAAAGAAAATATGCAATCTGCTCTTTAGGACAGCAGGTAGGATCATATTCTTGCAGACATATTTGTTTAACATTCTTAATTTCTTATTGTTCACATGGTCTTTTTCTATTGTCAAAAAAAAAAAATGTTGACTTCATACATTGTTCTATGCTTATTGTAACTTCACATTTACAAGCTCAGGAGTGTCCTCCTTCTCCACACATCTTTTGCTCTTTTACTTTCCTTTCTCCTTGATAAGGAGTAGTATTCATGATCCTATTTAGTCACTGACTGTTTTCAAACTTTCCAAATTCATTCACAAAATAGTTGTAATACATAAACCTTAGAACCACAGTCTTCTAGGTGCCTTTATTCCCCTAAACAACGTATTAGAAATTACCACTTAAATGGCATAAAATATCAGTTAAGTTTACATATTTAGCCAAAGTAGTAATAATATATTACTTCTTCAAGTACTGCTTGATTTAAAATTCTTTAAAATCAGACTAGAGATCCCCTACACTCTATGAGGACTTATTCTCCAATGCTTTTAATTATAAACCATGTTAACTCTTCAAACAAAGGAGATTCAGATTTCATACAGCAAAAAAGGGTCACAGGCTTCCTTCAAAGAGAATACCAATGGCGACTAAGTACGTGTAAGATGCTGAACATCATTAGTCATTAAGGAAATGCAAATTAAAACGAGATGCCATTTCACACCTACTATGATGGCTATAAATATGCATTTTTTTTTTTACAAATAAGATTCAATATTACTAGGAAAAAAAAGGAAATCTTGGCAAACATGTAGAGAAACTGGAACCTTCATACACTGATGCTGGGAATATAAAATGGTGCAGCCACTTTGGAAAACAGTCTGGTGATTCCTCAAAAAGAGGAATTTCATTCTCATATATATCCAAGAATTAAAAACATTCATTCATTCAAAAACTTGTATGTGAATGTTCATAACAGCATTGAATATAATAGTCAAAAAGGAGAAACAAAATGTTCATGAAAAATAAATGGATAAACATTAAAATGTGGTATATCCATACAATGGAATATTATTCTGATACATGGTATAACATGGATAAGCCATCATAACATTATGCTAAGGGAAAGAAGCCAGGCACAGCCATATACAGTAGGATTCCATTTATATGACATGTCTAGACTAGGCTAATCCATAGATAGCGAAGTTTAGTGTTACCTGAGGAAGGGGAGTGGGGGTGAGAGTGACTGCTAACAAGGTTTCTTTATGGAGTAACAAAAATTTTTGAATTAGATAGTAGTGATGGTTCACAACCTTGTCACTATACTAAAAACCACTGAAGAGTACACTGTTAAAATGTGTATGTGAATTATATTTCTTCTGAAAAACACTCAGAAGTAAGAGGTAAGAGGTTCCACTTGCCCACTTGAAAAAGGATCATCAGGAGACTTCCCCGGCAGTCAAGTGGTTAAAACTGCAGGTTTTGACTGCAGGGGGCACAAGTTTGATCCCTGGTCAGGGAACGAGGATCCCACATGACACTAGGTGTAGCACCCTCCCCACAAAAGGATAAATAGACTGATTTAAGCCACTTCTTACCTTCTCCTAAATTAATGACCATACATTAATTATAATCCTAAATTATTTTAAAATTATAAATTTGAGACTTTAAAGGGTTAACACAAAAGGTCACCCCACTGCTTGGCTTCAGTAGTACCAGAAGCTTCCTCCTACTTTTCTGACCATCCTGTTCAACTTACTTTAGAAGCTCTTCCTCTGCCACTGTACCTTAGCATACCTAGCCTTGTCATTCCACACACTTAACTAGGATAGGATTTCACCTCACTTCCATGGCTATGATTAACACCTTAATGCTGAGGATTCCTGAATATTTCCAGATAGATCTCTGAGCTCCAGATTCAAGTTCTCATTCGACATCTCTAGGTATCATTGAACACTGATATCAACATGTCTGACACTGGACTCACCTACACTCATCAAAAACAAAACAAGGGACCTCGCTGGTGGCCCGGTGGATAGGAATCTGCCTGCCAGTGCAGGGGACGTGGGTTTGATCCTTGATCCAGGAAGATTCCACATGCCTCGGAGCAACTAAGTCCACGGGCCACAACTACTGAGGCCCATGATCTAGGACCCGTGCTCCACAACAAGAGAAGCCACAATAAGTAGCCCACACACTGCAACCAAGAGTAGCCTTCACTGGCCACAACTAAGAAAGACCTCACAAAGCAAGAAAGACCTAGCGCAGTCCAAAAGAAAAAAAAAAAAAAATCCACTCCACCTCCATCATTCATTATCCTAAGGAATGGTCACAATCCACCTAGTTTCCCAGCCAGAAACTAGTAATTTCTCCTTAAACCTTCTCTCCTCCAACTTCACCCAATCAACAAGATCTACTGAGTTTTCTGTTAATATTTTCCACTTTTTCCATCATTATCTCTATTCTAGATTGGAATACCATGACCTTACACTTAAACTATGGCATCGCCATCTTTACCTCTCTGCCACTAACAAGCCTGCTACCCTCACACAGCAGAACCCCTATCCCAACCCTCCCTCCTCAAAATCCCTGTGTGCTCTTTGAAGACCTTCTGTGTTCTGGCTCCTACTTCTCTCATCACATAACCCTCTCCCGACCTCTGTTTCTTTTTTTTTTTTGGAGGGGGGGCGTGTGTGTACTTTTTTTGGTTGTACTGTACCACATGTAGGATTCTAGCTCCCTGATCAGGGATAGAACTTGTGCCCCCTGAAGTGGAAGCTCAGAGTTCCAACCAATGGACCACCAGGGAAGTCTCTCCCCACCCGTTTTATGCTTCAGCAATTCTGAACCACTCACGATTCTTTCAAACTACAGGTGTCAGTTCCCATGGGGGATGCTGCTCCTCCTGATTCTCCACTTTGGACATGTCTGCTCTTCAGGTCTGTGCTAACTCATATGTAGTCTTCCCTGTGCTTTCCACGGTCTGGTGAGATGCTCCCCCAGCTCAGGCTCCTTTAGCACCGTACACTTAATCCCATCTTTCCACTCAGTATACCACAACGCAATAGCCTGTTCACTGGCCTATGCTTCCCTTCAGACTGCAGGCTCCTTAAAGCCTCTTGCAGATTATTTTTTATGCTGCATCTAGTACAGAGGCTGGTGCTTACTAGCACTCAACATGTTTACTGCATGAATGAAGCAGTAGTGACACCAATAACTCAACTATTTTTATATTTTGTTAGTTATATTTTGTTACTATTGCCCCATAAAAAGAACTTTTACATGCCAAACTATGGTAATTTATATGCATTCTGAGCAAAAAAAAAACCCACAAAATTTCACTTGTATCTACTTACATTTTTCCAGCGGAATGAAAAATTACACATAATCTAATAAATTTGTCTTATGTAGAAAAAGCACATGGCAGGTCACACAGAACACCTTACTGAAATTTACTTATATAATTAACTCCGTGAAATCTTGGGAAATACCTTAAGTACTACTAGGCTAAGCTTATCTGTAAAATACAGAAATGATTGTTTCCTTACTTCAGGAAGATGCTTTAAGAACCAACAGAACATCTATATATCACTTGGCTTATTTGAGAAAAAGGCACCACATTAACAGAAAGGACAGTACATAGGCAAATAAAAGTTTCAAAGTCCAGTTACTTTCTATACTCTCTTAATTAACACCTGACCTTGAGACTAAACCTGTTAAGAATGATGACCCTTTCTATCAGTATCTCCAAAAGAAAAAGGCTAAGCACACTCACAAATTGTAAACAAGGTTGCCATATTTTCCTTGTTTGAATTGGAGTCTTCCATTTGCAGTGAAGGTGGTACAAAAGAAAGACTGTCTGAAGACACATCTACATGACCCGTCCCCATGGCAACCTCCTGGGTGATGGAGGAGACAGCCACAGGTTCTAGGCTGAGGCCAACTTCATGGAGGGAAACGGACTCTAGGGAGGCGAGGTTGTGTGAGGTAGAGAGTGCCACGCTTACAGAGTTGGTGCTCATGGCCACGGTGTGGATGGAGTCACTGAGGGCACTGTCAGACATCCCGCTGACCCGGCTTGCAATGTGGTCTGTCTCCATGACCACAGGGAGCTCCAGGCCATTCCCATGCATGGGCATCACACCACCATGTCCCACAGTCTCTGCTGCAAGGTTGCTGCCCACAGAGTCCACAGACAGAGGTTCGTGACTTCTGGCGCCATTTGGGATCTGGGTGTGCTCGCCTGCAACACCATCCATCGTCAGCTCTTCTGCCATTCCATCTGTAGAGATTGGGCTGGTGACCCTAGAGACGTTCTCCATGGTGATTGTTGTGTCCAAGGCCACCTCATGACCATCAGCGGGATGAAGACTCTGGGCGCCATGTGTGTTCACAGAGCGAGAGTCTATTGAAACAATGCCTGGTTCTAATCCAACATTTCCATTGGACTGATAGGGATCTAGCGCTGAAGGGTTATTGGCGATAGATAATGCTGTATTACCATCAACATTTATGGAGTTAGGGTGAATATACTGAGGAGGTGGTCTGTCAGCTAAATAAGACAAAATGCCTGGGAAAAGGAAAAGATGAGATATCAGGAATTTTTCAGTGTATTAAGAATTCCAAATGCTAAAAGCTATTTTTCTTACAAATTAACTAAAGTAAAATAAGCTCCTATCTATTTCTTTGGTTTGATATATACTTTATAAACAGCAACATAATACATCATAATTCAGTTTTGTGAAACTCAGATATCATAAAAATTAACTATGTTCCTTTGAAATCACTAGAAAATTAATCATTTTTGCCTTTAATAATATATACAAGGTTGGAATTCCTGAGTCCTAAGATGCTGAAATTTGCTCTATAAGAGTTAAAAGGTCAAATCATTTAAAAGCAGATAGTGCATGTGAAAAATAAAATTTAATATAACTAAATTTTTATTTATTAAACTATCAAGAAAACATTAGGCTCTATTCAAAATAAGTCACAATTATACTTGCTTTATTAAAACAGAAAAAATATTTGAACATTCCTGTTAATGAAGATGTGGTTAAATGGTACATGCGGCATCTCCAGTAGAAGACCAGATTTCTAAAACGTCTTTGAAAAGTATTGAGTATATATAATAAAGACCTCAAAAATATTCATGCCCTCTTGCATTAAGAAACTCCACTTATGGTAAACGGCCCTAAATGCATTTTGTAAATAATATACCCAAAGACATTTACATAACAGTAATAAACAAACTGGTAAAAAGTGCCCATCAATAAAGACTGATATAATAAACCATGGAATAAAGTATCAGTAGAAGATAATGTGTCATTAAAAAGGATAATTATAAAAACCATGTAGCAGCTGGGGAAAATAACTATGTAAAAATAGAGAAAAACATTAAGTGAAAAAAAGGGTACATAACTGTATTGCAAGTACTACAGTCTTCATTATGGAAAACAGTAAAAACCCCTCCACAAAAATAAAAGGTAGGATGGAAGTACACCAAAAAAATGGATAATGGGACTATGAGTAATTCCTCTCCCTCTTTATTTGCTAAGTTTTCTGAAATGAGTATATAGTATTTTAGAATAAAAATTCAGTAAACTTTATAGTAAACAATGACACTATAGCAGGACATGTGGTTGGTAGGAATTACAATTGGAGAATTATAAAAACTGAACCAAGAAGGTGCTGGAAGAGACAAGGGAGAAACTGTGCCATTAAGAAATTAACCTAAAAAAAAAAAAACCAAAAATTAACCTTAGTCAAACTGTTATATTAATAATGTTATCTATATGTTCTAAGAGGAGAAGTACATAAATACAATCTTCTTCCCCACATAAATTAATATCTAACAGTGACAAAGAGAAAAAAGCATCATTCAAGTCTTCGAGAACTGAAGTTAAGAGTCAGCTGCTATAAGGACTTCCCAGATGGTCCTGTGGCTAAGACCCCACACTCCCAATGCGGGGGGGGGGGGGGCCTGTGTTTGATCCCTCGTTAGGGAACTAATCCCACATGGTGCAACTAAGATTTTGCACGCTGCACCTGAAGATCCCACATGTCTTGACAAAGATCGAAGATCCCAAATGCCACAACTAAGACCCGGGGTATCTAAATATATAATTAAAACAAAACAAAAAAGGGTCGGATGTATTATTTCTTGTAAATTCCCAAATAACCGTAACACTTACCAGGTAGAATGGTCCTGAAGTAACTGCTCTCAAGGTGGGGGTAAGGTGGTGGAGGTAGGGTGTAGTTTCTTTCAGGTAACCCACACATCACCCCTCGATCCCCAATACCCATTGGGAGCATCAGAGACAAAGCAGAAGGTAGAGAGCTCAGGGAGGGACCCAGGTTTGGAATTGCCACTGGCAAGCCTACAAAAAACAATTGTTTTCCTCAATTAAAAGTAAGTACTTTAAAATTCTGTAATCACTGGCTAAACTCTTAGGAAGGTTTTTGCAACAGGCAAAAATCTCACCCAGTAGCCCTTTACATCCCCAGATAGACAGTACTGGCAGACATCCATAGACAAGCCCTAAATTTAGTCTGCAAGTCAGTTTTAAAATGCCAACTTGATTGTTCAGTTATCTGTACTGCTTTTGGGTACAAAAACATTTAACTACAACTTAAAACCTAGTTTAAATATAATTTAAGAAAACAAATTATTTAGACATAAAAAGAATGGGAAGAAATATACGCCAAATTTCAAAGATATATATCAAACTTCAGAGTGGTCTCTGAGTAGTGACAGTACAGATTTTTAAAAAATATTTTTTATTATACTTTCCATTTTATATGGTGAAAATGTATCACTTTTAAAAATTTCACAGATATGCTTCTACTTGGGGAAAAAACCTAAAGTTAGATGTAAAACTGTACATAAATATTTTGATATAATCTTTTGCACATATGCTCTACTTCATGATTTTTAAAAATTTACACATTATATCCACCTTGGACTACATCTATCCACACAATGCTGAAGTGACCCTGTGGCTTCCCATCATAATGAACTCACCAACTTGGGCGGTGCAGATTTGCACTATTTTTGCCAGTGGCAGTATTTTTAAACAGGTTTTTCCTCCTTAATAAGAGTGTCTACTAAATGGAATGCCTAAGAAATAAACAAATGAGTTAAGAACTAATTTTTTAAAAATTTCTTTTGTGGACACTAAAAGGAATACGGAGACCCTAATTTAGATGAATCTTATTTAACTGCTACATTATAGTAATTAAGCAGGTAATTCTCTAGAGAGAACTATTTAACTTGCAGATTTAAAATATCCTTAAGCATTAACTCATATTTTGATAAAAAGAGTCCAATACATTACAATGTCAGAGACCCGCAAGAATCACTAGCTTACCGCTGTAAGACTCAAGAGCTTGCTTCTTTTCTATTTCAATAGAAAGAAAAAATTCAACTAGGCAGATAAAAAGGTTTTAAACGTACAGTGATGGGGGAAAATGAGCTTTCCCTACACTATTATTCTGTCCGAGTTCTGAGGCTCAGGGGGAGGTTCCATGTAGGAGCTTCATCTCTGAGACCTCCTCTTTGGCCATAATTCTAGGTCTGGAGCATTTGTGGTTAGTGCCAGTTTCAGGCATGATAGAGAACAAAGCTGAATTTCTCATGTGTTCTAGGAAGAGTTAGTACAGTAACTCTGATTCTCTTCTAATAACCCAGGGACAGAATGTCAAGGGCAAGAACAGATGAAAGGGCAATCCTAGACAAACCGCCAAGTCAACTACAGCTCTGGACGAAAGGGCACTGACTCAAGCAGGACAGCCTGCTGCCCCATCGCCTGCTGGAGCCTCAGCGCTCCACCGAGACTGCTGCCGCAGGTGAAGCCGCCACTGACCTGCGGGGCTGCTCCCGTCCTCTCGGAAAGGGGCTCTGACCCGCTCCACTGGGAAGGGCTAACGCAGTCAAGTGCTGAAATCCAGTCCCTCTCCCTTACCACTCACCTGGAGCAGGGATGGCATTGTGAGTGGGTGAGGCAGCCAACCCCAGGTGACTCCCTGAGACTGGCAAGGCATTGCTCACGGAGGATGAAGTCAGCTGCTCCATCCCCACAGGACTCAGGTTCATTTCATTCATCCTAAGAAAGATTAGACACAACCAGTTATGCAAAAATTGCCTCAGTGACTGTTTATGGTACCGAAGAACCTAAAACAATAGTGGTGCGGAGATTCGACTTGATCAACTACAACTTCATTTCTAAGCCCACAGCTCTCCAATATTCTATTGATAAGGAAATTGGGATTCAAAGATGTTAACTTGGCTGTCATATAGCAGAAACAGGATTTAACTCAGGTGTGCCTTGCTCCAAATACTAAGCATGCTATTTATAGCAAAGTTTGCAATCCTTAGAGTACACTGGCAAAGAGGCGTTTTTGTGTTTTTAATTCACCTGTTTTCTTTCACAATATCTCGTTTCTCCAACTGGTTTATTACTTGAAACCAAGACTTGTTTTATCTTACTCAAAGAATGTTTACTAACTCTTTTCACCAGAAGGTAAAAGTGATACTGGGCCTGAATTAGACTGCAAACAGTGTGAAGAAGCACCGTATCTTCTCCATGGATCAGCATCTTATTAACACTCTATATAGATACCTTAATAATTAATCAATAATCTTAGTAAAATCTTCTGCATAACAAGGTTCACTAGGTAAACTGTGCTAGATACTTTATAAAAAAATTACTTCATATTAGCTCAGTAATTCTTCAAAAGAAGGAAATCGAGGAAACTGAGGCTCAAAGAGGGCTCATCATACACCCCCAATCACATTGCAATTAAATGGAAGAACACAGATCATGCTGCCAAACACTGTCAAAAAGCTTTTCAATACATCAAACTTTTAAAAATCTACAGACCATTTTTAGCAAGCTGAAGAATCTGAGAACTGCCTTTTCTATGCAATCCATCTTGCACTGCCATTAGCAGTATCATTAGAGTAACAGGAACACTGAATAAGACCCTATGGAGGTTATCAGTAAGTATTAGTTCCTATGTCGGAATTTAAAAGACTGTCCAAAAAAAAAAAAAGAATTTAGAGACTGCCATATCATAAACAATTTCAAGAGGCCAGCCAACAGGTTATCCAAAGAAGGTCACCAGGAACCACCAATCCTTATATTGAATATCACAGTGATGCAAGGTGTTATGTGTGTGCCTAAGTACATGGGAGGAGTGAAGAACAGGAAGGGGACCAAGGATCCACATACTCCCTAGCAGTAAAAACAAAACGTAATAGATTTTTAACCTGAAAAATGGCTACATCAGCTATGAATCAACATGAAAATAGTAATAACTAACACTGATTGCTCCCTTACTATAGGTGTTAGACACTGGGCTAAGTGATAACATGTAATGATCTCACCTAATCCTTATAACTGGGTTTCCCTGGTGGCTCAGTGGTAAGTAATCCACCGAGCAATGTAGGAGACAGGGGTTCTATCCCTGGGTTAGGAAGATCCCCTGGAGAAGGAAATGGCAAACCATTCCAGTCAGTATTCTGTTTGGGAAATCCCATGGACAGAGGAGCCTGGCAGGCTACAGTCCATGGGGTCTCAAAAGAGTTTGACAAGACTGAAGGACTAAAACAGTAACAACAATCCTTGTAACTACTGTGAGGTAGGTATTATTCTTAATCCATTTTAGAGATGAGGAAACTGAGACTAAGAAACTTAACCCCAAATTACATTAACTAGTAAGTGGCAGATTTAACTCCAGATCTGCCTAATTTACAGAAGTCACAGAATTGGCATTTAAATCCAGGTTTACCTAATTTGAGAGAGTCAAGTTCTTAACTAAGATAATTACAATAAAAGAACCATTTTGCCTTTGTCAGTCAGTTCCAACACTTAGGATCTATGTGTTTACATAGTGGAGTACGCTTAATGTCTGACATAAACCTATTCCTCCTGCATTATTCCATATTCACAGACTTCAACCTTAACCCAGGCCAGGTATCTCATAAACTTAAGCTTCCAGACATTAATAAAGTGTACAAAGCTAACTGAGGACACTACCCCGTACAGAGCAGGCACTCTGATTTGGATGAAGCAGTGCAAACTCATTCTTACTAAAAAGACAACTAGAATCACATCAGCAAACGAGGTGCACCTTATGAGGGACAGCACATTAACTGTATTTAATTATGCCATACAAGGAAGATTCCACATGCTGCCGGGCAACTGAACCTATGTGCCACAACTACTGAGCCCGCACTCTTTACAGCCCGTGCTCCGCAACAAGAGCAGCTACAGCAAGGAGAAGCCGGTGCACCACAGCCAGAGTCGCTCCGGCTCACTGCAACTAGAGAGAGCCCGCATGCAGCAACCAAGACCCAGCACAGGAAGGAAGGGAAAGGAAAGGAATGTAGGAATTCCCTGGCAGGCCAGAGGTCGGGGCTCTGTGCTTCTACTGCAGGGGCCATGGGTTTGATTTCTGGTCAGAACTAAGACTCTGTATGCCATGAGGAGAGGCAAAAAACAAAAATTAAAAATAAGTGACTTGACAGAAAACAAAATTCTGTAAAGCAATTATCCTTCAATTAAAAACATAATTTAAAAAAATAAATAAAAGAAGTGCAAAACTCCATCCAAAAGACACCATAGCTCCCATAAATTTGAAAGTTTCTGGGTTTGGAGTGGTTTAAAACAGACTTCTGTAACTCTTTATACCTACAAACATTAAAACTTTACAATCAGTAGAGCAGGAATGACCTACAAAAAAATGATTACAGTAATTCTTTGAAGTACAATTAAAAGCTTCCCTGGTGGCTCAGATGGTAAAAAGTCTGCCTGCAATGCAGGAGACCCGGGTTCGATCCCTGGGTTGGGAAGATCCCCTGGAGAAAGAAATGGCAACCCACTCCAGCATTCTTGCCTGGAAAATCCCATGAACAGAGTTGTCTGGCAGGCTACAGCCCATGTGGTCGCAAAGAGTCAGACACAACTGAGCAACTTTCACATACATACAATTAAAAGTCTGTAGCTTCAAATTCTATACTGAAAATTCCTGAGTATTAATCTGTGCACATAATCTCAAGATAAAAATCAAAATGGTGTTTCAAGGCTGACTCTTAGGCCTTCTCAAACCAGTTCAAACCAGAGTTAATGTGAGGCTCAGCAGATTTCTGCTTTGTTGTGAGTCACCAAAATGTGATGATCTCAGCAGCCATAAACCAAAGGTAACTAGTATCCCAGAGAGAAAGCAGATGAAGGGAATTTACAATATGATCCTCTTAAGACACTCTCATTCCAAAGTGCAATTCTATCCTAGCTACTTTTCGTATATGGGATTCTAGGAAGCAATGCTGGGAGAAGGGCCAGAATGAAGATACTGTGCTAAGCTCGCAATTCTTGCCTATGTATATTCATTGTAGCATCAGTCCCTTCCTGTTCTCTAGTTTACATGACCTATGTATGACCCATGGGGCTTCCCTGGTGGCTCAGATGGTAAAGAATCTATCTGCCTGCAGTGCAGGAGACCTGGGTTCAATCACTGGGTTGGGAAAATCCCCTGGAGAAGGAAATGGCTACCTGCTCCAGTCTTCTTGTCAGAGAATTCCACTGACAGAGGAGCCTGGAGGGCTACAGTCCATGGGGTTGCCAAGAGTCCAAAACAACTGAGCACACACACACATGTACGAACCATTTGCTGACCTTATTAACTTTTTGTTAGAATGACATATAAGAACCTAACTGAAATGCAGCCACTTTGCAAATGCAATGGACAATTTTCAGTAATTTGAGTGATTTTTAATCTTCCTTATCCTCAACAGCCTATGAAAGGGCCCTTAAAAAACAGTCAAATGTAACTTTTTCTGGCACACTTCTATACTCTAGGGTATAATACTTTCAACAATAACATGAAGTCTGAAGAATTAAGAACTTAATTTCTCTCCATTACCAGCCAAGCCAGATGGTAACCAGCAAAATTCAAGGTGAAAGAAACATGGTAATGAGCTAAAAATACACCTTGAAACTCAAATATTAACTGAAGGCGCAAATAACTCAAAGGCAAGGATAAAGATGCATAACAAGTCAATAACCAACGTGTGGCTATTCGGAACAACTACTCACACGTGGCGCAAATCAAGCTTAATGAGAGTATATTCAACCCAATACTGGCTTCTGGATTTCCTGTTCCCCTTCGGACAAATCCATTTGCAAATCGCACCTGTAACCTGCCCAACAGCACCAAAAACAAAGGCATTCTGAAGTCTTATTTGCTACATGTTTTCCAAACATGTCACCAGCGCTCGGCCCACCAAGCTACTCACCTGTGATGCATCTGCTGGGGGCCAAGGGTCAGAGAAAAGCGCACACGGGTGGCGGGGAACCAGCATCAGGGTCTGCGTTCCAAGGTCACGTGCTACCGCATCTTGCTTACAACCGCTGCACAAACGCGGCCACTCGTCCCCGGGGCCGCCCGGGACCGCCCAACTTCTCCCGACGGTCGGCGGCCGCACACCCTGCCGCGAGATGGGGCATGCCAGGGGACACCCGGGGCCTTTCCTCCAGAAGCTTCGGGAGGCGGGCTGCCCGACCTGAGGGAGAGGACAAGGGCGGTCACCCACACGAGGGGAGGATGCAGCTCCCGTCCTCCGCCGCCGGAGAGCCTGGGCCTGCGGACACCGCCTCCCAAGGGCGGCCAAGTCGCCCGCCCGCCGGCCTGGGGCTCGCAGGCCGCCCTCGCCCCGTCCCGGCCGGACCCGCGCGCAGCCCACCTGCCGACCGCGCGGGGGGGCGCGCGCGCCTGCCCCGCCGCTTTGTTCCTCATCCGGGCAGACCTCGCCTCGGGCCCTCCCCGCCCGCACGACCCCCGCGCCCCGGGGGCCGCTCGCCTAACGTTTCCCGCCCGGCCCGGCCCGGCCCAGCCCGGCCCAGCCCGCGGTCTCCTCAGGGCCGCACCCTCCAAGGCGCGTTTCCGGCTCCTCAGCCACTCTCGGCGCCCGCCGCTCCGCCCCTCGTGCGTGCGCCCCTCCCGGCCACGGCCCGCAAGCGGCGCCCGCGCGCTTACTCCCGCTCCCCTGGCCCATCCCCCCACTCCCGCGCGTGCGCGCGGCGGGGACCCCCCGGCCGGAGGGGGCGGGCCGTGAGAGGCTCGGCCTGGAGCGTCGCATCTCAGTCCGGCCCGGTCGAATCGATCGCCGAGCAATCGACCCCGTTGCTAAGTAACCGGGGCTGGCCGGAGCCCTGGGAGCCGGTTCTGAGTCGCAAAAATCCCCCAGACTTTGGGTTTCGGTCTTCATGGCATCCTTCAGTTAGGAAAGCATGGGTTCACGCAAGCCTACAAGATTTGAAATAAGGGATTTAACCAGCTATGTTGGCGGTGTTGCCCAGGAGGAATTGGGATTGTATCCAAACTATTTGTCGCTACAAGTTACATCTGAAGGTCTCTCAATTTCCCAATGCTTGAAGTCATAAAGGGTGGTTTTCGGGATTTTTGTACAGATTACCTTTCCATTCTCTCTTTGCCATTCTTTCCCTCCTGCAAGCCAGGCGCTATGCTAAACCCTAGGGATACTGAGATGGCTTTAAAGGAAAATGGTCACAAATTCGCAAGCATTGGATATTGTCTGTAACACACTACCTGGTAGCACCAGCGGAATAAAAGAGACCCAGGAATTCCTCTTTTGATTCAGAAGACACTGAATTACATCTCAAACGTAGGGACAGAAAAGAACACACAGGTCTTGACTCTCAACAACTTGCAATGTAGTGGGGACTGATGAGTTTTGAAAATTCAGTCTCATGTGGAAACAGAGGCACATACAGTGTTTTGGACGAGAGCCTAGAGAGGTGTCAACTAACATTAATATTTCTCTTCCTCTCAGAAGGAGAAGTTGAGGGAACTAATCACTGAACGTTTGGCAGGTCACACTGGTTCTGCTCTCCTGTTGAGGACAAATAGAAACCTAAATCAAGAAAGTCTCCGTATCACAAGAGAGAGACACTTTTCCCTAAACTGTCACATCAAACCTGGGGCCTAGGGAATGCTGATGTCTAAATAATTTCATTCTGGCTTTCCATTCTGCCTATTGTTTTTGAATAATTATTTCAGAAGTGTATGTAAACATACACTGAAGCTGAAGCTCCAATACTTTGGCCATCTGATGCCAACAGCTGACTCATTGGAAAAGACCCTGATGCTGGGAAAGATTGAAGGCAGAAGGAGAAAGGGGCAACAGAGGAAAAGATGGTTGGATGGCATCACCGACTCGATGGACATGAGTTTGGGCAAACTCTGGGAGATGGTGAAGGACAGGGAAGACTGGTGTGCTGCAGTCCGTGGGGTAGTGAATAGTCAGACACAATTTGGCAACTGAACAACAACAACGTAAACATCAGACCAGATAAATATGAGAGCTAAAACTGTTACTGACAGAAGAAAATACAGGAGAAAACCTTTACAATCTTGATAGGAACAAAAATCAGGAACCATTAAAAATTTGACAAATTGAACTTCATTAAAATTAAAACTTTTGATCTTGAAAAGACACTGCTGACAAAATGATACATCAAGCCAGAGATAGGGAGAAGATATTTGCAAAACAAATATCCAGCAGTCCTGTACGGATGTGAGAGCTGGACCATAAAGAAGAAAAGAACTGAAGCTATCAAATTGTGGTGCTGGAAAAGACTCTTGAGAGTTCCCTGGACTACAAGGGGATCAAACCAGTCCATCCTAAAGGAAATCAACCCTGAATATTCATTGGAAGGACTGATGCTGAAGCTTCAATACTTTAGCCACCTGATGCAAAGAGCCGGTTCACTGGAAAAGATTCTGATGTTGGGAGAGATTGAGGGCAGAAGGAGAAGCAGGTGACAGAGGACGAGATGGTTGGGTGGCATCACCGACTCAATGGACATGAGTCTGAACAAACTCCAGAAGATGGTGAAGGACAGGGAAGCCTGGCACACTGCAGTCCAGAATTGGACGCGACTGAGCGACTAAACAACAATCAACCACAACAATGGAGCTTACATAATAGTGAAGAAAGACAGACAATAAACAAGTACTTAAATATAACAGATAACAATAAACACCATAAAAATATGGCAAGGAATATAGCTAGAAAGTGCCCAGGGATAGGAGCAGCAACTTTAAATACAGTAGACAGAAAAATTGTCATTGAAAAGGTGACATTTGAATTGAAGGAGATGAGGGAGTGACCCATGTGCATGTTTGGAAGAATGTTTCACTCAGAGGGAACATCAAGTGCAAAGTCCCAGAGGCAAGAAAATCCCTGATAAGTGTGAGGAACTGCAAGGAGGCCAGTGACACTAGCGCTGGATGGTCCAATATGGGAGCCACTGGCCACATGTGGTTATTGAGCCCCTGAAATGTCCCTAGTTAAAACTGTATAATTTTAAATTGTGTCATTTTATCTTCTAAGGAATATGTTACTGGCCCCAGTTCTTCACTCCTCTTCTATCCATGCCCTTTGCGAAGAGACTTCATAGCTCAGTCATCCTAGGAAAAAGAGAAAAAGCTTTTTTCTGCCCCTTGATTCTGAGTCTGCATGTTAGACGTGTACTAGAATTCAGCTTAAATCTTTGCCCCTCAGGCTCAAGAATTAAATGATTGTTTATTGTTTTAAGCTACTGATTCTTGGGATGGTTTATTTGATGGCCATTCTGAGAGGCGGCCTGCCTTTTCTTGGATACCATGATTTCCTGCTTTGAACTTTGGAAACCGTTACATGGGTATAAAAGAATAAGCACTGGTGTTTGGAACACGGATGCAATGAACATGAACTTGAGCAAACTCCGGGAGATGCTGAGGGACAGGGAGGCCTGGCATGCTGCAGGCCATGGGGTCACAAAGAGTGGGATGACTGGACAACTGAACAACAACAACAACAAGTTCCAAGTATTTGGTTTAACTTTTCTAAGGGCTGCAGAATGGCTTGTTTTAAAAATGGAGTGGGTACGGGACTAGAACTGGGATAATTTTGTGTGTTTTGTGGACTTAAAAAGCAGAACATGCGTGTGGCTGAACTAATTCCATTCCTCAGATTTTAAGAAGCTACACAAATTTCAGTGGATGATCACCTAGGCTGAAAGTGCTGAAGGAGGCTAACTTTGCTCAGGCTTGGCAGTACAACACCTCTATTTGAGACTGAGTAGAATCAAAAATTGGGGGAGAATAACCTGTGGAGTTTAACCAAAGAAATACTGATGTTGATATCTTTGAATTTAAATCTATAAGGTAAGGTTATTTAGGCTCTAGGTTTTAATTTATCCTTTACTGTTGTTTAGTCATTGTGTCCAACTCTTTTGTGACCCCATGGACCACAGTCCACCATGCACCTTTGTTCATGGGATTTCCCAGACAAGAATACTAGAGTGGGCTGCCATTTCCTACTCCAGGCAATATTCCCCACCCAGGGATCGAACCCACATCTCCTGCATTAGCAGGCAGATTCTTTACCACTGAGCCACCAGGGAAGTCTAAATCTTATTTATATCATGAGGTAATAAAATATGTTTCCCTGTTTCCCCCTTGACAGCTGGTGCAAACTGCAGGTATGGTGCCAGGAAGGTGTGCAGCCCTCTGTGCCACGGGTTTAGGAAACCAAAATCTATAATATGATATCAAACACTTCACAAAAAGAGCCAATCTAGGTCTCTTAACCCCACATGCTTAAAGCAGGTGATAAGGGACCCATCTGAGTTTTAGGGGTGGAAAGTTAATTTCCTTGGCCTTAGAGATATCTTTAAATCTACTGAGCCTGACCTTTGGGGGAATCCTATTCCCCCTATTCCCCCTTGTAATTTAGATTACAAGCAGGTCTAAATTGGACTACACAAACCTAGTCCTAAGCATTCTTGGCAGTTTCACATATCTGTAACTTGATCTAGCCAGTCTTAAGAAAGACATTTTTAAAGTTGGAGAGAACATTTGTCTGGATCAAAACTGACTGGGGAGTGACTGGAAGTCGGAAGCTATTCTTTTGATCTCTTATGTAAAAAAGAAGGCAGCTCCTCCCCCGGAACAAGACACCCTACTCCCACCACACATACATATACATGCTCACATCATGCGAGTAAAACAGTGCTGCTTTCATTGGAAAAGCCACTTATTTCCAAAGCACTTGCACCTTCAAAAAGTGTAAGAAAGAGTGTCAGCATTCTTTCTCTACCATCTAGACCATGTAGTAATCATAATATTACTACGCCCTATGAAAATACCACTATGGGATCAGGATGTGACTATTTTTGATTGTGATAGTAGTTGTGGAAAGAGCTTTCCCAGTGACTCAGTATAAGGAACTGCCTGCAGTGCAGGAGACAGGGTTCAATCCCTGGGTTGGGCAGATCCCCTGGAGAAGGAAACGGCAACCCACTCTAGTATTCTTACCCAGGAAATCCCATGAACAAATGTGCCTATCAGGCTACAGTCCATTGGGGTCACAAAAGTCCGACACTAAATGACAAATTAGTAGTGGGGAAAAAATCCTGTAGATATTTATTCCTCAGAGAGAAAATTTTTTTCCCATTTATTTTTATTAGTTGGAGACTAATTACTTTACAATATTGTAGTGGTTTTTGCCATACATTGACATGAATCAGCCATGGATTTACATGTGCTCCCGAGAAAATTTTTAAGAAGCCAGAAAACCTGGCTCAAGCACTTTAAATTATGTGATAAATCTGTTGATTTGCGTCAAACCAGAGTATCATTTGAGTTTTTTTATATATTTTATTTTAGTATTTTAAACTTCACTAGATCAGAGAAAAGCAAAAGTAATATTTGTTTTCTGTAATAATTTAAATAGTAGAAAGATCCACAAAGTAAAATGAACCACCCCTCATCCCCAATACAATTTAGGCAGCCAAAGATAAAAGTTTAGTATGTGTTTTTTTAACTTTTTCCTCTGTGCTCACACAGACACATATAATGACAAATGAATCATCCAGTTTAAGTTCATGCTGTGTGTTAACTCTACCATTTGCTTTTTTTTTTTCGCACTTAACACGTTATGGTGGCCATCTCTGCAATTTCTTATGTGTAGATCTAATCCATTATTTTTAATAGCATAATATTCTAACAGTATTAGCCCTTTCTCTACTGATGGACATTCAGTCTATTTCCATTTGTTTTCTTGTTTTAATCACTGTAAACAATGCTGCAATAAATATTATTATATGTAAATCCACACTCGTGCATTTATTTTTGCAGGATAAAACTGTAGGGATCTTGAGGCATAGAACATGTGATGTGTACTATTAATGTTAGCAGTTACTTTCCCCAAAGCTTGTAGAAATGTATGTTCTGCCACTTACCAAATTTTTGCCTGTCCTGGATGTTAGCAATCTTTTAATTTTTTTGCCAATCTGAGGATGAAAAATGGTATCTGTAAGCATTCTCTCTTTTGTTCCCCTCCAATCTATTCTCTATTTGGCAGCGATCTTTAAAAAACAAACAAACAAAACTTTACCACATCATCTCTCTGCTCCAAACGCCTCATTTATTTCCCATCACCCTTAGAATCATGGCTAAGAGTCACACTTGGACATGGCCAAAACGCAACTTGTGGTCTAATTTCTGCCTCTCCGGTGGGGTTTTCGACCAGTAGGGCTTTCCTCTCTCGAGAAATCAAGATGCCATATTAGTTTGTTTGTTGGTATGAGTCTCAGAGGAAGCTACACCTTTTAAAATGTGACTAACTTATGCCTGAAAGGAATAATTATTTCTATTTTATTTGCCTTGATGGAAGCGCTTTTCCAATTGCTTCAGGCTGATCATTTAGAGTAAACAGGGAAGCATAGGACTTGTCAAAAAAGCATGTTAGGGCAACAACTTGGCTCCTGAGGAACAGGCACAAAGTCTGATTATAAATGTGGGGGGGGGTTGCGTTTCTTGTTTTTAGGTTGGACTTTTAAAGTGGAATCTGCCTTTAATGTGCTGGTTTGTACAACAGGAAATCTGATGTTCAGTGTGATAACACATTCTTTGACATTAACCAGTACAGTGGATTTTTAATGACACTTTGATCTTCAAAGTTCTTCACCAACACGGTGGATTAATTATTCATTTTTTAGTTATGTTTTAAAAAGACAGTCTTCAAAGTCATCATCTTTTCTCCTTGGAAATGGGGCTCTCCCCCTTCACCCTCAAGGGTGAAAATAAATTGCATCTCTCTTTTTTTTAAACAAAAAGAATACAATAGAAATATACTCTTTACACTATGGAGAGATGATGTCCTTATATCCTGGGTGGGATTATAAGAGGTCTGGAAGCAGTGTTTAAGCTGTGTTTACAGTAAGCACTGAGAAATAACTTTGGCTAAAAGTGTTTGTTACTGCTCAGCCTTTTGATGTGCTCTTAAAAAGTAGCACAAATACATCACTGCCCAGTCTTCAACATAATAATATGCAGACCCTTATATTTGTTGCTAAAGTGTATTTCTTTTCTGTTCCCTTCAAAAAATGTCTACTTGGGTTTTTAAAAGGTTTAGTTTTGGAGAAGAAAACCCTCAAACTTTCCCCGAGGTCCTCCCTGACTTGACACATTTTTTAACCACAAGGGAGCAGTCTTCCCTTTGATGAGGTCTTCTCTCCAACTCTCCAGAAATGAAAGAGCAAGTGTAAGTTTGCAAACAGTCTAAAAGCTCCTTCCATTAGCCCTGGACGCCGGAAACCACAAAGGGCAGTCAGTTTTGATTTTCAAGGAGAAAGCCTCTGGTAAACTTTCGCTCAGCCGCCAGTAGATCTGTTGGTTCCTGGGAGGAGCTCTTCTGAAACCTTGAAGATTTCTGTGCTCATGAAGACCCAGAGCGGTGGATTACAGTAATTGTAAAGCTTTTGGTGGCTTTGGAAGATTACCCAGTGTTTGGTGTGCATTCTCATTTCCAGGACACGGGACCGAGGAGAGGAACCCCTTTTGTTATCTTTTGAAATAAGAAGATCAGACGGGAAGAGAGGTTTTGAAGTGTGGATTGGGGGGGGGGTCCTAAATCTTTGCCTATCACCTCCGCCTGAATCGTTATAAAAAGATCGAGGGGTGCAATGAACTTAAGGAATCCTGCAACGTTTTCTTAAAACTTGTTCTGAAACCTAGCTTCCGGACCCAGAAACTTCTCCAAAAGCTGACCAGCAGTGTCAGGCAGTCTGAATGGACCAGGATCTCCTCTTTGAAGATTTTCAGTCTCATCTTCTGCTGGGAGATTCATCTCTGGGGTAATTGGTTTTCTTTGGCGAATGATGGAGAAACGTCCACAGGCCGGACTGCTGACCCTGCCGTATCACCTGCGCCGGGTGCCCCTGGGCGTGCCGAGGTCCCTGCCCCGCCTCCCCCTGCGGGACTCCTTCAGAGTCTCCGTGAGTCTGGACTCCGCGTGCTGGGAGCCGGCGCTCGGCGGCGGCGGCGCCCCGAAGCGGCCCTACCTGCCCCTCCGGCTGGACGGCGCCTTCGAGCCCGCCTTTCTCCGCAAGCGCAACGAGCGCGAGCGGCAGCGGGTGCGCTGCGTGAACGAGGGGTACGCGCGCCTCCGAGACCACCTGCCCCGCGAGCTGGCGGACAAGCGCCTCAGCAAAGTGGAGACTCTCCGCGCCGCCATCGGCTACATCAAGCAGCTCCAGGAGGTGCTGGAGCGCCACGCGCGGGGACAGGAGGGTGCGGCCGGTGCCGGCTCCTCGCGCAGGGCCGAGTGCAACAGCGACGGCGAGTCCAAGGCCTCATCGGCGCCTTCGCCCAGCAGCGAGCCCGAGGACGGGGCCAGCTAGCGAGTGCCCGCCCGGCCCAGCCCGCTCCCGCGGCTCTGCGCGCATTTGGCGTCTGCTCTAAGGTTCCCTCCGGAGGTAGTTTGCATTTGCTATCTCCCCCCGCACCCGCCCCCCCAGAAATAAATCTTAGGAAATAGAAATGAGTGCTCTAGGGGGAAAAAAGATTTTGACATTCAGTTTGTTTCCATCCACACTCCACCACCACCCCTTATTTGTTATGTGCCTGCAACTTAAAGATGCCAATAAAACTCTTCCTATATCAAATAAAAGCTGTACCAGACTCAAGGGCTTCCCTGATGGATCAGCGGGTAAAGAATGCGCCTGCAATGCAGGAGATGCCGGTTTGATCCCTGGGTCCGGAAGATCCCCTGGAGGAGGAAAATGGCAACCCACTCCAGTATTCTTGCCTGAAAAATCCCATGGACAGAGGAGCCTGGCAGAGGTAATTAACAGTCCATGGGGTCTCAGAGTCGGATACGACTGACTGAGCGACTATGCACATACCAGACTCTGAACTACTCAAAACGGTAATTTGCCACAGTCAGCAGGGGTGGGTAAATTAGGGATGTAAATACTGAAACAAATTCAACCAAAAACCAAAGAAGAACTTTCAGAACTAACTAAATGACAGCCCTAAGATGAGAGGAAAGGTTTTCCTGCCCTTGGGAACTGATGAGAAATGCAATGACACCATGCTTTGGATGAAGGTGGTCCTAGGCTGACACTGGAGAACACGTTTGCCAGAGCCAGCCAGACCAGCCTGGGCTGTTGACTGAGCGTGTTGAACCTCGGTACTAGAAAAAACATTACATATTTGAAACATCCTGTTTTATCAAAAAGTGGCCATGTGAATAATAACCTATGTTAGTATCAATGATCTTTTTGGAAGAGAACTCAGATTTGTATGAAAACTTATTTCTCCTCTTAGTTGTTTTGTCCATATTCCTTTCATCTCCCCTTGTTCTCACTCCACCTAACCTTCCGTTAAAGTAACACTGTGACTGTAAAATAGAAAAAGGAAAAGGACCTGCTCCTTTCAACCAGGTTGAAGGGGAAGGAGGGATGGAGGCTGGTGCCTTCTCAAACTTCTATCACCTTGAGGGCTTTCAACCAAATTGAAATTGGAAGAATTTGGCAGTCTTTTAAAAATGCTTAATTCTGGTCTTTTTTTTTTTTTCCTGAGAAACAATTATAAATTCAGTAGGTAAGTCAAATGCTTGTTGACATGTTAAGGTAAGCTTCCTCTCGTTTGAGTCCCTCTCAAGTTTTCTAATATGCTGTATTCCCCTTTCCACAGAGACAGCTTTGCTAATAAGGGGGTGGGGAGGTGGAGGAACCAGGAAAAGGATGAAAAGAGAAAACTAACAACGGTGAGCCTTTTCCAGGTATTCACTGAAGTTCCACACTGAGGTAGGTTTTATTACCCCCTTTCTTCAGATATGTGAACCAAGGGATGCTAATAAGCAATGAACGTCTTTTCAGAAATTTTGCTGCTTTTCACATTTTGTCCAATTTATTCTCATAAATCTGTGGGGTGGGTACTATATGTATTTGGAGTTTAAAAAAAAAAAAAAAGACTGGGAGAGATTACATGCCTTGCCCAGGTTAGTGTTTCAAGAATTAGCTGAGCTGAGATCTAGTCCAAAGTCAGACTAACCCCAAAGCCCAGGCTTGCTTCTCTCTGACTTCTCTCCCCTGCCCTGTCATTTGCCAGCTGGGTGACTGAGCAAATGCTCCTTAAATTCTCTGCAACTCAGCTTCCTTGTCCTTGTCCTACTATTTCACAGAAGCGTAAATTAAAGACCTTGGTAATCTGCAAGCTACAATTAAATGATTAAGTTAGTAGTGTTATTTATTAGCTCTATGGAGAGTAGGCCTGGTTAAAAATGATCTCTAGATGGAGTGTGATTTCCTCAGTGTTTCAGAAGCAGGGTAGAGTAAACCACTCTTCATTAGCATTCTATCTTCTATTGTAAGGTCCTAGGAGATGTGACCAGTGAAATGCTGAATCCATGTTAAAATGTATTATTGATATTTATCATGATGAATTATGGGATTCTATTGTTTCTGGCTGCTCAGATAAATGCTGTACCATGATTTACCACCAAACTTTACTTTTTCTTAAGAAGAAAGTGGCAATTTGTGGTTTGAATGAGCAAGAAACAGCTATTTTCCTACCCATTAGTTACATTCTCACAAATTCCTGTAATGTACCCATTTTGTTCTCCAAGCTGGTTCTTACTCCAGTGGGGGTTTCAGTGAAGCAAGTATGTATAGGTAAGATATATTTTCTAATTAAGAAAAAGAGAAAACACTCATGTTATTATAATACCTTCCTGGCTGAGTTGGAGGAGGGGCAAACTAACCACGCTGTTCATTGGAGAACCTTGAGACTCTTCTCAGGACCCTTCTATAGGTGATAACACTGTTCATTCCTTTTTTCTGCTCCAGCTAATGGGCAGGCATGTTGACATTCTCTTTTCTAGAGTAGTAATAATAATAATAATAATAATAAAGTATATTTTCTTAATCTCTACAGGTTATGTGGTTGCTTTCAATGCAGGAAAAAACAAAGATTTTTTTTTTCACTTCTTCAAAATATGTGTTATGAAATGTATGAATAAATATACTATACTTGGCAGACATGAGTGGTTTACAAAGAGAACAGGGGCTTCTCTAGCGGTCCAATAGCTAAGACTTCAAGCTCCCAATGCAGGTTCAATCCCTGGTCAGGGAAGTAGGTCCCACATGCCACAACTAAAGATCCCTAGTGCTGCAGCTGAGACCTGGTGTGGCCAAACAAATAAATATTAAAAAAAAAAAAAAAGGATGGGAGGAGAGAGAGAGGACAAAGCAGTTTTAAAACAGAACTTTTTTCTGGATAAAATGCCTTGAGAGACATCTGGTGAGACTTTTGTTTTCAGTCCTACTGAGAATAAAGCAATGATTTTGAGAAACCTTTTGGAATAATAATAAAATCCCATGTCCATCATGTAACTTTTTTTAAAGGGGGAAAAAAAAATCAGGCAGTTTTTCTGCAACTTTCCTAATGGCCTAGGGAGGCATGCCAATCCAGGAATAAGACCTCTTAAAATGTTCAATCTTCCCCCTTTCTATGATTGAACATCTAACTAACCATGGAACAATTTGATTTTCAGGAATTCCCCAGTGGGCCAGTGGTTAGGACTCTGAGCTTTCACTGCTCAGAGGATCCAGGTCCTTTCCCTAATCAGGGAATTAGGATCCTGCAAGCTGTGTGGCGAAACTAAAAAAAAAAAAAGACTCAAAAAGGACAAAATTACCAACAAGTGACATAAAAGCAATGGAGTGAATAGGAGTTTTAGGGAAATGATGCCTTCATGAAAGGAGAAACATTAATGTCATTCAAGATCTTGTTTCTTTGGATACTCAGCCCAAATATAGTAATTAATTACACTGTATTGCTTCTGGAATATTCATAACACTGATTAACAACTGTGACAACTTACCCTCACCCTGAGGGTGCAAAGGCAGAGGGGCTGTTGTGGGGTGTGGGCGACTTTGCCCTCCACCTTGGTCTCTCACCAACCTGGTAACCTTGGGCGAGTCCCTAACTTCAGTGATCTCACGTCCCCATGCTAGAGCACATGAAGATTGGACTGCATGATCTTCTAGGCCTTCAAGCTGGAAGATGCCTTTCTTCTGCTATGTGTGAAATCCTAGACTAGGGGAAACAAGTTGGTAAGACAGGCCCACTTCCTGCCACACAGCTCAGTGGCTCTGTGCTTGTGTCACCTCTTCCTACTGGAAAGATCCAGTCCCAGAGCAGCCGTTTATGCTTTACTGAATCCTAAATGCTATCACAATGCTGCATTTTAAAAAGGCAAGCTTCATAATCTTATGTGGAGTAGACTTTGAAGAATCTTACAATCTGGAAGAAAAATGAACCCATTTCACCTCAGTATGAAGAAAAAAGGTTGTGTGTTGTAACCGGTGTTCAAAATGAAAAATGTTATGACACAGAGAAAAGAGGGGTTTATTCTAGCTTCAAATGAGCAGAGGACTAGGAGGAAAGGCATTGGGGGATATAGCCTTAGGCATGTGGAATACACTGGATTTCTCCCTAAAAGCAAGGAACTGTATTTAGAGAACAGAACCCGAGTAACAGATTAGAATTGATGGTTGAGAAAAGGTTCTGGGAGGCACTGAAAGCCAGGTGAAAATAACTTGAAGTTTATTTTGTAGACAATGGCAAACTATTGAAAAAAAAAATTGGGGGGGGGGCTTGGAGAGAGGGTAAACTGTTCAGTGCTGTGGCTGACGACCACTCTGGTGGTAGTAAGCAGCAGACCAACGGGGTATTGCAATCATGAAGAAAGAGGAAGTGAGAGCTTAAACAAAGGCCTTAAAGAAGCGGTGGGAATGGGAAGGGATGGATTGGGAGATAAAGTGGGAGTAGCATTGATAGGTCTTGGCTACTTATAGAGGATGGGGTTGTGGATGAGGACAAGGAAGAAGTTAAGAGATGCATCTAGTGAGTTCTCAACAACTGAAGCCAAAAACACAAAAGAGAAAGCAGGTTGAAAAGAGACATGTCTTGTTTTGGGAGACGCTGGGTTTATAGTAATAGGTTACTCCCGTCCACAGTTGACAATGCTGACAGTGCAGTCAGGAGGGAAATCAAGGACAGCTGTAGGCTGAGAGGCACAGGCATATAGACTTGGTGACTTGAACAAGAAGTAGATGAGATTTCCCAGGGAAAGAAGGCCTGCTGTGAAGGAGTGGCACAAGAAAAATGCCTTTGAAGAGGACCAAGGAGCTGGAAGGAGAAACAGGCTATGTGAGATCATGGCAATCAAATGCAGATGTCATTTTGCAAGGAGGAGGGAGTGGACAGCATCGTATGAGTCAGAGCTGTCAGGGGATTTAAATGTGAGAGGGACCCATTAAATTTAGCCATTAAAAGATCACCAGAGACCTCTGTGAAAGGAGTGGGGTGAGAAGGCAGAGGGAAGGCTAAAGACTGCCCTTTCAAGATGCATCACAGTGAACAGAGTAGGAGAGCTGGGATGATATAAAGGGGACCAGCTGGAGGAGAACATGGCACGTCAGAGTTCTGAGCTTGAGGGCTTACAAACAGTTCAAGTCAACACAGAAGCCCACGGATGACGACGTTTTTCAAGGAGTCTGAAGTCAGGTGGAGGTGAAGCTCCTAGAAACTGGCAATATTAAAGGTCTGGGAGGGCACCAGATTAGAAGGTAACCAGTTGAGACTAAGGTGGGTGTTTTAAATCACTGAAGATGAAGCAGATGTCTGCAAATGCCTGCTGTTTGTAGGAACAGCGATGACAATGAGAAAAGGGCTGTGTGAAAAGTATGACTGTACGAGGTTAATACTGTCCTGTAGAAATGTCTGGCTTCAAAAGCATGGAATTGTTTTTAATGACTTCATTAAAAAGTTGCACAAACTCCTGTGATGATACAGAAACTTAAATGATATTTGTACTTAATACTTTTAATTTTGTGATTATAATTAACTTTGTAAGTTCACCAGTGTTTATTATATGAGATAATGGTAATATACACAACACACCTTGCCTGAGTCAGGCAGCAAATAAGATGCTCAGTAATTTATTTTTTTCTCTGTAGCTTCTAGGGCTAAAAAAAAAATTCTCAGAGACTAACTTTTACAGAACTGGTATAAAGGAGATACAATGTATCAGGGGTTGGTGAGAAAGAAAAAAACAGTCGTATTTTCTTACTTTTGTGGAGACATCTGGAGACGGGTAAAAAAATAACTTAGGAAAAAGGAACAGGGTTTGGAGGGGAGTAGAATTGACATGCCCTTTGCCTGTTTAGATCTGGAGAGATGTCGTCTGCTTCTTTGGCCTAGCCATTTCTGATCTGTGGGTAACATAACTTCAAAGGGCTTCCCTGGTGTCTCAGTGGTAAAAAAAAAAAAAAAAAAGAATCTACCTGCAATGCAGGAGAATGCAGGAGATGCAGGTTCTATCCTTGGGTCAGGAAGATCTTCTGGAGAAGGAAATGGCAACCCACTCCAGTATTCTTGCCTGAGAAATACCATGGACAGAAGAGCCTGGTGAGCTACAGCCCACAGGGTCGCGAGTCAGGCATGACTTAGCAACCAAACAACATACCTTCAACCAAACAACGTACCTCCAACTCAGAACACTTGAACTTAACACTCATCCTCCTGACTCCAGGTGTTATAAACCTTAATTGAATTTGAGACCAAAGTCCCATCAGGTCGGGGAAGGTATTTCATAGGATGAGTCAGCGTTACCTAGCTATAACCAAGTCAGCCACGGTTTCAGATGGTGCATTTCAAAAGCTTTCCAAGCTGTTTGTCTAGACAAAGGTTTTCTTCAAAGCTCCCAAAGTTATCATTGTCTTCTCCCAAAATGGGTAACACTCCCACTTGTCACCTTGGGAATGAGACTTTCGATGGAAATGTGGATCAGTGGAATCCTTCACAGAATGATCACTTCGTGACCCTTCGCTTTTGGCCATTGCCAGCCCTTTCATGTCCATCATGCAGACAGGCTTCCAGGAGAGGGCAGAGGGCCTGACACTGCTTTATTGGTCCATGAAACCGTAGAACCATTCGCAGGTCTCTGATTATCATTGCTGAGTTGTGTCTGTTTTTACGCACAGGCGCTCTGGGTGGTGAGAATGATTTTTAACCTGTTTGTAGCTATTTAGCTGGGTCCTTTGCCGAAACCCTGTCAGCAGCCTTTTCTTGTTGGGTTGGTCACTGTCATTGACCATGGTCAAATGAAACTTAAAGCAGCAGCAGAAGTGTGTCCGGACAACCAAACTGCTTTCTGCCTGCAAAGCAAGCCTTCAAGGGGGACTGAAGCCATTTCTCATATCCCTGACAGTGGAAACACCTCTGAAGAAGGAATCAGACCTTGGAATCACAGGACTAGAAAGGGCCTTGGGAAATGACCTGATTCAACCCCAGGAGTTCTAGTGAGATGAAGGATTTACCCATGCAGGGCAAAAGCCTATCTGTTCTCTCTTAAAAGACCTCTAGTAACAGAAATTCTCCATCAGCTGACATTTCCTGGGGCCTACCTGACAGCAGGTTGGCCCTTCTATGTGTTATTCTCATTTGATCTTTACAACCGTCCAACGAGGTATGTATTACACGTCGCTTTCATTTTAAAGATGAAGAACTAAAATTTAGGGCATTAATGTATCATACAGATCAGTGGTAGTAAACCGTCTATGGATGGCCTTCATCCATCCATTCATCAATCAGAAAATATTTACTAGTTGCCTACACGGAGCTTAACTTTAGGAAGAAGAAGAGTCAATAAACAAGCATAAATATGTTTTCAGGTGGCAATAAAGGCCAAGAAAAATAAAGCAAGGGTTTTTCTAATTCAATGACTTTTCACTCTGATTTTCAATCAACGTCTCTTCTTACTATTCTAAAGCAGCCCTGTGCGGATTCAAATGACTAGACAAATATCAAACAGAACAGCCACTCCGAGCAGTCTAAGAAAGAAAATTAAACTTGTGAGTCAAAATACCTAGTTCTCCATGCCTGGCTCTGTCATTAGTTGGTGCCCTTCGGCAAGCTACTTGATCTTTCAGGCTACATTCCAATTTGTAATGAAGGGATAATACCTACCATGCAAACCTAATTAAATTTAAGTGAATGGCTCACATAATCCTTTCTCCCACCCTCCCTCATTTGTTTGTTGGCTTGCTTGTTTATTTATAGGTAACAAATGAATTTAGAGAGATGCACGTTCCATAGACAGAATACAGTCCATTTGAAAAGCCGAGAGGCCCTGAAATATGGAATGGTTAGTTTTTGTGGGCTGGGTAATTTCACAGGCTAATGAGTGGGAGGATTATCCCAACTATTATGGGGAAGAGGCGGCGATGTCCAGGAATTAGGCCACTGCCCACTTTTTGGCCTTTCAGTGGTTGGCCCTGGAACTGTCATGGCACTGGTGGGTGTCATTTTGCATATGCTAATATATTACAATAAGCATATATGGAGGCTCAAGGCCCACTGGAAGTTGAAGCTTTTGCCATCTTGGATCTAGTTGGTAGTTGGTTCTAACCAGTTTTTGTCACATCCTATGGCTGTCCTTCTTTTAATGGTTGTTTAAAGGGGAATGCCCCCTTCCCTCCAGTTTCATTCCCTCCTCAGAGATTTTACTCCCATATTCTAATGGGAAGCAGAGGGGTCAGTCTTCTGAAATTGCTTCAAGGCTGAGTAAGGGCATCAATCCTGCCTAGCCCTCCCTCATTTATTAAGGAATAAAACCGTATGTAAAATGTTGGGTACACTGCAAAGCAGGAATGGTGATTTTTAACGTGTAAAGCACCTACTATATGCTTGGTACTTTTTTCATCTACTACACATCTATCTGTAAGGTTCAACTGCAATCACCACTCACCTCTCTATGATATGTCCTCCTTACAACACTATCTTCAGATCACTGGTATTTCAGATATTAGTTTCAAAGCAAGAGCCTTTAAAGATCAGAAACTATTAATAACTTGGCACACTCCAAGGTGCTTGATTAATAATTAATAGAGTCTTCATACTCAGCTGATCCAGATGGACCCAAATCATGCTCTCTGGACAACGTGAAAATCCTATGTAGTCAAGCAATGGAACAGAAGCAAAAATAAGGACATAAATAAGAAGTAAGGACAGAAGGGGTAATGTGAGTTGTGTATTGGAATATCAGGCACAGTGAGTTGTAAACACTTCAGCAATACAGATGATGCTAAAAGCAGTTTTCAGAAATAGGAGAAAGTAACTTTAAAAAAGCAGTCTTAAGAACAGAATAGGAAAACCTAAAAAAAGTTATCTTGTATGTAAGCTTTTAAAGGTTATATGAAGATCAAAATGGGAGCATCTTAAGATCTGCAAGATTTTACTTCAATATTTGAATCTTCAGTTCCTTGTTGCTCGACAAAACATTTCACAAAATTAGAAAATTAGTGAGTGTTCATATTTTATGTCTCATAAATTGGTTTTCGCAGCCACATGTTGATGGCAGGAATGACACAGTCCATCATCAATGTGTGAATGTCAGTGCTTTTCAAAAAGATATTACTGATAAACGTACTGACTTTAGAGGCCTGAAAAAGATGTGCACAGTAATAAGAAACATTTCATGCCTGGTGAAATCAGACAGTCCCTTATCAAAGTGCATTCCCAGCTGTGTCCATGTGCCCAGGCATGGGGAACATTTAGAGCAATAGAAACAGCTGGTTCCTTCAACTTTGTTTGAACATTCATTTTTAAAGGGCTTTTGCCTCAAATGAGAAAATGACATCTTTAGAACAAGGAAAACAATGTTTGTAGTTTTCTTTTTGAACTCAAAATATTAACCATTACCTCCCAAGGTCATTAATAGGGCCAAGTTTAGGAGAAAAGCTACATATAAAAAAAGCTTATAATACAGAAATGCCACGGCACAAACCATTTCTATTTCTCTCCCTCATTTGCTCCCCTCTCCCCTCCCCAGAGTGACTTTCAAAGCATCCAATAGGATGTAACATATGTATCTTGGATGATCGGCAGCATTTCCTGCACTGACATCACAGTTCTGCAAGTAGGCTTTGCTAAATGACATCACTGGGAAAGCCCAGTTAGAGGGAGTCCACCCTGATACTCACTGTCACCTCGTCTCTAGAGATGAGAACCGAGCACCTGCCAGAAGCCTGTTTCCCATCCTCAAATGCCCTCCAGTGCCCACAGGTAACCTGCATCCTTAACTCATCTGTGCACAACGATCACTGGTCCAACCCAGAGGCACAGGTAATATAGAATTACTGCATTAAGGTTACTCACTCACTGGTAACTTTCAAACTCTAAACCCATTAAAGTTACTGAGTGCTCAAAGTAAAGACATGCTATTTCATGCCACATTTTTTCAGAGGAAGTCTGCTTTTCTCTAGCTGGCATTTAGAAGATACTCCAACGGGGGATTTTTATTATAAGTTGAGGGATAAGTGTTAGAAAAGAATATCTTTAAGGCGCATCTCTGAAAGCAACCAGGGAGAAAATCAGAAAACAGCAACACTGACCAAAGTGAATCAAGTGGAAATACTGTCCTAAGCTATGAAACATTAAGCATGAAATATAAACAATATACTACAACTTTATTAGATTTTTCCATTTTAGTGTCTGGACTCAACTGTGGCCTTAGTAACCTATAACTTTAACATCGTCCGGTATCATAGTACATAGCACCTCATCTGATTAGGTGGCACAAGACTAGTCAACCTGTCAACACAGAGTAACCATTAGCATCACAGCTGTGGCCATTTGATGTTTTATAATGATTCAATCGCAAATGTAAAGATACTCAGTATTTTGTGGGGGTTCTCTGATGCTGTTTTGTAAGTTATTATTCAAGAAAAGTCTACCTGACCAGGCCTAATTAATGACAGACACCAGCTGATGCCATTTTTACAGGTAAGTCAAAACTCTGCCTTATATTTAGAACGACAAAGGTAACAAGTCTATGAAGAGTTATTTTCTTTTGGGTACCCATCCCTACACCTCCACACACGTCCCTCCTCTATAACTTGTCCCATTATCCATCTGTTCAACATCCTGCTTTGACCCATTTGTATACGCCAAGTAAGAATAGTATTTAGAAAAAAAAACAAAAGAATAGTATTTAGGGTTTTGCTCAGGGCAGGACAAGGCGGTGTAAGAGTGGATAAGTGGACAAGGTGACAGAGGGAAAAAGACATTCCAAAACCTTCCTATTTAATGGAACGTTCTTCACAACACCTCACAGGCTGGAAACATAGGCTGGTGTAAAGAACTTCATTCTGATGACAAAAGACTCGTGTGACTGAGTAAGGCAGTTTCTTGACTTAGCCTCACCCCCTAACAGATTCTTCTAAAAGTCTGTGGGATAATCAGGGAGGAAGCATATACATTTCTTTCCAAGTGGGGGCAACATGACTCCTTCCAGAAGGAAAGTTTACAACACTGACTCCAGAATTGGAAGCCGCCCCACCAGCCATCTTGGAACAGGCAGCTAGAGCTGCATACCCTGGAACCTGTCAGGGCTCGAGTCTGACGTTTGAAGAGCGTTTTTGTCCACTTCCACTTCAGGGAGGGTCAGTGGTGTCCGGTGGCCGTGGTCAGGGTTCTATCCTTTGATAACAGCAATTGGCCTCAGTTTAATGGCCTTCTTGCTGATTCCGGCATCATGGCAGGTGTTCACCACATCCGTCACGTTCTTATAGGACTCAGGGGCCTGTAGGGGTGGAGTTAAACATTGCAAAAGTCTACTTAAAATGGACTCTTTCAAAGTATTAATCTCCACTTGTAATTATAGAAATGCACATTCAAACAGCACTGAGTTGGGTTTTTTTGCCTATAAAATAAGCAAATATTTAAAAGATGATTAAGTTCAATGTTGGTAAGGGGGCAGTATGATAAACATTCTCATCTTGTTTTATATTTTTTCTGTATTTCTCTAAATTTTCCCAAAGAACATATATCATTTACATAGTAGGAAAAGTAGTAAATGTAACTGAATAAGGCACATACACCAATATCCAACTAAAGGGAAATGTACCAAATCATTCTCTAGTGGTAACTGTCTTTGGATGGTAGAGTTATTAACAATTTTGATTTTCTCTTATTATATGTTTCTATAGTTTTCAAAATTCCTGGAATGAACACATAATACCTTCACAATAAGGAAAGGTTGTTACATTCACATATGTAACTAACACTGTATTCATGCATGTGTACATGTGTATATATACATACACATACACACAGTTTGTCTCTGTGGTTTCTACTAAACCTCCCCACCCTCCTTCAGTCTCGCCACCATCAGAACAAACCTCTTCACACACACCTTTCATCTCCATGCCTGTCAGCATAGCAAGCTTAGAACTCTCACTGAATCCCATGGGGCTGTGTGCACATCCCTTTCTGAAAGCCCATCTCTCATTCCCTTCCAGTTTCTGAAACGTTTCCACTGTGACCCCCTGAACTCCTTTTCACTGAGTCAAAGGCAAAGAACTGCTTCCCTTCCTGTTTAAACATTCTCTTTGCCTTCTTGTTCTTGCTGAAACATGGATCTACCCAGAGGATGTTACTTCTGCCTCCAACTTTCTGAAGTGGCAGCTGTTTTCTCTCCCAAACTGGGTCATGCTGTTAGGTTGAGAGGTGGGACAGGTGTCCCTGCTCTTCATGGTTCCTTTCAGATCATTTTCCCTCCTTTCTCCCAGTTCTGAATTTTGCAGTCATCATTTATACCACCTACTACTCTTCCTGCTGCAATCATCTGCTAGAATCTGTTTCCATTGTTACTTGAAGATTTCTAGCTCCTGGGTCATCCTCAGCCTCTCCGGCTATAATTCTGAACAATTTCAATATCCAGGAAGAGGATCCTTTCAGTACCTGGTTTCCAAGTTCCTTGATTGCTGCTCCTTCAATGCTTACCTCAGCCATTCAGTCCCAGAGTCATACCCCAGATCTAGTCATCACCAATGCTTACAACTCCCCCAGTCTCAGCTCCCAACATCCCAGGCTGGTGAACACAGCCTAGGTTTTCACCTCCAACAATCCTTTAAACCTCACGAGACCCACAATCTTTCTGCAACCCATCAACAACCTTGATTATCTTTCATTGTGCTATACTTGCAACCCCGGCTAAAGGAAACTCAACATCTATTTCACGCCTCCACCTAGAGTTGAACGTAGCTGAAAAACACCCAATCACTGAATTTAAGTTCAAGTTGATCCTTGACACTGTCCTGCCAATCACCTAAATTTCACTAAGCCAATCACTCTCTCTCAAATGATGATTTCATCATATCTGAGCTCCCAGCAAAGACAAACCCCATGAGATCTCACCTCCTTTCATCTCCTCAAGGATATTTCTATTAGCAATAGTAACAACTGCTGTCTCTGTATACTGGCATACGTTATGAACAGTTTTATGGTGCATACTTATCAAAATTTCACTTACCTCTTCCATTACCAGCTTGGGTGAGGCGACACGGATTGCAATTCCCATGTCTGCCAATTTGTCGAGGACGTCCTGGAAATCTAAATTACGTCTTGACTTTGCTCGGGACAGTGCACGGCCCTAGGTTGGGAAACGAATGAACTTCATTTATAAATTATGTTCAATCCCAGCAATTATTTAAACCCTTAGGATTATATGCTTTTTCCTTGACTTCTTTTTTTTTTTTATCACAACCATAGTGTATCTTTTTTTTTTTTTTTTTACATGTATTCCCCATCCCGGTCCCCCCTCCCACCTCCCTCTCCACCCAATCCCTCTGGGTCTTCCCAGTGCACCAGGCCCGAGCACTTGTCTCATGCACCCAACCTGGGCTGGTGAACTGTTTCACCCTAGATAATATATGTGTTTCAATGCTGTTCTCTTGAAACATCCCACCCTCGCCTTCTCCCAGAGTCCACAAGTCTGTTCTATACATAGGAGTCTCTTTTTCTGTTTTGCACATAGGGTTATCGTTACCATCTTGACTTCTTTTTAAACTACAAAAAGAATTAAAAAACAATCTTTTCCTATTTCATCAACCTTATAATGTGCCTTTTGTTGTAAGATTCATCATATCTTTGTGGAAAACAAATTTGCATTTACAAAGCATTTTAAGATTCAGTTTTGTGTTTTTGATCACTATTAATTATCAAGTAAATACAAATACATTAATTTAAAATTGTAAATGGTAAGTCTATCATCACAAAACCTTTGTCTGTTTGTGATTTAAAACAGTTTCTCAGCCTTAGCACTTACTGACATCCTGGATTAGGTAACTGTCATACACACTGTAAGACATTTAGCAGAATCTTTGGCCTCTACTCACTACATGCCAACAGCAAAATTCCCCTCCCTGACTGTGACAATAAAAAATGTCCTGAAACATTGTTGATGTGTGTGAGGGAAGATGATTTTGATCACTGGGTTAAAAATTAGGAGTTGAGAAGCAACTGGAAACAAGAAAGGGTCAGAGGAAAAAACAGTACGGTTTATATATCTATGTGTGAGGGCCTGTCTGACTGAAAAGATATCCTAGACAATTTCTATTTTCCACTCCCATCACCGGCTAAGAACGTTGATGGCTTAGAAAAGCAGTTAGAAAACTGGTCTGGGGGCCAAATCTGGCCTACTATCTGTTTTTGTAAATAAAGTTTTATTAGACACAGCAAACCCACTTGTTTATGTACAGTTGCTTTCTACTAAGATGGCACAATGAAATGGCTCCTACAGAGATCCTCTGGCTCAAAAAGCCTAAAGTGTTCACTGTCTGGTGCTTTATAGAAAGTTGACCAATGCCTGGCTTAGAAGAGGCAATATACTGAAACAGGTGAGCAGTCTGCACATGGGTCCTGATTTGCAAAATCGGGCATTTCCTCCAATTCTTGAATGGATCTACCCAGTAAGGAACACATTGTGCTGACGGCTAGGTCTATAAATCACTGAGAAACACTGTGAGGTAAACTTGCATCAGATTGTTTTATCAGTTATGCTAGTGTGACAATTTCTCAATCTGCATTTTGCGGATTCAGAGTTGAGGAACAGTCCCTAGCCATACAATGAGCTTGCTAAGGTTGAGATACTTGGTGACCTCAGTATATATTACTAGACAGTATATATTCACTAGACAGTATATATTATGGGGATAAACTCATGTAGAAGACAAGACAGATCCAAACCTCAACTTTGTTAATGTTCAACCAAGGGCTTCCCTGGTGGCTCAGATGGTAAAGAGTCTGCCTGCAGTGTTGGAGACCTGGGTTCGATCCCTGGCTCTCGAAGATCCCTTGGAGAAGGAAATGGCAACCCACTCCAGTATTCCTGCCTGGAAAATCCCATAGACAGAGGAGCCTTGCAGGCTATGGCCCATAGGATCACAAAGAGCTGGACACGACAGAGTGACCTCACTTTCAAGTATATTTTCCCATCAAAATGCAAAGCAACGACTACACTGAAGAGAGCCTTTCAGAGTGAGCTTCTGTTTTCATAACTCACCGCTCCATGGCAAGTTGTTCCAAAGGTTTCAGTCATGCCCTGCTCAGTACCAGTAAGAACATAGCTACAGGTCCCCATGGTGCCACCAATGAGCACCGGTTGTCCAGTAAGCTGAGAAGTACACAAATCAAACATGTTAACATTCAGAAATGTGTGAACTTTGCATGCCTGAGATTTAAATTTCCTCTTGCACTAAAGGACTGTGGAGAAGCCTGGGCCTCTAAATGCATTGCTTTTAGAACTACAGTAAGACAGTATTTTGATTCTTTGATAACTGAGAGGTAAGGGTAGAGGATGGGAGGGAAAATGTGAGGACCAGGAAGATAGAAGACAGACCAAAGGTAAGAGCAAAACAAAACTCAAATGTGTAGGGAAGTGTTTTTAGGAAGAACCATCCTGAGCGAGCGTGGCAGCTGCCCTCTCAGGCTTGTTTCCTGATCTGTGAAATGGCTGGTTAAGCGTCCTTCTAACTTGATCACAGCCAGATATCAAAAGGAGAAGAGGAATGAAACAGACTAAGTTTAGTCTTAACCCTGTCTTCTAATCATTCAAAGGCCTTAAAAAGATAATCTTAATGTTATCTTAATGGAGCAGAATATTCTCCATGCGGCATTGTTTAGACAGCACACTGCAAGCACAGATGAAGGGTAAAGTTGTGCTTCAGAGAAGACTGGAAATCACTGTTCTCATGGATGACAGACTGTTTTCTTTTCACAATTGCTGCTTTCCTGTTTAAATTCGTCCATATTTAGAACTGTCCAAATCATGCCCCCACTGCTTAAAACCACAAATGGCTCAGTACGTACTTGGTAATCAACCGCAATGAGCGGATGGTGAGGAGGGAAGGCTCGGGTGGACCCCTTCCTGTGTACTAACAGAGTCCGCTCCTTCCCGTCCACCACATGCTGTTCTACTTTGGCAATATTGTGAGAAACATCATAGATCACGTGCAGGTCCAAGTCATCAGGGGTTGTGTTGAAGACCTTGGCAAAAGCCTGAGAGAGAAAGCTTAATGTTAATAGTGGCCAGAACTAGCTCTTCAGAACTTATTGATTCTGAAAGCTTTGTTCCTGAAGGGAGTGAGGGATCTAAGAGTTCAAAATTAACAAAATTATTAATCTTCATGCAAAGGACAAGAACTGACTTTAGACCACAGAGCAAGTTTCACCAAATAAACTGGTGGTCCAATGGCTGAGAATCTACTGGCCAGTGCAGGGGGACACGGGTTCGATCCCTGGTCTGGGAAGATCCCACAGGCCACAGGGCAACTAAGCCCACAGGCCATAACTATTGAGCCCACAGGCCTAAAGCCCGTGCTCTGCAACTAGAGAAGTCCCTCCAAGGAGAAGCCCGAGAGCCGTACTGGAGAGTAGACACTGCTCTCTGCAACCAGAGAAAGCCTGAAAGCAGCAACAAAGACCCAACAAAGCCAAATTTTTTCTAAAGAAACCCTTCAGGGAGGAAAAAAAATTACAACTACTCTTGATCTCACTCTTCAGAGTGCTTCCTCCTCAGCCTTCTGAATTTTAGGGAACAGGACTTCCACCCTCTCCACTGCTCAAGGCAAATTCTAGGAATAATTATAATTGCTCTTCTCCCCACTCCTGATATCCTATTGAGTGAGCTCAAGGACATGACAAAAGCTTGGACTCTTCCAATATTTTGAATATCTATTACACCAAAACCAAATTATATAGGCTTTGACTTGATTACACTGTTTTAAATCATTTAAGTTCCTCATGTATAACTAGGAACAGACGAGCAGCTTCAACTGTACCTGCCGGGTTAAGAAGGTCATGGAAGAGCGGTTGACCCAGGCATAGTTCCCAGCCGCCGCCATTCCCTTCAGGTAGTCCTGACCCTCTGGGGAAGCGATCCGAGCACAAGCCAACTGACGGTCGTTGACTATGATCTTGTCTCTCTTCATGGCTTTTTCCATAGCTACAAGTGCATCTGAAAGGAGAGAGAGCAGCAAGTCCAGGTCAGCCAGCTTTCCCTTTAGAACTCAGATTTACTGCAGAAAGGTAGGCTGTATTCAAAACCATTCTAAAAAGAAACAAGTAAAATACAGTTTTCCCTTTAAATTGTTTCTGAGCTCATCTACTTGTTGGTTAAGCTGTATTTATGGAGAATCTTCTGTCAGAGCTGTCTGACACAATGTATGTGGGCTCCAAAGAGAACACTTGCTCTCTAGGACTTGTAAGGGGAATGGAGGTGTAAAAGAACTAGCAACATCATGGTCGAGTTACCCTTTTCCTGGCATGTGAATGAGAAGTAGTAAAACATGTATTACTATCACGGCTTTTGGAAATAATTTTCAGTGACTTAACCTAAAAGAACTGGAGACAAATTGCTAGATCTTCTGCATGCAAATCGAATTTGTGATAAACTGTAGAGAAATACTCAGTAGAAAGTTCAGAAATGTTAGTCAGTGCTCCATACACCTGCTAGACAAAATACCCTAAACAGGCCATGTTGGGACAAATCATTAAATTCCCACAGAATGAAACGTACATACAAGGATGAACCATAATTGTAACTCAGAGTTTATAATTTCCATGTGCCCATATAACTTATCCTATATCCATAAACCCTTTCACACATCCTACGAACCATCCAAAACAACCTTTATTTCTCTGCCTCCTGCTTTTGTTTATGCTATCTTCTGGTCATGAATGTCCTGCACATATGATTGTTCAAATGTTGTGTGTCTATGAAGTCACCTCTAAAATCTTATTACCCAAACATTTTTTCTCTTCCATAGTATTTTATCAATTACTATCTTTTGTCTTTAGTTTTTCTTTTTAATAAACATGACATCTCTCTTGTGAGATAATCTGACGGCAGAGTCCTTGCTATTTCAACACTGAATCCATCATAACACCCAATCTTGATAAATCTGCATCTATCATAAATTCTATAATTTAAGATTTTTATTGCTCTTTCTTGGTCAGACAGTAACAGTAATCTGTAAAGTAAACATAAAAAGTGGAGCTTTTACAACACCATACAAAATAATTATTATTCTCATTTTTTTCCAACAAGCAAGTTAAGGTCTAGTGAAGTTAATTTGTTAATTTGCCAGTGAGGAGAACGAAGGTAAAAAACTACAAGTACACTTTCAGTACTTTATCCCTTAAACTTCTATATGGTTCCCCATAAAATGTACTTTTTAGCACCAAGCCAAAACTTAGGTCCAGAATATACCTGTGGCGACTTGGTGGCCCAAGCCTCTGCTTCCACTGTGGATCATCACACACACCTGTCCCTTATGGTCAATGCCCATTTTCTTAGCAGCATACTCGTTGAAAATCTCATCCACAACCTGGATTTCTGCATAATGGTTGCCCGCTCCCAGAGTCCCCAACTACAAAAGTGAGAATGTTTGATAAAACAGCAGCCACTCTGGTTTGAAAAAATCCATTTAAAAAGCAAATAGGTAAGAACAATCAACAAAAAGATAACCACACACAGTGTTTTATGTAATAAAGAAACTTCTAAGCTTAAAAAGGTTTCATTTATTTCAAGTAGTATTCCATACAATTAAAATAGTGTACAGCAGTTCCTGCAGTTTACTATATCATTATTTGCTTGAGGTACAACACATTTAAAGCTTCATCAACCTAAACTCAGACCATCAAATGGCTCACAGGACAATTTAAACATCATGGAGAGAATGGTCAAATTTTGGGATGAACTCTGATGAATGCTGACTCTTACACAACACATCGCTGGAAGGATATATCCCATAATTGGAGCTAATAGATGATTTAGGGACCCAGAAAATGGCAGTGCAACAAGAGTCTTCAGAGGTTGCCTAGTTTTAACTTTTATCTCAATTTTCAGCTAAGAAAACAAGACCCAGAAGGCAAGAGACTTTCCTAAGGTCATAGTGAATTAGTGGCAAAGCTATCACAATTTGCATAAATTTCAAACATCTGGTATATTTTTATCTCATGGACACCACGAGCTGACAAGATATCTGTTTTCAACTTAGATGCTAGAAAACTTTCAGCCAAATCTGTAGATTGTCAAAGTTTCTACATTAAGTAATTTGGTATACATTTTAAGTCTTATAATCATATTTCATTTTCTTCCCATTCACTTCTAATTCATGACACCCTGTTTTACTTTATGAATATCTGCAAGCTCCTGACAGCTTTTTAAAAGAATAAGAATGAAGCATAAATAAATTTGTGTTGCTTTCAATGTACTCTGAAAAAATCTGGGGATATACTCTCCACACATGGAAGACAGACTTTTTTCTCCAACCCCCCCAAAAACATGGAAAAAATGAACGTTTCCCCTCCAAGGTGAGTGTTACCTGGGGAAGGCCTCTTTTTTTAGCCCTGGCTGAGACTTTGTTGGGATCAGCTTGCAGCATCCTTCCATACTCCTCACAGTGCTCCTTGTCCTCTGCCCAGGCATAGCCTTCTCTCAGGGACCAGTCCACACCCATCTCCAAGGCCTCCTCCAAGTCTCTGAGTGAGTAACAAGGCGAAGGTCACTTCACAGCCAAGGCAGATCAAAACCTAAGAATGACCACATCTCAAAGGGCAGAGGAAAGCACTACATTTATTGCCTGTGCCTCAGGCATTGTGTTAGACACAGTTCGTGCTATTAGCAATTCTAGTTTTTTGAGGAAAGCAGTTTCATAAATAATTGAATATTAAAGTACTAAATGCCACATTGGAGATGATTATAGTTCACATTTTTACAGCCCCTCATACTTTTCAAATTTTATTTACCTCTCTGATTCTGAATTCTATGATGCAGTGATTAAGCAGCCACAGAAAATTTATAACTATAACCAACAACCATTATCTACCATCAACTTAACCACAGTTAACACTAACTTTTCATAGTAACTTATGAAAAATTACAAATAATAAATAAAGCTATCTCAATGTCCTCAGGCAACATAGGTTAAATTTTAAGGTTTATTCCTACCTTCACAGAAGTACTACCAAGCTTTACTGTATCTGCATTTTGAAGTTGAGGTGTATACACATTAAACCCCTAGAAGGAAAAAGCTCTCATCTTCACCTAAGGTCCAGCCTCTTTCAAAATACTATCAGGAGCAATTACAGTGATCAATGTGCCCTCCCCACAACAGCTCATTTCAAACATTACCTATTATGACAAAATTCCTATCAAAAATATTTGTAAAGATGCTTGAAATTTACTAGATGTTCCAAGCATGCTTTTTAAAGTGGAACTACATGTCAGGGACCACATAAAATCACAGAATAAGCATCTTCCAAATGTATCAGTTTTACTCTAAGTGTTTTTTTGGGGGGGTTGTATTTTGCTTTTTGGTAAATAGGAGTTGTATATAACAGGAAATAGCTAAAATGTTTTAATATTGATGTCTGTACACGTATCTGAATAGAACACAAAAGTCACACAAACTTTAAAGATAAAATGGAAGGTATTAAAGAGGAACACTTATGAAGCATACCCTATAAAGTGTAAGGTGGACAGTTTTACACGAGATATGACACAGTGTATCAATGGCCACTAAAAGGCCACTGCAGTATAGTCTTACATGGAATTCTCTACTTTGGAAATACATGATATTGTAGGTGAAGAACAAACTCAGGGCTATTACCCAAAAAGGTCGTCAATAAATACATCTTCACTGACAAAGGACAGTGGTGTTCAGAATATAACCTCTGAAGCCAAAGGATCCTCGATGTGAACCCTGACTTTACTTATTAGCTTACTTACTATTATCTCTTTAAACCTCAGTTTCCTTTCTTGTAAACCAGGGAAAATATTAGCATTATTACCTACATAAAATGATATACACATCCACCACCACACAATGCTTTGCACAGAGGAAATGCTCAGTAAACATTAGTGGATATTATTCTGTTTAGAACTGTCTGTCAAAGGCTGTCACAATGAACATGAATTGACTATGACTAATGTTTCTAACAAACGTTATGGACCTCATGCTTAAAAAAATAACTCATTACACTTCCTGAAAAGTGACTGAACAATCCCTGTCTCCTAAACGTCCTACACTGAAAATGAATGTGAGGATCATGTGGTTATTATCTCTCATTCCATATATTGGAAACTTTTGTTCTTACTTGGCATTCATTGGGATGACACCTTTTGACCCCACTCCCACAGGAATGTGGTCAAACATAGCTTGGGCAAGTTGCTCTTTCACAGGCTGAACATCACTTTCATCTAAATTGGTTCTCAGCAAGCGGACACCGCAGTTAATGTCAAATCCGACACCACCTACAAAATAGAGAAAAATTAAGTTAAATATTAGCAAAACCAGGTGGTTAGGCATTGTTACCAGTGGTTACCCACTATGAATAAAGGGTTTAGAAGATAGCCACTCTTAAAGATAACTATGTTTTAAAGTAGCTGACAAAGTAGCTCACAACAACATAATTTAAACACATACTAAAGGTACTCTGTGGGCCAAGGAGGCAAAAATAACCATAAGTAACATTTAGACCAGAGATTAAAATGTGAATTATGTGCTGCTCTTTTTTTCTCTGTCACTCTTATCAAGGGTTCATGAATTCTATTAGTCCTTTCAAAGAACCAACTTTTGACTTTGTTGATCCTTTCCATTGTATATGGTTTCATTAATCTTGCTCTTATTTCCATCTTTCTATCTTTTTGGGTTTAATTTGTTATGCTTTCTGTTAACTTTTTGAGACGGATGCTTTTATCATTAATACTGTAGCCTTTCTTCTTTTGTAATCTGTGCACTGAAGGCTGTGTATTTCTATCCAAGGATGGTATTAATAGTAACAATTTTTAGACAGGTTATTTAAAAAATTATCATTAGTTAAAATTATTTTGTAGTTTCCACTATGATTTTCTTGACCCACAGGTTATTTAAATGCATACTGCTCAATTTATAAACATATGGGGTTTCTTCTCCTTAGTTGTTTATGTTCATGATTTCTAACTTAACTCCACTGTGGTAGGATACTACTCTTTGTATCAGTGGTTCTTAGGTATGGCCCAGAGATCATTTCAAGTCTTTAGGATTAACTGTATAACAATGCTAAGACATTTATTAGCCTTTTAAATGCATTCTCTCTACTGTACAGTGAAGTTTTCCAAAGGCTACATGACATGTGATAACATGTTTGCTGTGAGGCATAATGAAACATGAAAAGTGTCCTTATGTGTTACTGCTTTAAACTTTTTCAGTTTTAATTTCCAGTAAGGTAAACATCGATAAAAGCCTTTGAGACCAACCTTCAATAATTTTAAGAATGTAAAAAGGTCTCAAGTCGAAAGTTTGAGAACTGCTACTCTGATTTCAATGCTTTGAAATTTGAGACCATCTTTGTGGTTCAGTACATGGTTTAGTTTTGGTGAGCATTCTATGTGCACTTGAAAAGAATGTGTATTCTACAGTTCTTGGATGCACTATAATGTGGGTACATATACAATCACACACATATCTTAGAGGTTACGGTGTCAAGTCTGTAACAGAACTGTCCACACCATTCGTGTCCTTAAAGACAAATCTCCCATGACCTCAAAAGAAAAACTACAAGTGCTGAACATTGGGCGCATGTACCTGCACTTTTTCTCTGGATCTTAGCCTCACAAATTCTTACTGTCTCAACAGTTTTCTTATGGTTTCAACAGATGTGTTTTGGTTTTGTTTTGAAAATTTTACACAGCTTTTCTCATCATTCTTGGCAGAGGATGGCTCTAAAATGATCCTGTCCACCAAAACTCTCAACATATAATTTATACTTTCATCTTTTTTTTTCAGACTCTGAGAGCAAAGATACTACTTCTGGTGTGAAGTATTTTCAGTGAAAGCATACCAGAGCAGAAAAGAAGTGTACTAGAAGTGGATAATACCGATGATAATGAGAGCAGATGCTTATCAAGTACTTCCTAAGTGTCTAGCATTGTACTAAGTATTTTAGCACAGCTTAATGCATTTAATCTTCACAAAAATATTATGTCATAAGTAATATCATTAGCTCTAATTTGCCCAAGAGGTTAACTGTGACACAAAGATGATACATTACCCAGGGAAGTGTTTTGGTTTGTTTTGTAGCCAATGTCTGAATAATGCATGGCACAAAGTAGGAGCTCAAATAGTTTTAAATAAATACATGCTTTATTTGATATTTTAATAGCCTCCAAGTGTCCACATTTAATCCTCTCAGTAAATGAAGAAAAGAAATGACAGAACACGATGAGGCTGACATGCACACACAAAGCAGCCACAATCTATTCTAGAAAGGCTATGATTCTGAGAAGCTACATGCCTGACAGCGGACGTGCACAGTGGCCTTACCTGGGGATACCACTGCTTCAGGGTCATTCATATCAAAGGCTGCCATATTTCCAATAGCAAACCCATAACCTGAATGGACATCAGGAAGACCAATGGATCGCTGAAAGAAAATTAGAAAAAGAAATACAGCTTTCTCCACCTGGGACTCTGGCTGCCTGACAGATCTCACTCTAAAACATACTGGGAATTAAAACCTTCCCCAAATCAAGATTCTGTTTTCATGAAATCTTCTCTATTGGTGGAAATTGGGTATAAAAAATTTCTAATCATAAAGCTAGATACGGCAGGAAAGACTTTTTACAAAGTTTGACCACTGGGATTTTCCCAGTGGTCCAGTAGTTAACACTGTGCTTCCACTGCAGGGGGCATGGATTTGACCCCTGCTCAGGGAACTAAGATCCCACTTGCAGTTCAGCCAAAAGACAAAAAAAATCCACAACCTTCCTCGCCCCCTCAAATCCTGACCATTAACTAAGAAAACTGAAAGGAGAAACGCCTCAGTACAACACGATAGAGGAGAATCACACACTAATTTTAATACTATTACATTTTAAAGATGATGCTTAGACACTGACAAATTGTGATCATGTCAGCTTGACAGGAGAGAAATGCCAGATTTACAAAGGTCCTCCATGTTTAAGAAATCAGACAAATGTAACACATTTAATGGAATGAAAACTGTACACTGTCTACATCTGGGGTCTAGGGAAGTATCGTGACTCAGAAAGATTGAAGATCACAACACGGTAGGGACATATGTAGATACCTGAACACTTCCTTAAACGTACAAGCCATGTCTCTTCATTTCTTCCCCCAAGTGTTGAACATAGTTACCTACATCAAGACCTCAAAACATGTGGCTGGATTTAACATCTACCCCTAATGGTGAAATCTGAAATGTAGACTTGGGTGGGGGCCCCACTTGTACCATTCATTTCTGTTCCCAGCATCACCACCAGCCTCCTTTTCCAATCATATCCTCAATAGCTATATTGTGCACCTCTCTCCCTTCCCTCAGTCCTAACCCTATACTTCTTTCCAATCTTCCTCCAACATTCCTCTTGAATGGGGCCACACTGAAACTTTCACTGGTGGCACACTAATACAAGAATAATGTGTACAACAAGAAGAAACAAGGGAACAAAATCTACTCCAAAGGTTCTCAAACACTTACTGATTCTGGCCAAAGGCAACGAGAAACTGAGATATTACCAGGACTCAATTATTTCTTTAAATTCCACGGTTATTTCTAGACGTTTGAGGGTCACTGTCTAGATGTTACCACTATCAGCTAGGCATGGCCATTCACCTAGTCAACGAACTCTCAGACTAAAAGAAAATATAAGTGAATAAAGCTCTGAATGTGGACTCACATGAACAATCCCAGGCAGGGCAGCCACATTGCCAATTTGTTTCATGGCTGGCAGGAAGCCACCAACACCTGAAAACAAAATTTCAATATGAGAAAAGTGAACACATTTGATTTTTGGCAGAAATATAGTCAAACTTTCCCAGACTGGATTAAATGAAGGGGTAGTGCTTAGGAGTACAACAACAAAGTTTTCATGAGTGTGTTTGAGATGAAGTGGGAAAGAAGGCAGCACACACACAGGACAGCAGTGAGGGCAACCAGACTAATTACAAACAGGCCGTCAGTCTTCTGTGCAGACCATGAAGGTTGCCTGCAAATACTGTACTTGGAGTTGTAAAACATAATCACTACATCTTATGTTGTCAATATAAAAAAAGCATTCTTTTAACTGTTCATAATATTTATTAAAAAAAAAAAACTAGTTTTACTCTAAATGACAAAGAAGGGCAATTAGGAAGTGTTGCGAAAACACCGCATGGAGAGTCAGGGGATCTGGGGTTGTAATATCAGCTCATCATTTTAGACAAGTCAGCATGCCCTGGTGAGACAGAGGTAAAATTTATTTAGGTTGGTTGACCTAAAATAAAAGGGTTAAAACTAGACTTCTATTTCACCACCATCATCAGAATGTTATACATTTATCTCTATATCTCCCGGTAGTCTTGCAAGATAGGTGTGATAAACTCTTTTTAACAGATTAAATAACTGAAGTTTAGTGAGACTAAAGGTATACTGACTTTGTAATTAGACACAACTGGATCTGAATTCTGGTTCTGTTACTGAGAAACTATAGCCTTGGATGAACTAATATGACTTAACCTCACCGAGCCTTGACTTAAACATCTGTAAAATGGAGATATCTTCCTCTTAGAGTTACTCCAAGAATTACACACCATAAGCTATGTAAATGCCTGTACATTTACATAGTAAGTGCACAGCAAATGGCTGCTCTTATCGTAACCGTCAGAGGTTAGGTGCAAAACCAACCAGGTCTATCCAGCTAAAGTGCTTTCTATAATGCCAGGTGGCCAAAAATGTGATCACAAATAAGTAACAGGCTTTTGTCTCACTTCAAGTCTTGATCATTCCTCGACAATACTTTTGCATTTTTATTTATTTGAGTTACCATTTTCAGGCCACAAGATATACACTAGTTGTACTGCCACATGTAAAACTCTATAATTTACTTACCACCACCTCGACAGGCATTCCTTAATTCTTCAAACATTAATTTTTCCAGAGAATCATTCACATAGAAAACTCCTTCAACCTGGTATCAAAGAAAAGGAAAAATTATGTCAGAGCACATGGACCTGATATATAAGTACTGGATAGAATATAAACACTGCAGAAAATATTTATTTTGCTTTACTCTTCATAAAACACTTTCACACTACCTTTAATAGCAGAAAACTTCTTACAAGATATTCCCATCTTTAAATATCTTTAAAATGTATTTTACAATGTTCCACAAATCATTTTGTTTATTCTCCTACTCTCATAAGCCACATTTAAAAATTCAACAGGTAAAATATTTTGTGTGCATGTGTGATTAAGAAAAGTCTTCCAACAACGCTCTCACTAAAGCCAAAGGTCTCAGTAATCTTGTGCTTCTAAAACATCAGTAGGTTTTGAAAAAAAGAATCAAAAACTCAGATCTAAACATACAAATGCAAACATCTGACCTAAGCATACTTTTTCCATGTCTAAGACAACAGCACACTACACTTTACTGTCTTCTGTTCTGATTTACAAATCTGTACTTATATAAACAGTGAATAAAAAAAAGCTTAGTTTTACAATCTATGTAATTTTAAGAGAATAAAAAAGCTTGATGATAGAGGCACACACAAGACAATGGAAGACATAATTATGTAACACCAAAGGTGAGAACATGTTAATCAGAGATCAAATATTATGAAGGATCTGCCAAGAAGTGAAGAACCAAAGACTTAATCATCTGAACAAAGAAACTGATTTATCAGAAGGACAACTTCTGCATCTTACCACTGGGAGACTAACAATACCAGTTGATAGAAAATGTCTCCAGCACAATTTTCTAAAGGGTCACATTCATTATTCACCATTTATTGAGGACTCATTATGTGCAGGCACTGTACTGGACAGTAGGGGAGATACAGAAACTATGCAACGTTGTCCCTTTGTGTAGCTTCCAGTCTAGTTTGTGGCCCAGAATAGAACATGCAGAGTGTGCAAGGAGGCAAGTGCTGTAATAGAAGCACCGAGTTCTACAGAAAAATATGATGTAGAAGGGGCTCAACAGTCTAGGATGACGGCGTGGGGGGGCTTCATAGTTTGTTCCCTTTGTGAACACGGAGCTGGCTCTTTAAAAACAAAAGACATTACTGGTACGGCAACATATTTAGGAGCCGAATGGAAAGATGACATAAAGATGGGAGAGAACTGTTTTTAAGGAACAAAGAGGAATTTTTAGTGCAGCACATGGCTCTGGTGTGAGGAATGGGGATTAAGAGGGAGATGAGAATTCTAAGTGTGAAATTCGCTACTCTTAAAGAGAATGGGAATTCCACACAAGCCTAGCATAAAGGTCAGTAACTTTTTAAGAGCAATATATCAACGTTTCAACTTTCCATTCCTAAGAGAGAGGTGGTAGCAAAGTGCCGTTTAAATAGTTAATGGGACGTGCTGAGCAAAATCAGACTTGCTCCCATGCAGAATTAGCAGGAGAGTGTGAATTAAAAGTTAAGCCAGAACTGCTGTCAAAACATGACAATGTGTGTCACAATCCTCTTAGGATGGTCATATGTTTTTTTATTTTCTACTCCATTCAGAGAACCGGATTTCATAAAAAGAAAGTACCAAGGGAAAAAAAAAAAACAGAGCAAAAAGGAGGTTTACCTATGGGCTTTTCCTCCCCTCAGCGTCTAGCTAACTGCTTTGCTCATAGGCGACACTCAATAATCATATTGAGTTAAAGAGTGGAGTGGCTCTCAAGAACTTTTACCAAGACGCAGAATCACAAAGCTTCAGTACACATGCAGGGTATCTAAAGGGATTTCAAAACCCATTTAAGAACATATGCACCAAAACCTCACAAATGCTTTCTTTCTTCACTTTAATGAAAGATAGTAATCACAAATGGCAAGGAAGCCCCAAAATAACAGAGACCAGGTTTTCAAACCCTCTAGTATCAGGGTCCCAAGTCTCCGTTGGGAATACATCATCCTGGTAGACGAAGAAGACACGAACTGTACACCATGTCTTAGCTGAGCTTCTACTAGGTGAGTGAAGGAAGCTGTGCAACCGACTGACCCTCCAGGCCCTACTGACAGTGCCTGTGAAAAAGAAAACACCCCGCCCTGTGACCTTTCTCGTCTGTTTCGAGAAGCAAGACTGTTCTATTAAAACTCCGCCTGTTAATTAAAAAAAAAAAAACCACCCACCCCACAAAGAACAGTACAGTGAACTAAAAAACTTGGTAGAGTGAACACAGGTCCGTAAACGTTACATAAACGACCAGCATGACTCAGAGGAGCGGCGTTCGGCCCAAGCAACTCCACTCCGGACTGGCTGACCACCTAGTGGAAGACCACTGCTGTCATCAAGACTCAAAACGGCTCGTTTGTGAGACTTCCGTGTGAAAACGCTTTGCAAAGGCCAGTTTCGTGTTTATGTGGATGCCCTGGACGCATTCCGCCTTCTTCGCCCTCACCGAGCCGGGACGTCTCCACCGGAGACCTTGGGTCCGCACGGATAAAGAACTCACAGGCCGGAGGGGAACTTGGGGTGGACGCCGGGAACCTGGCGGAAATCCGTTGGCGGAGGGGGCGAGGGCGGCCCTCGCGCGCTAGGGGTCTGAAGGGGTTGGAGGAGGCCCCGCCCGGTGGGCTGGGAGGCGCTGCGGACCCCAGCCAAGGGCCCTGCACCCCCGCCTCACCTGCATGTTGGGCACGAAGCCCTTCCTGATTCTCCAGCAGTTCTTATTGATCTTTTCCAAGAACTGCAGCTCATCATTATAACTGCGACTCATGGTGGCGAAGACTCCCGGCTTGGCTTTGAGGAGCCACTGGCCGCGTTGTCCCGCTGGCTGAAACACCGCCTTCCGGTACTCAACGCGCAGGCGCGGCCGGTTCCGCAGCAGGGTGGGCGACGGCAAGCGCCGAGGCTCAAAACTTGTATCAATCGCGCGGGCGCGCTCTCTCTCTCTCTCTTCTTTACTAGTTAAGATAGACCATCCTCTAGCGTTTATCTTTGTGGATGTTAACTAGTCATTTTCTTCCAGGCTAAAGCTAACCTAACTCCAGAAGTTTTTACTGTGCTCTAGTTATCTTTCTTTTTGGAAGTGCTTTTCAGCACTGAAAAACGCACTGAATCTGGATCAGGTCCAGTTGTTCTAAGGAATCCATCTGCTTGGAGTTTCAGTTCAGTTCAGTCGCTCAGTCGTGTCCGACTCTTTGCGACCCCATGGACAGCAGCACGTCAGGCTTCCCTGTCCATCACCAACTCCCGCAGCTTACTCAAACTTATGTCCATCCTGTCGGTGACGCCATCCAACCATCTCGTCCTCTGTCGTCTCCTCCTCCCGCCTTCTATCATTCCCAGCATAAGGATTTTTTCCAAATGAGTCAATTCTTCACATCAGGTGACCAAACTATTGGAGTTTCAGCTTCAGCATCAGTCCTTCCAATGAATATTCAGGGCTAATCTCTTTTAGGATGGACTGGTTGGATCTTCTTGCAGCCCAGGGGACTCTCAAGAGTCTTCCCCAACACCACAGTTCAAAAGCATCAATTCTTTTGAGCTTGGAGTTTACACCCCACAAAAGCAGAGACATTATTTTGCCAGCAAAGATCTGTCTAGTCAAAGCTATGGTTTTTCCAGTAGTCATGTATGGATGTGAGAGTTGGGCTACAAAGAAAGGTGAGCCCCAAAGAATTGATGCTTTTGAACTGTGGTGTTGGAGAAGACTCTTGAGAGTCCCTTGGGCTGCAAGGAGATCCATCCAGTCCATCCTAAAGGAGATCAGTCCTGGGTGTTCATTGGAAGGACTGATACTGAAGCTGAAACTCCAATACTTTGGCCACCTGATGCCAACTGACTCATTTGAAAAGACCCTGATGCTGGAATGATTGAAGGTGGAAGGAGAAGGGAACGACAGAGGATGAGATGGTTGGGTGGCATCACCGACCAGATGGACATAAGTTTGAGTAAGCTTCGGGAGTTGGTGATGGACAGGGAAGCCTGACGTGCTGCTGTCCATGGGGTGGCAAAGAGTCAGACATGACTGAGCAACTGAACTGAACTTAACTGAGTGAGGGAGAAAGAGATATTTGCAGCTGAGAAGGAGAAACATTTAAACAGATACCACAATGGAAATTTTGTAATGTTTCAAAATGAATTTGTGAGCACATTAAGTACTTTTGTCAGAAAAGAGCATTCCAAAGAAAGAAACATGACAGTTTATCATTTATTCCAACAACACTGAGGAGGACATCTATTGAGGTCAGAGAAGCAGTACAAAGATGAGTAAATGGCAGCCATTACGGATGTCTAGGGCTTCCCAGCCTAGTCTTCTCTGATGACTAAGTACTCTTTGAACCTGCTTTTATACACACTGCCTCTGCTTCACAGTAGTAAGTGAGCCTTAAGTGTTTTCTATTTCCAATCCTACCTCATGTAAAGAACAGCGACGTTGGAATCAGAAAGGCTTGGATTGAATTTTTACCGTTGCTGTTTACTAGCTTTGTATGATAAATCTCTTTTTAATAATTTTTGTTTCCTTTTCTATAAAATGGGATCATAATTCTTCACAAGTGGCCATGAAAATTAAACACTGGGTAAGCCCTCCAGTAAACAGCTGTCTTCGGTTCCCCCACTGGATTGTCAGCATCACAAAAGCAAAGTGTGGATTCTATTTCCTACAAGTGTGGATTCTGTTTAGTTCCCCTTTCCTCCTCTTCTGCCCCAGTTTCACCCCATTGATTTGTTTCTCCAACAACATTAATCTATCTATGCTTTATCTAGTACTCTGCATTGTCATTTCATTTAATTTGGGAGAGAAAACAGCCTAAAACTTAAAGGGATACAATTTGTAGAGTTTCCTGCAATCACTGTTTCTCTCCAGACACATCTAAGAGACAACATATTCCCTTTTTAAATCAAGTTTTGAAATCTGTACAAGCTCACTTGTGGTAGTATTAAAAACACTAGGGAATTTCCTGATGGTCCAGTGGTTGGAACTCTGCATTTCAAGAGGTCCACCCCTCATCAGGAAAGTAAGATCCCACAAGCCAGAAGGCTGTGCAGCGTGGGAGAGAAAAAAATAATAAATAAATAAACAAACAAACAAACCCTTAAGGACACTGCACTCTCTTCTTACCTGTCTTATTTTATTAAAAAAAAAATCAGGGACAAGAAACTTTGCAAATGAAAAGGCAAAACTGACTTTGATAGAAAACAATTTTAATTAAATACAGGGGACAGTAGCAGTAAATATAAAACATAAAATCCAGTATGCAGGGAGGAGGGAACCCTAGAGAGCTGAAGAGGCTGAAGGGATCTCCGCTGACAACAACTGATGCAAATCTGTATTTGAGACCTTCTCCCAGACCTCCTTAGAAGTAATACATGCCTTGTCCTTGGCCACAGAATCTCATAGACACGGGAGCACACAACATGCACTCAAACATGAACGCACATTCGAACATCTACCCCTCCACACATGTGGGGACACACGCACACATCCTGATTTAACCCTTTCACCCCGTTAGCCTCCCTCTACATTCCCGAGGCCTTGAAAAAGAAAATTGCCGGGGTTCCACAAGGGCGTTACAATTCCAGTGTGTACTGTCTTCCCGTTCTGGGTATATAGGAGCTGTGGGATTAAGGGCCATTTGCTTCCTGGAGTGGACTCTAAACGGGCAATCATGGGGTTGGCTTCCCACTCCACTGCCCACTTATCAGGTGCAGACCTTCCCAACCATGGAAACCTGGCCGCTGCTTTGATGTTTTATACTTCAGGTCGGTGGAGATCAAAAGGAAACCCTGAAAAGGATGCAACAACAAAGACGATGTCAAACTTGGGGGAGCCATAGGATGTCTAAGACTGCCTGAGGGGTGAGGGGGCGGGGCTTCTTTATCGGGTCCTACTGTATCATGCCCTCCTCTAACCCCGCCCCCTTGTGAATGCCTCAGACAGAGGAACATGCTATTTTGGATTCTTGTCACCTTGTGCGACTTAAGCGATTATAGAAGGGGACATGGGGAGGGAGCAGGGGGTGCAGAGTAGTATATAGGCTTGGAGAATTCTGGCATAATCTTACATCGACCTCCCCAAACCAAGAAGCCCCAGAAGGGAGGAGATAAGGTGTTCTGAAGTTTGTGAATAATGATTAACCAGAAAACCACTTTACAGCAGGTCCCTGAACCCAGAGGAGTGTCTTTGGTTCAGGCCAAAGTTTACTCACTAAGGGAATCAGGAGAGCCAGTCTGGTCTCGAATATGCCCTTTCCAGCTGCATAAACCTCTTCACCTCTCTGAGTCTTCCTTTCTTCATCTATAAAATGGGATTCATAATCCCAGCCTTGCAGCGTATCTTGTGGGACAAATAAAATTAAGTGCACTAGTGCATCTTCTTGTACTGTGGTGTGAATAAACTTGGTTTCAGAGGCAAATCAGATTTGGTCTGACAGCTTTTTTTTCTGATGTGATTTTTAAACTCAAGTTTAAGGGCTTTTCATGATTAATTATGAGCTTTAAGAGCTAAATATCTTGATTATAAAATTCCTTGGGCTGGGAAAAAACAAAGCAGAAGAAAATAAAACAAAAAGTAAGCAAAATAAGAAGAGGCACATTCTATGACGAAAAGAAATGGGGCAATTAATATTGATAATTCTTACCTCAAGAACTTCAATGTCTGAATTGACGAGTGAGATTTTGTGTGGGTTTGGTAGCGGAAATCCTTGCTGCAATTTTGCTAAAATACAGAATAAATGTGAAATAACTGGGCACTGGCATGGAAGATTTGGTAAACTTTTTAGTAACAGACTAACAAAAAACTTTCTGATAATTTATCCTTCCACTCTTCCTGGTTCTGTGTCTTTAATTCTCTCTGATATATCCCTAGCATTTTGCTGAAAGAATGGTTAATTAATCTGTGCTTAATAAAAATGTACTCTCAACTATGTGTATCTGGATGGCAGAAAAAAAGATAGCAACTCATCCAATTTGTATTTTGAAAATACCTTAATCAGTGGGTCCTGAGAATATTTTGATCTCCAATACAAAACATATTTTAACCAAGCCTCACTCAAGATGCCACTGTTTGTGAACAATTGCAGTGTAGGTCTGGGATTGTCATTCATTAAAACTCTGTCTATTCCAATGGTGATCTTTGCATAAGAACCACAGAGACACCCTCAAAGGAGCTTCATCTCATTTCTGGCTGACCCAGAGGAGACTCTTGATTGCTTAAGGAGAATGGTTTTAATTTCCTTAGCTCAACCAGAGTTAGCGGTTCTTGCTTGCAAGTAGGGTTGCTAATGAGGCTTGAAGCTGGAATATCTAATTTCGAAGCCATATAGTTGATGGTATCAACTCTGTCAATTCTGGCCTTGACCTGGATTCATAATAACACATTAGAAGTACAAGTTTCAGGATGGAAAGTCCCGGACAATCCCCAACACGTAACCAGTGTCCCAGTTACATTGTTTCTCCAGACTCTCTTACCGTTGGCTAGTGGGAGGACTCCAAAGTGGAGAATGGAGGACAGAATATTCTCAAACCTCAAGACCTAAAATGAAAGGGGAAACTGAATCAGTTGTTAAATGAGGGTATTTTGAAAGTATGATGCCTGGTTTGGACATGTACTCTCCCAGACCTTATCAGAATGGGCAGCAATAATCAGCATCTCCCTACAGACATATTCTAGGTTTCCAGACATTGAAAGCTATTTTGTGGGTTTCCTAACCTTTTTTCCTCATTGAGGATTGGCATTTCTGCCCTCTCTACACTGGATCACGGTGACAACAAATGCAGAGGGACCACAGAGTGGCAGCAAACGTGGCAGCTTAGGTATCAATTAAGACAATCCAGAGCGGCCAATAGATGTTGTAGTTAGTGGTTTTTCATTAATTCACTGGGGACTCCAGTCACAGGGTTTTCCCCATGTTGTGCTCTATAGCTAATGGCATCACCAGAACATGCAATTTATCTTTAATAAGCTAAGTAGTTGCATAATCTTACCTAAATGCTTTCCGCATAGCTCAGTTGGTAAAGAATCCACCTGCAATGCAGGAGACCTTGGTTCTAGTCCTGGGTTGGGAAGATCCACTGGAGAAGGGATAAGCTACCCACTCCAGTGTTCTTGGGCTTCCATTGTGGCTCAGCTCATAAAGAATCCACCCGCAATCCGGGAGACCTGGGTTCAATCCCTGGGTTGTGAAGATTCCCTGGAGAAGGGAAAGACTACCCACTCCAGTATTCTGGCCTGGAGAATTCCATGGACTGTATAGTTCATGGGGTCACAAACAGTTGGACATGACTGAACGACTTTCACTTTAGCAAACTGCTCGTTCCTGGGAAGACTCAGGTATTAAAAACAAATGGACTATGATGAACTTCAGTTCATTCAATGAATGTTTTTTTCATCCAATGAATATTTTAAGCATCCTATATGCTTAGCAATAATAAGAACCTCTTTGCAGCTTTGCAAGGATGGCTCTGAAGCAGACTTCCTAGGTGTATCTCTTGTTTTGACCACTTTACTGTGTGATGTTGGGAAAGTTCCTTAACCTCTCTGTGCCTCAATTTCCTCAGCCATAAAGTGAAGATAATAATACTAATCCCTTGGGGTTTTATCAGGATTAAACAAGTTAATATTATGTAAAATTCCATATATACACCATTGTCATTTTTTCAGAGATGTCTACAAACATTGCTAAATGCTCCTGAAGGGGAAAACTGACCCTAACTGAGAACCATTTCTCTATAACATAAGTGACATGTAGAGACAGGGTAGAGACATAAATTGGTGATTCGGTTGATCTTCGTGAAGCTTGGGACAGAGGGTTTCCAAGTTGTATGTTGGGATGACCTTTTCCAATTAGGAGGTCACCAGGCTAGACCCCTCCAAAGAGGCATCTACACAATCAGCCTTAACTTAATTTTAGGAGATGGGTAGAAAACCTCTGAAGAGAAAACTGAACCATACTTAACAATTCGTATATAGCATCATCTTTTGGTAGTCTGAATCATAAACTCTAGAGGATTATCTTATCCAAAAAACGACATGTTCCTGAAAATGTATGTTCCCTCCCCCAGCATTACATAGTCTTAACAATCTTTTGAATTTTTTTTTAAGTCTTTTTGAATGTATACAAGGGAATTCCTCTCTTGCTTAATGGTTAATGGGCTTGGTGGATGTGTTGCTACATAAAGAATTTTAAAGCCTACACTCACAGGCAAAGAAAACAATTATCCAGCTATTATATAGATTTCTCATTTTTCCCTAGGTGGGATCTTGGACAGCACTGATTCTTACCTCAATATTGCTGCGATTGGACTCTGGCAAAGAAAGGCGGAATCTGAAAATGAAACAAAACAAAAAGGAACAAGTTCAAGAAGCCAAGGCTTAAAAACAACCACATCAGTAGAAAGAAACAAAAATAAAAAGAAACAGTTTTTTCAGTTCAGTAAGTAATTATTTAAAAGCCACACAAACTTGTGAGAACATCGAGTTCTAGTACATCTTTTCCCCTGTATTTGTTGCTGAGGGAGCAGGGCAGGAAAAACGGAAACAGGATGGGTTGCCCAAGTGCATTTGCTATAAGGGACTTACTGTTGGCAACTTGAAACACAGAACATTTTTGTTTTGGCTGAGATATGTGGCATTTGAGATCTTAGTCCTCCTACCAGGAATCAAACCCAGGCGTTGGCAGTGACAGTGCCCAGTCCTAACCATGGAACCACAAGGGAATTTCCCAGAACATTCTTAACAAGCAGTTTTAATGTCTTCTTGCCCTAAACTCAACCTTGTAACTTCCCAAAGTTAGACTGGTCCCTTATTAATAAATATGGCAATAAGAGTGATGATGACAGTGGTGGTGACACGGACATTTAAAATGTAATCTTCCCAATGACTCTGTGAGTGATGCTACTATTACTGCCCCTTTGGCAGACAAGAAAACTGATGATCAAGGAGTTCACATACGACATCTAAGTGTCTCCCTATCTATGCCCCTCTTCAATAAAGTGTGGCCACTTTACTCAGCTGTGCCTCTCCCAAGAATATTTCTGCCATAACATTTAAGAAATAAATGTGCATGGAAGAGGTAAGTTTGCTTATTATCAGCTAATATCATGTTAGTATGAATTAGGCTTTGAGGTTTCTTTCTTTTTTTTTTTAAGGTGACAGCTAAGAGCAAAAACTAGAAAGACTGTTAATTCTGACAAAGATCAGAAATGGTACTAGAGGGAACTTCCCAAATATAGTGTTTCCATCTCAGGGGGACACAGGTTTAGTCCCTGGTTGAGGAACTAAGATCCCACATACCCTGAAGTGCAGCCAAAAAAATAAATTAAGAAAAAAGAAAAGAGGTGATATCAGAGGCCCTGTAGCACAGATTGGTCTTACTAGAAAGTGAAGACCAGAATTGTTAGGGCAATTGTTACTTGAAGGAAGTAAGCTGAACGGTTGAACATCACTTGAAGATACTGCTGGGGAAATGTGAGGGGGATGCCTCCCACTGGTCAACCTGTTTCTTACGAGGGACAATCTAGAGCAGCCTAGAAATTCGGCCTGCACGAAAGAGGAACACGCTTGTGAATCTCCTGTTCTTTCATTACAACCCCAAGCCATGATTGGTCACCGTCTGAGGTTTCTACAAACCAACTATCCTTTTCTTGTGCATGTGTGCTCAGTTGCTAAGCCATGTCCGACTCTTTTGAGACCCTGTGGACTGTAGCCCACCAGGCTCTTCTGTCCGTGGGATTATCCCGGCAAGAATACTGGAGCCAGTTGCCATTTCCTACTCCAGGGGATCTTGCCAGCCAGGGATGGAACTGGTGTGTCTACTATGTCTCCTGAGTTGCCAGGCGGATGCTTCACCCCTGAGCCACCTGGGATTACTTCTGTTTCCTAGTTCTCAATTTACCCCGTTAGTTCACTAACTAAACTCTTCTTGTCCTGGCTCTGAAAAACTCAAAAGTTCAACTCAGACCACTAGGTGGCAACCAACTTCACTCCTTTGACCTTGTATTCTCCACTTGGCCCCTAACCTGTTACTTCAAGCTCTGCTGTGCTGGGCTGTGTTTAGTCGCTCAGTAGTATCTGACTCTTTCCGACCCCGTGGACTGTAACCCGCCAGGCTCCTCTGACCATGAGGATTCTCCAGGCAAGAATACTGGAGTGAGTTGCCATGCCCTCCCCCAGGGGATCTTCCCAACCCAGGAATTGAGCCCAGGTCTCCGGCATTGCTAATGGATTCTTTACAGTCTGAGGCACCAGGGAAGCCCTAGAGTCCTGCTACTAGCAGCAATTTTTATTAGAGAAACAGAGTAGCTGGGGAGAAAGGGAGCTCAAATAGTTCTATGTTGCAGACATATAAAAGTATAACCTATTTTATTTAATTTTGGCTATGCCACATGGCAGGTAGGATCTTAGTGCCCCCGACCAGGGATTGAACTTGCATCCCCTATATTGGAAACGTGGAGTCTTAACCACTGGACTTGGTAGTCCAAGTAAAGCCTATTTTTAAGGGTTTGGGGGCTTCCATGGCTGTCTGGTAGTTAAGACTCCACTTTTCCACTGTAGGGGGTATGGGTTTGAACGCTGGTCAGGGAACTAAGATCCTGCATGCCACATGGCAGAAAGAAAGAAAGAAGGAAGAGAAGAGAAAGAAGGTTTTGGAGAAGATTTACTGCTTTGATCGAAAACCAGAGCTAAAGTGCAAATTTTAAAACACAGCAAAAGACAAAGGTTCTTCATATTCTGAGTTAATGTAGCAAGTATGACATAATGGCCAAGTGGACCAAAACGCAGATACTCACATGCCATTCCTGCAACCCCGTGGCCATTGATAATGAATTCCTGCATGCAGGAATTCCTGCATGCAGTCCCTATAATAATTGCTTATGTCTTTGCCCTCTGACTATAAGCTCCCTGTGGGTTGAGATCCAGTCTTAATTCCCTTTGTATTCCTAGGACTGAGTACACAGCATGACATATATTGCAAGTAGTGTTCATTCATTCACTCATTGATTCTTCTAGCAGATATCTATTGAATACCTAGTATATGTCAGCCCTGGAACTGGTACCAGAGATAGAAGTGTGAGTAAAAACCAAACACAGTCACTATCCCATGTAGTTTACAGCCCAGTGGGAAGACAGACATTAACCAAATAATCGCACTGATGAAGGCTTAATTAAAGGTTAGATTAAAAACTCTGAAGGAAAGAATACGTTCATTGAGGTAAATGACAACGGAACCTAATCTAACTTGGTGGATGCAGTAAGGTTTCCAAGGAAGGGCTGTGTCTTAGAGTTGACATAGAAGGATGAGCAGGATTAAAAAGGCAAAATGCAGAAGGAAGGGGGAAGGGGTCTGGGCCGAGGTTGCAAAGGTCTGCATAGAGAGAACAGAAAGCTAGGGAGAGAGCAGCAGTATGATGCTAGATAGACAGACAGTGGCTGCCTGTCTGACAAGGCTGGGCTTCTCAGGCCATGTTAGAAATGTCATGTTTATCTGGAAAGGAATCTATGGAATGTTTCTAAGGAGGGACGGGGGATGTCAGGGCTCTGTAAAGATCACTCTAGTTTCAGTGTGGAGATAAGATTGGCAGGGTGAGGTTCCCAGGTGCTTCTTCTATGCTCAGTAGTGTGCTAGGCAATATGAAGAGTTTTATTGATATCTGTATTTATGAGGGATGGGGAGAAACTGTCTGTGCAGGAAGCAATTATAGAACATTACAAAGCAGCTTGTATTCAGGGGCTGTTTTATGGGTTTACACACTACTTGTTGAAGGAATTCTGGGAAGGTGTGAAAAGGTGATAAGATGAGAGTGGATTGTGTGTGTGTGTGTGTGTATAATATGGGGGGAAAATAAATTGTCTTTTGAGAGACGCACTCTGTATACTACCATGTACAAGCACCCCTACCCTGTCACTTAGCACCCAGTACTGTAATTGCTTGTTAATCTGACTGTTACCCTCACTAAGCTGAGAACCTGGAAGGTAGAAACTATTGTTTTTCTCTCAACTCTCTGTATCAAGAACAGGGCAGAACATATACCTGGTGCTCTATAAATTCTCACTGAGTGGATGTATGGATAAGTGAGCAGATAAAAGATGGATGGGAAAGTGTATATTGCAGGGCCCCCAACCCCTGGGCCATGGACTGGTACTGGTTAGGAACTGGGCTGCATAGCAGGAGGTGAGCCGTGGGTGGGTGATCAATGCTGTTTGTTCCCCATAGCTCCCCATTGCTGGCAATACTGCCTGAACCATCTCTCCCCATCCCCACACCCCCACCCCAGTCCATGGAAAAACTGTCTCACACAAAATCAGTCCGTGGTGCCAAAAAGACTGGGGACTACTGGACTGCTGGACTGAGGTCACCTCGAGGGTGAGGCAGCTGGAGTGGTATGTTCACTTTAGGGAGGGAAGACTGGCTGGTTTGAAAGGTAGGACCAGATGCTGAAGATCTTGAAAACCCTAGGCTGTGGATTGAATCCAGTGATGAACACTTTTGAGGGGAGGTAGATGTTGAGCCTCCTCCAGAAGTAAAGGGTTCTCTCGCTGAGGAAGTTTCCCAGTATTTCAACCCCAATGCCTTCTGCAGTCTAGAAATCCGCCCTCCCACCAATGAGTCTGGGAGAAGGGAAGAAGTCACTGGGGGCTCCTTCTTCAATAGGGGCCCCCGCTGTGGCCTTCCTTTCCCCTGGCTTCACCTGTAGCTCCGTGGGAGGGTAGAGATGGAAATCAGCCGGGGTGCCAAGCCTGAGCTCTGCTAGCCTGTCCGAGCACCGTTCCAACAGAAACTGAACCCATTCTTCCCAGACCTGTTTTCCTTTCTGTTTCTCACCAGATGGCTCACGTTGGGAAATGTTTATTTGCCCAACTGTGAGAAATAGAGCTGGGTGTGATACTATCTGCTTGTAGGCAGCTATATTTGCATTCTCTGACAGTGTTGCGTGGGAGGGGTAGTAGAGCAACTGTGTGTGTGTGTGTGTGCGCGTGTGCACACCCGTGTGTATGGTAGTGGGGTGGGGTGCAGTTTGGGAGCATCCAAATTCTCGAATATGGGAATGTCAAAAAAATGTTCCAAACTCTAAATGGTTGAGCGGTCATGTGCACTGGATTGCCTTGAGCTTTACATGTGATTAAGAAAAAGGGTTAGAATTAAATAATCTGTATGAAGGCCATAAAAGGGAAACTGTTGTTTAGTTTAGTCTCTGAATTAGTCTCAAAAATGCCTACTACACGACCAACCTGGATCGGAGTTACCTCCAAATAGAACTGTGCTTGAAAAAAAAAAAAAGACTCAAATGTAAAAAGAACTGTAAGAACTCCGAAGGCCAACTCCACAGCTTTTTAAGACCCTCCTGACTTGTCATGTCTTTTGGGACCAATTTCTCCTGTCTTATTTGGCCAAACTTTGATCCCAGAATGGGGAAAGAATAAAAAGCCCTACTACTATTTGCAACAAAGTTTCTTGAGCACTGATTATGTGCTGGGAGCTGTACTTTTCATACATTCTTATCTCTACGGATACAACACTCTAAACAGGGGCTCTGTTATGCTGAGGAAGAAACTGCTTCTTAGAGGGGCTCAGTGGACATGCACAAGGCCACAGTCAGCAAATGACTGAGGTATTATTCAAAATGAGCCATGCTTGACTCCAGAGCCTGTGCTTCTAATTGCACATACCAAAGAAGTCAAGTTTGTTAGGAATACCCCCAGCTTTCCCTTTCTTTATCTTTCCTTCGCCAAGTTTCATTTAATGCGATGAGAAAAGGGCTGTGTGCTTTTGCCATTTTAGGACACACAAGGCCAGTGTCTTTTCTTTTTTCTATCAGTACTTAAAATTGAGAAAGGACATGCTGCCTATTTCAGTTTAACCTGACTCCATGCTCTTGGTCTCCTCCTCCAGGCAAGGATATTTATTTTATACGTTGAAGGTCTAAGTGTCATGTTCTAAGTCTTTGCTATTCACCACATCAAATACAGTATAATGTAGCAAGTAAACACCCATTGCTTTGAAGACTCACTCAGATTCAAGTTTAACTCTGCCATTCAATAGCTCTGTGACTCATGTAAAAAATTATTAATAAATAGAAAGCTTGATTAAATTGAGCCAGGAAACCAGAAGGGGGAGCTCTCACATCCTGGGACAACAGCAGAGCCCAATACGAACGAAGAAGGAAACCTCTTTTTTTCTAGCAAGGACTCAGTTAAAGAAAACTCATGGACTCTTTATTACAGCCCTCTTGACTTCCTTGTCCCCTCTGTAAAACGGTTCTCCTTCCCTTGACATATGGGGGCTTGTACAAGTCTCCCCATGGTTATAGACCCCAAAATGCAATTCTCTGCTTGTCCCAAATTAAACCATCTTTGCGGGAGAAATATCTGGCAGTCCGTTTATGTTGGTCAACACTTAGTTAATTGACCCATATAAACCATAAATGGGGATAATAAGCTTCCTCTAGGATTAATCATTTAGTCTACATACATGGTGCTGGGTTCTGGAGATACAGGCTGTAAGATTTAAATAACATACGTGTGGTGCTTGGCACAGGACCAGCAGATAGTAAAGGCTCAATAATGAAGAGTAGTTATAAATAATAGAGCAAAAGGCTATTTCTCTAGTAGCCATCACTGGGCAGGAGGCAGAAAAATGAGGTATTTTCTGAATGAAATTCTTGAAATACTCTTGAATAATTGAATATTGCCTTCCCCTGACTGAAGCCAGCATCCAAGTTTTAAATTGCCATCTTTTTTTTTTTAAGACACTTAACATGCACTTTACATGTATTAACTCACATATTTCTTACAAGTCCTTAAAGTAGGTTTTACTATATCATTTTATAGAGGAGAAAATGTAGGCCCAGAGACATAAAGAAACTTGCCTGAGATCCCACAGCTAATGATATCTGGGCTGGGATCTGAACCAGCTATTCTGAGCCTGTGATTTTCCCTCCTCTCTAAACTCTCCACCTTGGATTCACCTCTGATTTCTACATCTTATAACTAGGGAGCCAGCCCTGAGGAGCTCCAGAGAGCCACCCTCAGGCAGAAGATGGTTAGGAAGGCTATGCTGTTCTGGGGGGATGTATTCAGAGACCCTGTGTTCCCTGGATCTTCCCAGGGGTGTTTCACTGATCCCCGTGCTCTTCACACGTCTTCCTGCTGTGTCTCTATGATGTTGTATGTGTGCCTGAATGCTTAGTGGCTTCAGCTGTGTCTAACTCTTTGTGAGCCTATGGATTGTAGCCTGCCAGACTCCTCTGTCCATGGGATTCTCCAGGCAAGAATACTGGAGTGGTTGCCATGTCCTCCTCCAGGCGATCTTCCCCACCCAGGGCTCAAACCCACATCTCACATCTCCTGCATTGGGGCAGGCAGGTTCTTTACTACTAGTGCCGCCTGGGAAGCCCCTCTATGATGTCACCTAACAGCAAGCCAGCTCCCCCTGAAAAGCCTCTCTTCCAGAGCCCAGGGGCAGAGGCATGGGCGTGTGGGAGACAGGGTTACCACTCTTGCTGCCAAAGATTAAAGCATTCTGTCAGCACAGCCTCTGCTCCTTTGCAGCCTTGCTTCTGGGTTTGACTGGACCCGAGTGATGCCAGGCCCACCAGCCTTGCCCCCAGTCTGCTCACTGCCTGAGGTTTGCTATTGTACCGCGGCAGGAACCACCCTCAGACTCAGCGCATGTGACCTGTGCAGTGCTCAGGACTCCGCTCAGTTTAATGCCCTGCTGTCTCCATCTTGCAGTTCTTCATGATTTTTGAACAGGGGGGTCTGCACTTTCATTTTGCACCAAGCCTCACAAATTATATAGGTAGTCCTGTTCAGAGACCACCAAGGCCTCAGGGTACAGGAAGCCTGCCCAGTGACCTGAATCTAAAGGAGGTCACAGGGGACTTGGAGGAGACTTTGGGAAGGCAGGAGTCCTACTTTTAGATTTGCATTTGCAAGGTCAAAGCAGACTTGTGGACCTCAGGAAGCTGGAGAATGAATTCAAACATTTCTTTGGATGATGTGCATTTAACAGGTTACCATCAGTTTTCCTAATTATTCCTGGTGGCTTAGATGGTAAAGAATCTGCATGCAATGCAGAAGACCAGGGTTCCATCCCTGGGTCAGGAAGATGCCCTGAAGGGAATGGCTGAAAACTCTAGTATTCTTGCCTGGAGAATTTCATAGACAGAGGCACCTGGTGGGCTACAGTCTATGGGGTGGCAAAGAGTTGGACATGACTGAGTGACAAACACTTTCACTTTTCTGTAATTAAACATAATGCCCACTGTACCTGCAGTTTCTTACTGGTAGGAATGTTGGAGTTGAGGGTCAGCAGGAAAGCACCTGGGTCTCTCTGCAACTCAAGTTCTTTGTTACCTGCTTGCCGCAGCCTGAAGTCCTGTTCTTATTAAATCTTTCCTTCTCATCCTGCCAGAAACCAGACCCTGGCTCAAGGTCATCTATTATTTCTACCTTCTCACAGCTTGCTGCCTCAGCTGGCAACCTTGCCCCAGGGATCCCCCATCACTCCAGACTTCCAGCTCCCCTTTCCTCTCGGCCATCAGATGGAGGTCTCACCTGTACTCACTGGACTGTGACTCAGGCAAACCAACTTCCAAATTCTGTCCTTTCTCATGGCCTAGCTCAGATACTGCCAGCTCCTCACCTTCCATCCTTTCCCCTCTCTCTTCCTGCTCTCTGGCTTCCACCCTGTCAACCATTAAAACTGCCATCTCAAAGATCACCCATCAAGGTTAAGAAATTCATCAGCCTTGATCTTCTAGAAACAGGGCTATATCATGACATCTGGTGACCTGAAGCCTTTGGGAGTTCTTCCTCCATAAAAAAACAAACAAACAAAAAACCAACAATAAAAAAACATTAAAACTGATCTTTGAAGACTGAGGTTATAAAGTCATGGTATAGTCCAGTCTGGATTGAATTCATTTTAAATTTCTTATTTTAAAAGGTATTAAAACATTTTCATGAGTCTCTGAAGTTTCATAGTCTCTGGGCACCATGCCTATTGAATTTAATGGAGAAATCAGTCCTTTGAAAACCTGGTAAAGTTGAGGAGAAAGCCTTCATGAAATCTTTTATCTCTGGGAAACCACACTACTTTTTGCTTTTATCACTCCTTTTATTGGAAAAGCAACATAGTTATAAAAAATTTTTTAAGATAACAGCCAACTCATAATCTCATATCCTAACACAATCCTTCATTTGTAATTCACCTTCTCGTCCAGATGGAAAGCTATTTTACATGGTTGATGGTTGTGTTTATGCAGTTCTATATTCTGCTTATTTCATTTCATATTATTTTACTGAACATATTTTCCATGTTCCTACAATAGTCTTCCTAGCCATCAAGTTGACTTATGGTGATTGACTTAACTTTTCTCTGTTGGTTTCCCAGTCTTTTCAGATTCTGATTTGTCTATTTTATCACTTCCTCTTTCTCCTTTCGTGGATTTAATCTGTGCCATCTGATTATTCTGTATATCCTCACTCCTAGGTTGTCTGATTCATGACTTCCACTATGGGCTTTATAAGGGCTGAAGAGAATGAGCTTTGAAGATGATCCTTCCCAGTGGCAATTAGTGTTCTGTGATCTGTATACATGACCTGCTCAAACTCTTTCACACTGCATGGCTTGCATTTGAGAGCCAGCCAGGCCACAGGGCATGGTCTAGTTAAATGCTGCACTCTAGTAATGGGATCTGAATGTTAAGAGACTGAAGGTAACTCAGAGATGATTCTTTATGACTTCATTATTTTACAGATAAGGCAGCTGAGGTTCAAAGAGGTTAAAAGACTTGATTATGGTCTGGAACCAGGGAGCAGGGGTTTGAAACTTCATTCCTTGACCTCAAAGTTTCATTCTCTTTTTTCAATAGCATCCATTTTAAATTTGTTGAAAAGGAAATTCATTTTTTATTGCTGTACCATTAGAATGAGAATTTACATTGTAGAATTAAACTTATGCTAATTTTGTTGCCAGATTTATCTGAATATTGTTTACTGAGAAGAAAAAAATTTATAATACAATTTTCAGTTAGATCCATACTTTGAAATTGTCTCGACTGTTACAGGAGAAATGCTTAATGATTCATGTCTGTTGGATGATAACTTCACCTGTGTTGTGAATGCTCACTTGTCTCTTGGCCTGTTGATTCACTTGTTACTACCATCCAACAGTCATATCAACTGAGCTTACCTGTTCAGAGATAAAGAGCAGATCAGTCTTTGTCCCAAAATAGCCAGGGCAACATTGGTACTAGCAACCTGCAGAGAACAAAGGCATTCATTAGTAAGATGAGTGAATTTGTCCATTTTGGCCACAAATATCACTACCCATAGCAGAAACATAAACTTCACTTTCATCTCAAAAAACATTGAAAAGAAACAGCTCTTGAAAATACTGTCTTGCAGGTAGGGAGACTAACTGTAAAGACTTTCTGTTTGAAAATCTCCTTTAAATTGTTTTTCATTTTCTTCTAATCTCTCTTGTCCATGTATGTGTGTGTGTGTGTGTGTGTGTGTTTATGTGTGGGTTTGTGTGTGTGTGTTTGTGTAGCATCTCACTAAGGTTCATTGTTCAGTCATTTTCTCTCAGATTGCATTTGGCCTTCATCTACTCAAATAAACTTGAACTCCACCTTGATGGACTTATTTTAAAAAAAAAGAAATTTGGTTATTAATGTAACTGAAGAAAAAGAAAGGGCACACAGCATGTGGTGAAGAGTTGAGAGCTATTGAATGAGAACTGGCCTCCATACCTCCCTCTGCCTCAGTCTCAACCCTGCCCACTCCCGTAATTGATGGATATCGGGAGCCATTATGGGAGGTACCGCCTGTGACGAGGTCATGAAGAAAATACCTGACAGGCAAGGCCGTCTAGGATAAGGGACCTTCCAGGTTGGCCTCAGCCTCTACCCCACCCTGTATCCTCCTCTCTTTTCTGCTGTTGTTCTTGTTCGCCCTGCTGCGGATTCTTGTTTTGCCTGCCAAGAGCTCTCCTGCTCCTCTTTCACTGAAGGAGGACCAACTTAAAAGCTAATTAATAAATCTCCTGGATGCTGGTACCCTATGAAGGGGCCAGTGATGAAGGAAATGCTTCAATTCAAGCCCTTTAGATGGCATTCTGGCTTGTTTGATAAATATGTGCTCTCATTGCACAAAATGCTCATGATTGTTCTAAACATCCTAAACACAGTACACTAACAAAAGAAACTATTAAGCATAGGTCCCTCTGCGGGGTGAGAAAAGCCCCACAAATATTATAGCCACAAATGTGCCTAATAAAAAATAGTTTAGATAGAGATTAGCTGGTAACTTCTTGCAGGTAATTAACTTTTAGACTAAGAATCTGTCTTGTGCCATATCTGCTGTTTTTGCAATCCTTTGCATTTCTGTTCTGTAAAAAATGTAATCCTATCTAGTTCCCATGGAGATAACACCTAATAGAAAGAAAATAGATTAACCACAAAAAAGACAGGGTCGGCTACTGAAGTTGCTTAAAGTTGCACCAGGTGCAAGCCATAAGTTGTCAACAGGCCTGAAAGCCAAAAGATATTATACATAGAGATTAACCATAAAAAAGGCCCTAATAGGCACAGAGCCCTTTGCAGGGTGAGGAAGCCCTATTAGAGAATACAAAAAATATTGTTTTAAAAGTGGTTATTAGATCAACGTTTGATTGATGTTAATGTGCTGAGGTTGTGCAGTGGAAACTATTGTTAATATAGTTGGAGATATAGTAAAATAAGAGTTTAGCCCTAGTGTAAAAACAATAAGATAATTGTTAATTTTAACCACGAGTGCTAAACAGGGGCTGCCTCACCAGAGCCACAGAGTCTTTGTGTGTTAAACTTTTTAGATAAATTTAGCTGAGAATTTCTGCAAAAAGACTGTCTTTTATGTTAACAGGATTGTATTCTATTATGTTACAACCTGCTGTATCATGAGACCGCCACTTTTCTGTTTTCTGCTAACCTCAAGGCCAGAAGATAATGTACAAAAAATCTATGGGAAAAGACTCTCAAAAACAAAAATATACAGAGCACACCTGGTTTCGTGAAGGACAAGCTGATATAACCTTAAACTAAGTCTGTATGCTTATCTGCCCCTTAGAAATGTACCAACTTAGGGTATAAAGGCTACGGTGAAAAATAAAGCAACTGCCAGGCTCTGCTGCATATTCCTGGTCTGGTCTCTTTCTTTCTTTCTCTCTCTCTCCCTAGCAGACTTGGCCCTATCAAGGCCGGTACTACGTGTCTCTCTCTCGCCGACGCCGTTCATCCTGAGGGTTCCCCTGGATCATGCTGGGGCTGGACCCCAGCAGATGGAGCTCATCCCATCCCTCCAAATCTCTGGTAGAACCTGCAGGTCAGTGGTCTACTGCACAGACAGGATTGGTATCCACAGGCTGCCCTCCTGTCCCCGCAGACTTACAAAGTCCATGGAAACGATGGTTTCTGCAGTCGAGTTCTTGGGCTGGGTGAGTATCATGATGGAGGCGGGGATGTCCAGGGTGAAGTTACCTGGAAGTAAACGGATCACAGGAGGCTCTGTTGCCATGACCTGTACCATGAAGGGCTGGGACAAGATGTAGAGTTCTGCAATCTGCAATCCACAATCAGGGAAAGAGACAGAGATCGGGAGTCATGAGATGAAGAGGAGATATCACAAATCTGGGGTGGCCTGTGGTGATTAATCTTACATCATCACAGTTAGAAAAAAGCTCTTTAATAATAATACCAATAACAACATAGCAATAAGAACAGCTGGCATTTACTGAACACATGCTGTGTGTCAGACACATGTTAGGACTTTCAGTATTATTTCATTCAATCTCCACAAATTCTTTGTGAGGCAGGTTCTATCAGGATTCCCATTTCACAACTAAAGAGAGCAAGCCTTAGAGAGATTAAGCAATTTTCTTGAGGTTTCAGGCAGGTAAGCTGTAGAACTAGGGTTCAAGTCTGGGTCTATCTGACTTGAGATCCTTGCTCTAAACCCAGGATGCTACACAAGCACCTCTGGGTCCTCCAGGGCAAACCTAAGCCTTTCAGTACACTGTGCCCAATACTTAGGTGCCACGCCACCATGATCTTAGTAGGTGCTTTACTAAGGTATCAAATGGGTTCCTGGTTGCTCGGATAGTAGAGAATCTGCCTGGAATGAGAGATCCAGATTCAATCCCTGGGTCAGGAAGATCCCCTGGAGAAGGGAAAGGCAGCCCACTCCAGTATTCTTGCCCGTACAATTCCATGGACAGAGGAGCCTGGCAAGCTATAGCTCATGGGGTCTCAACGAGTTGGATACAACTGAGCGGCTAACGCCACTATTACTAAGGTCACAAATGTAGGCCCTGTTCCTTCCTTTCCCTTTTAAACTAATTATTTCAAGGGCGGTGGAACTTATAGAAGGAACAGAGGATTTATTCTGTGAACTTACAATGTCTTCACTAGTAACTTGTATTGTTCAGTTAGTATTTGTAGATATCTGATTAAAAGACAAAACTCTTGGGACTTCCCTGGTGGTCCAGTGGCTAAGACTCCATGCTCCCGATGTAGGGAGCCCGGGTTCAGTCCCTGGTCAGGGAACGATATAGATCTCACATGCCATAGCTAAACACCCCACATGTGGCACTATAAATAAATAAGTACTTTTTAAAAGGCAAAACCCTTAAGAAGGGAAATATGGATGCAAGCTTGATCCAAAAAGGGTTCCAGAAGAACTGCAATGAAAGCAAATACACCATTAAGGAGTCAAACCCTGACACTCACCCGGGAGAGCATGTTGCCAAGGGCTTGAGAGTTGTGAAGCAAATGGTTGGAAATCTGGAAAATCAAGAACATCATGTCACTGGAAGGTTTATACCTGGGTTGTAGTTTCAGGGAAAATGCAGCATTCTCTATAATTTTTATGAATCATGAAACTGTTGCACCAGAAATGCCTAGCGTTTGAAGGTGATCTATCATTTCATAGCCCAACCACAGGAACTCAGAGGCCCACAGAAGTAAAGTGACTTGCCCTTGGTCACACAGGAAGTTACATTGCTTTGAGAAGTACCTTTTTAACCTTGGGAACACAGTGTACATCATGTAGGTATGATCCATATGTAAATGTTTTACAGTGGTTAACAAGAAGTCTTGTTTTACTGTCCTCATTTTCAGAGATTACTGAGATAAACAATGCATAAGCAATTTATCTTCGCAGATGAATGGTTTTCAAGTCTGAAACTAGAAATATCTCATTCTCAGCAGTGTCTAGGAGCTTGTGTACCTCCAGCATTTTGAACATAACATTTATAGCTACCTGTATAATTAGGACCTAGAGAATGGAAAGAATCATAAGGGATGCTCTGTGAAGGTTGTTAGCTGAATGGCTGGAGAGAGTGTTCTCATTACAAAAGGGAGGGGCATGACAAAGAGGATCAGTGAGTATCTGTGCTATTTACTGGTCATTGTAGATGTCAATTGTAATTACCAATAGGAGAGATCTTTATGTTAGCATAACACAAACAATAATAATAAACATGTATGGAGCATGTACTCTGTGTTAGGTATTGCCCTGAATACTTTACATATATTTAAACCTCTTTAATACCCAAAACAACCCTATGAGTATGGGTTTATTATTATTCCCATTTTCCAAATGATGAAAATCTGGCATAGAGATGTTAGGTACATTGAAACTGCCAAAATTTCACAGGTATTCATCACAGGTAATAAGTAGTGAAGGGGGTTCTTAGTATTATTTAAGATCAATCTAGAAGAACATAAAAAGCTGAAATTGGCAGAACTGGAAACCCAGCAACTCTCCAACTAATATCAACATTCATTCTGCAATCCCTTTATTCATCATCCTGCTAGAAGTGATAGTGTCTACAATGGCCCAGGAATAAGAACATTACAACCCTGTAATGGGATACTTAAAATAAGATTAAACATTGGTGTTATTGCTATCATCCATTAACATTCCTCACCTCTTTTGTGGTGAGAGTGAAGCTGAAAGCCCCAGCTGTGAAATAAGCATAGGATGCAGATTTAAAGAAATACTTGGAGATTCCAATGTAGAGCATAGAGTCACCGCGTCCCGGGAGCACAAAAGGAACTGATGGGAAGGGGGGGTATTGGAGACTTCTCAACGGGTAGAAAACGCCCTGTGGGGAAATAGAGAGAAAGGCCAGTGGGTTAGGGGAAAAGTCATCTGTGCAGGAGGTGGACCCACTCAAGTCAGAATGTGGGAAACTGCGGAAACTCAGTAGGGATGAGAAAGCCACGAGTCCTCTGACTCCTTGCCTACGGACTATGTTTCAGCGCTTTGATGACTTCTTGAGCACATCTGAGCATGTCTTGTCCACCCTGGGGCATAATCTGGTTAGAGTGTCCTTGTTGGTCCTCGTCTCAGAGAAAGGAAGACAAGTGCCTGTATCTGGAGGGAACAGCTCTGGATAGTTCCCGAAGTGTCGCGTAGAGAATTAGAGATGTCAAACCTCTGACCTGCAAAACCCGTGACTTCTGAGCATCTGGGGCATCATAGACACAAAAGGACCCAGGATGCTACGTGACTTAAAGCGTTTTTGTGACATTTTAAATCCTGACCTCATTAGCTATAGGCTGTTATTACAAAATGGTGTCCTGTGTAACATTGAACTGATTTGAATGACTTTGAGTCCTTGAAACGTAAGTCTGTATGCATTAAAAAAAAAACAATGATATTAACTTTGGAGCAAATTAAATGTAACCACAGTTAATCACTTTTCTACAATCAGCAAACACCATTATCACGAGCTAATGGCCCTGACCAAGATCAGCAGCCCTCAGTTAAATTTACTAACCTGAGAGTTAGGAATAAATAGAAGTATCAATATTTACAATATATGGATCTGTTGAGTTCTAATAAATGCAGACTGTCTTACTTGCTGCCTCTTAGCCTCAAACCTTACTCCCAGAGGTAGACAATATGATACTCTTCTTGAAGAAGGCAGACATATGTTATGTAATCCAAGCAATCATTTACCAATCAAGAAAGTGTTCAAGAGACTTTTAAAGGAACGTAAACATGAGAGAATTCCTTAAAAGAAAATTAGATTATTGGAAGAGAATGTAGTTATATTTCCTTCTGCACATAATGTTTTTTCCTCGAATATTGGCTGCTAATGGCCAAAATCAGAACTCTGATGATGACAAAATTACCTTCAAATTCAGGTCAAAGTAATTCTCAGTAATTTCTGGGGAACTGACTAGGGAATAATCCAGCAGAGTATAGTTGTCAATCTTTCTTAAAACTAAAAAACAAAGAAAAAAGAAAATTTACATTCATAAAGGTATAGTGTAACACATGATTAATGTTTATCCAGGACAATATAATTCTGAATCCTCTATTATTCAAAACAAAAATTAACTATTACCCTACTTCTTAAGTAACACTTGCTCACTTTTCAAAACTCAAAAAAAGTAGGTAAATCAAAAGAAGAAAGTAAAAACTTTCATTTGTCACATTGCCCTGAGAGAAACATCAATAAAATTTCAGTTGTTGTTGTTCAGTCACTAAGTTGTGTCTTGACTCTTTGTGAACCTGTGGATTGTAGCACCCCAGGCTTCCCTGTCCTTCACCATCTCCTGGAGTTTGCTCAAATTCATGTCCATTGGTACACCAAATTTTCATCCATAACCTTTTATACATGCTCCCAGAGGTGAAGAAATTTGCCCACAGCAAGCTAGGACATGGGGCTCTTCCCTGGTTCTTTCCTCATCTTTTCTGCATCTCCTTACTCTTTCCCTACCTCGCCAATCTATTATTTTTTATTATCTATCCGCATTCACTCATCAATCCATCTGTCCAGACACCATCTCCTTTCATCCCTTATGTATTAAACTACTATGAGTTAAGCACTGTACTGGGTGTTAGGGACACAGAGAAGAGTCAAAGTTCCTCCCCTCAAAGAACTCAAGGTGGAACAGGAAATTAACACGATGTAATAAGAGCAGATCTATAGCTGAGCTCTGGATGGTCCGACTACAAACTGAGTCTTACAGTCTTCCTCACCTTGGTATCAATAAATCCACTTCTTCCAGTTTTCCAGGTGCTCAACATAAACCCTGGGGTCATCCAGGTCATGATTCTTTTCATGATCCACATCCAGTGTGTCAGTAAGTACCACTGTCTCTACCCTCCAGGTACATCCTTAACCTGAACACCTCTCACCATCTTCCTCACTCCATCCAGGTCCCTCCCTTCCGTGCTCATATGGGTCACTGCAGTAATCTCTTAAGTGGTCTCCCTGCTTCCACCTTTGACTCTGTCCTATAATTAATAGAAGCCAGAGTGATCTCCTTAAAATCTAAGTCAGGACATGCAAGGTGCGACCAGGACTCTCCAACAACTTCTCATCTCAGACTAAGAGCCAGCCTTCGTGGTGACCAATAGAGCTCTGAAGCTCTAACCATCTGCTTTCCCCTCTTTGACCTTGTCTCCTGATACTTCCCCCTTGTTGCTCTGTTTCCAGTATGGTCTCCTCACAGTTCCTCCAAGGCACTCAGCATGCTCCCACAGGGGCCTTTGAGCTTGAGATTTCCTCTGACTGGAAAGTCCTTCATCCAGATTAAGGAGCAGTTGTTCCCTACTTCATTCAGGTCCTTACTCTAACGCCACTTGTTCAGGGGTGCCTTTCCCGGCCAGGGTATTTTAAACAACCCTCCCTCCCTGCCCTGCCACCAGCCAGTTTCTTCCCTACTTTAGTTTTCTTCTTACCATTTATTGCAATGATACTGTAGATGTTACTAATTATCTTGCTGGCTGTCTGTCTCCTCTCACTAGCCCCATGAGGGCAGGTATTTCTGTCTCCTAGGCTTACTGCTGCATCTTCAGCACCAAGAATAGCACCCAGCCAATTCCAGATGCTCAGCACATCACTGGGGGATGAGTGGATGGAGGGCAAAGAGATAGAAACACCCAAAGTATCATGTGAGCATTGAGGAGCTGGAACTATGCCTGAGCTGAGCCTTAAAAGATAAAGAGGAGGGAACAGGACAAGGAGTGGCTGAGGGGCAGGAAGCAGAGCTGTGCTTAGCACAGTGCTGGCAGAGAGACAGGTACTCAGTAAACATCTCTTAAGTGAATAAATGGATGAAGAGGAGAGAAGGCTTTTCTAGGCAGAGAGGACAGCAGGATGGGAGGCAAGGGTGTGAGGCAGGAGAAGCAGTTTGATGGCTGGGGCAGCTAGAGGTGGAAGATGAAGTCCAGAGAGGTGAGAAGGAGCTGGACCATGACAGGTGGGTCTTATAGTCCGTGTTAAGGGATTTGGACTTGATCCTGAAGGCAGTTATAGGAGCCACCAAAGGGATTAGAACCAGGGGTAACTAGTCAGGATGAGCATCCATCATTCTGAAGAGGATGGATTTAGTACCAGAGCTGGAATTCAAGCTCATGAGCATTTAATCCTCTGCCTTGCATCTTGTCTTCTGAAGCCATCTCCTCCTGCAGTGAAGCTAGCTAACCAGCAGAAAAGAGCAGGCCCTACACACCCTGGTCAGTCCCCACATGCCCCTTCCTGCAGTGGCACTAGTTTGCAGAGGGGAAAGCAGGCAGGAGAGCTGGAGCAAAGCCCACCTGGAGAGCACCTGAGTGTGGGGTGGGAGAAGAAGCACCCGGAAGAGACGGCTCTAGGACTCACCCTCCAGCTTGCTGAGATTTGCATTCAGTGCCTCCACCTCACCTGTGATGATGGGACAGAGCTGGCCATAAAAGGAAAAAAAAATGCAGCTTATCACATTGTACTGGACATCTCTGTTTCAGAGCCTAGACCCTGCCCACAAAGGCCTTTCAGTGAGAAGACCTTCTCCCTTTGGACTTTCCCTTAAATGAGTTGATGTCCATGGGCCTCAAGTTCATAATGAGTGGGTGGTGTGCCATTGAATGCTGGCTCATCTTCAGAGCAACTGGGACTACACCCAGCTTGCCCCATCAAAGAATGAGCTCTCGGCCTTCCTTCCTGTGGCACGACAGGACGTGTGCCCAGTCCATGTGCTATGACACCTGGGGAACCTGCTGAGCCTCTCCTGATGGCAGGGCTGCCCCTGCCTCTCCCCTCCACGGTCAGCATGCCAGGCCCTGCACCGGGAGAGTTAGAGCAGGGACTTGACTTCCTCGCTGGGCTGCTTTGAGAGCTCATCTGATTAGACATCTTAGATCAGAACTCCTTTTGGAATCAGAAAAGCAATCTTGAATCTCTCCCAAGCACATCTGTAGGAAGGAGGAAAAGGACCAAGGCGGGTGCCGTGTGCTAGGCATGTGCTGAACACTCAGGGTGGGGGTTACGCACAGAGGCTCAGGAGCCTGGCTGCCTGGGGTTGGATGCCTTGGCAAGTTCCTTGGACTCTTTGGCCTCAGTCCCCTCATCTGCAACATGTGGATGATAATTGCATCTGCTATGTCATAAGCATTCAGTGAATGTGAGCGATTGTTAACCTCATTTTGTCTTCACTACAGTCCTGAGAGGCAAGCACTACTGTCCCTTATTTACAGACAGGAAAATTGAAGCTTAGAGAAGGTAAGCAAGTAGATCAGCAGGATTTGAAATCAGGTCTGACATGGCTAGACCACTGTGTCCTTTTCCAGTGACACAGAGGGAACCCTAGAAGCAAAGCATCTATGAGCTCTATGTCACATACAAACTCCAGGCAAGCTTAACTATTGGTTTCTTGTTGGAGGCCAAAGGACCATGGCTTGTTTTGAATGATGGATGAGCAAGGGTGGGGTGACAGCACTCTTTCCCAGCCACTCTTTAACATGCATGTTTGCTGGCAGTCAGCACCTTTCAGGTCAGGATGGAGAAAGATAGGAAAGCTTCAGCATCCTTGGACCAGCCGGGCAACCTTGTTGGACAAGCTGCTTAATGTTTCTGTGTGTTGACTTCCTCATCAACGTTCATTATGCACCTCCTGTCTTCTGAGCTCTGAATTCAACGCAAGGAGGGTGGAGACAACCAGAGACCATCCTTGCCCCTCTTTTCCAGAGATGAATCTCCTTTCTTTTCCCTGTCCTCCTCACCCCTCTCCTTGTCTCTCCAGGAACATGTGAAGTATTCAGGGAAGATACTGTCAGAATTGGAAAGAGGGCTCACCACCAATTCCATCTTTTCCTTCTTCAAACCCTGACTTCTGGAATCAGGGAGTCACCTTAACTTATACTGTTTCACTTGGCTGGAAATATCCACTCTTTTCTCTTATTCCTTACCTATTCAAATCCTACCTGTAATTCAAGGCCAAGTTCAACTCCTGCACCCTCCAAATATATCTCCCAGGATACTTCCAGGATCTATTTATTTAATTTTTCCGTTTCTCTGAACCCCTTCAGTTCAATCTAAAGACCACATAGGTATGTACAAGATTCAAGTACTTATTCAGTTAGTTTCACAAGTCTGAACTGGGTTTTCCTAAACAGATGAGCTTATTCCTTTTTCATATCCTCAACAGACTCTAGCCTAGTGCTGGGCAGGCAGTAGGCACACAATAAACCAAATCTTTTTGGTTGTTTGCCCACCCTGAGGTGAGGATTTGAGGGAGGTGTTTTATTTATCTCTATATCTCTAGCACCAATCATAGTATTTGGCACAAAGTAGGCACTTGAGAAACTATTAAGCTGCAAAGGGTAATGTTTGTGAAAGTGCCTTGGGGAGTGCTTAGCACACAGTTGGTGCTCAGGAAAGGTTTATTGACTTAGAGTTCATCAAAGCATGGTAGAACTGCTGCTGACAGCATGTCACTGTGGCTGGATAATCTTTAAGGACTTACCATTTCATTTAATTTCTTTAAAATGGGTTTCTCCATGGGCTCAGCAAAGGAGTTATACAGGACACTAGGGAAAAAAAAATTTTTAAAGGCTTATACAGAGTCATATCTAGTTAATAACCACTCCTTGGAGCTGCCTGAGAATCCAGCCACAGCCTGGCCACTGCCCATCAGAAGCCCTCGCTCACCTGAGCTCTCCAGAAAACGAGACGTCGGCATGGCTCACTTGAGCATAGCAGTCTTGGAGCTTCAGGATCGGGTGACCAAAGTCATTTCGGGACAGGACAACTATACCGGTGAAATAGACCCCAGAGAGAAACAGGTCAGCTGCTCCTGTGTCTTGGCTATTGAGAGAAAAAGTGCAAGGTTACCCACACCTGGGCAGGGGTGGAGATGGATCTTGTTCCTCTGAATCTGCACCATAGAAGGGCTTACCCATAGGCTCTAAGTCCCACGAGGGCAAGAACATCATCACCTCTGGATTCCTGGCACTTAAAACAGATAGGAGTGGAGCTGGATGGCTCCACTTACTGAACAAATGAAGTAACAAATATGTGAATAGTGACAGTTCTAGGGACCTTGTAGGTATTTCATCCTGAGTGCTCTGGCCCCCATCGTGGTTGGGCATGTTTTAATATTAACCACAATTCATATATGAAGCTTGTTTAGAGGGAGAACACAAGGGTAAAGTGGCCACAGCTTATTTAGGAGGGGCATCTAGATGGGCAGGCGACACTTAGATGTCGTCTGTGAACTCCTTGATGGAGTTCATCTCCAGGCCCCAGGATTTACCTTGTGGCCTGACACAGAATAAGCACTCAATCTATGGTTGATAAGTCAGCAAAGAAAAGAATAATACGTGAATCTCTGCTTCTTATCAGGAAAAATGTCATTTTTCTACTCTCTGCAAGACTGGAGATCTTGAGAGGGAGATGAGTGGTATTCAGTACCATTTGTAAATGGATGCAGTAGGCACTCAATCAATGGATGTTGAACAACCAAATGGGTGAATGAATGTCTTATCCTGGGGCATCAACCTAGGCAGACCTAAACATTACACCCAGGATAGTGACTTGCACATAGTAGGCAGTTTGTAAGTGCACCTTGAATTTGATCCTTTCTTTGTATAGAAGAGTGCAAAGGCCTTTTGGTAGAGGCAGAATTGGGCTCAAGCTGACTACCCTCCTCAACCTCCTTGTGAGGTAGGAAGGCTTGTTTCTCAGCAGTTGCCCTTACAGTTAAGGAAGCATGTTCAAAGACTAGCTCAAGGTCAGATGGTGATTCACTGGGACTCTGAAATGTTAAGCTCATGTCCATGCCTCTAACAATCAGGGACTTCTAGCTCTTAGGAAGTCTTAAATGGCACATTGACCAGTGGCTCTGCCACTGATGCTTTTCAGGCCCCTCTCCCTTGTCCCCAGAAAAGATATTCTGTTTTAAATCTCTCCTTGAAGAATGCGCTTGAGAAAGATGGTTAATGTTAGGTAGTTAGAATAGGAAAAAGGAGTCCAAAATAGCGGTGGTTAAAAGACAAAGAAAGGGGAAAGCCTGCAAAAATAGAACAGAGTAAGGTCTGAGGACTGGAGTGAAAACATGAAGTGAAACAAACAGCCCTCCTGGCTAGCTCAATTTACATAGGGCAGGCTCAGGGGGAGGAGAAAAAACATAAAAAGAGGAGCCAAAATTGAGCCTCTCTCTTCTTTTCTCTTCGCTTCTTTTGGGTTGGCCCGCCCTACACCTCGAGGATGTATTTTCCTTTGCTTGCCAAATAAAACTGAGCTGTAACCGAGCTGTGACACTGGTCCATCCGTCGCTTCAAATTTTTGCTCTGACAAGACAGAACCAAGGAAATTACACACTCCCCCGACAGTTAATGATTGAGGGAAAGAAGCCTAATGTCAAATACATTGGCAAACATGTACAGTTTTTATTTTTTGTTCCATTTCCCCCCAAAATAGCAGCAGAGTTTTCAGTGGAATACTCACAAAAGTGGGGACTTGACTTCCCAGTCTGTGCTGATGTTGGTAGTTCCATGGTTGGTCAGGGCCCTGATTCCAACACCAGGAACAAAGGCGAGTGAAGTATTTGGAAATGAAAAGGCATTGATTTTTATGCTGTAAAACAAAAAACAGAAGAATTAGTGCAACTCTTGTAGCACATATTTCAGTAAGACAAAACTCAAAACACAGTTGTAGAACTCCTGAGAGGAATAGGCAATTATGAATTCCTATAGAGGAAGGGGTCTTCCTTGGTGGCTCAGATGGTAAAGAATCCACTTGCAATGCAGGAGACCCCAGTTCAATCCCTGGGTCTGGAAGAGTCCCCTAGAGAAGTGACTGGCAACCCACTCCAGTACTATTGCCTGGACAATCCCATGGACTGAGGAGCCTGGTGGGCTATAGTCTATGAGATCCCTAGGAGTTGGACATGACTGAGTGACTAACGCTTGCTTGTAGGTATAGGAAGGACCCTCAGGTTTGCACTGCAGCCTCAGGGCACTGCTTCCTAATTCCCTCCAGACCCTTGGCAGGAAGCCCCCTGTATCTAGTGGAGGGGAGAAATGAGCAGGTTTAGAAGCAAATTTGCAAGTAATCAGTCTCCTTCTTCAGTTTTTCTAAAGACAGGACATTGGCATCAGGATCTTTCCCCTCAGCTGTCCCAGTGTTTCTCAATGGGGGGAACATTCATATTTTGGATGGGACAACTATTTTTTGTAGAGGACCGTTGGCAGGATATCTGGCATATGTTCCAACTAAATGCCAATAGCTCCCCCTCCCTCACAATCATCAGGACAGTAAACAGCCTGCCTTCCCTCCAAATGCCCTCTTATGTGGACAGTACCTTCCCTAGTTGAGAAACTTACTTTAGAGCATGGACTCCCCCTAAGGATTCTCTGAGTGGTCACTGGTCACAGGTAACTAGAGGCAGCAGGTGGCAAGCAACAGACATAGTTCAATGGCCATGTGCCTTATGATAAGTTATGATTATGACCATTGATTGAGCAATTGCTACCTGCTTAGGCACTGGAGTAAGCACTTTACATGCATTAGCTCATCTTAACCCTCCCCATAATCCTAGGAGGCCACTGCCGATTTTGTAATCTGCCATTTAGTGATGAAAAGATGAGAAACTTGGCTGAAGTCAATATAAGTGGTAGAACCAGAGATGGAAGTCTCCATCTGTCATGAGGCCTCTTAACCACTAAGCTATAGCACTACAGATATCATACAAAGGACACTCAGCTTGGAGCCAAGTTTTCTGCTAGCTGTATGGCTTTAGTGAAGACACTTAAACTCTTCCAGTCAATCACTTGAAAGAAGAGTGTCTCATGGGAAGGTTGGGAAGACAAATGAGATCATCTGCATATAACTGTTGCACAGGAGAAAGCATTGTTATGAACTAAGATTAGGGAAAATTTTAAAACGTGACAGTTGAAAAGACATGGTTATTACTATTTCCTCTTTTTGGCATCTTTTCCTATCTATTCTCTGTCAAATGTCCTGAGTATCACTGTGGGAAGACAATGGTAGAGACTATTGTATCTTGGAAATATTTTCATTTTGATACATATAGGTCTAACTCATTCTTGGTAATTGCTACAGAGTAATCCAAGCTGTGGATTAAAAAAAATCACTGCTTTGTGTTTGGACATCTAGGATGTTTGTGTATCTCTGTATTATAGACAATGCTACAGTGAATATCCTCATTCATGCTGTTTGTGTATATGCTTCTCTAGGGAGGAGATGTGGAATTGTTGGGTCAAAGAGCACATCTAAAAATATCCTTGCAAATCATCTCCTAAAATAGCACTGCCTGAAAGAAATACAATGTGAGCCATATATATAGTTTAACACTATCTAGTAGTATTAAAAAGGGAAATATTATCATTTCAACATGCAACCAATATATGAGATACCTTATTTTCCTTTTTAGAAAATAAGCCTTCAAAATATGACATGCTTTATACTCATGATATACTTCAATCTAGATATTAAATTTTCATCAAAAGTTTTTCGTTGTTGTTGTTGTTGTTTAGTCGCTAAGTCGTGTCCAGCTCTTTGCAACCCCATGGACTGTAGCCCATCAAGCTCCTCTGTCCATGGGATTCTCCAGGCAAGAACACTGGAGTGGGTTGCCATTCCCTTCTCCAGGGGATCTTCCTGACCAGGGATTAGACCTGGGTCTCATGCATTGCAAGTGGATTCTTTAATGTCTGAGCCTCCAGGGAAGCCCTTCATCAAAACCACTTGACTGTATTTAGAGTTGATAAATTTTCAGCTGAAAAAATTAAAAACTACAGTTCTCAGTTGCACCAGTCATATCTCAAGGGCTCAATAGTCAAATGAGGCCAGCAGCTCATGCTTGACAGCCAGATCTGAAATTATTGTCCCAGCTTATCTGCTCCCACTAGCAATGCATGAGAATGCCTGTTTCTCCTCCTCTTTAACTTCACTTTATATTATGGGAATCACCCTGGATTTTTCTGCTGAGGCATTATCATCAGTGTAATTAAATCACTAATTTTGTAAATATATACTTAACGCTCATCTCTCTCACTGGACACAAAAAGCATGTCTGTGTCATTCTCTGCAGTATATCCTATACCTAGAACAAAGGCTTAGTACACTGTAGGTGCCCGACAAACCCTGGTTGGATGGCTGGGATGCCGTGGTGGTGGTTTAGTCACTAAGTAGTGTCTGACTCTTGCGACCCCAAGGACTGTAGCTGGCCAAGCGTCTCTGTCCATGGGATTCTCCAGGCAAGAATACTGGAGTGGGTTGCCATTGAATGGCTAACTGTAGAGCATCTGCCATATTAGATGGCAACTGAGGCCATATTAGATGGCAACTGAGGCCAGAGGCGGAGTTAAGGATGGGGGAGGAGAAAAATATAAGACAGTTGTATTCTGATGAAACTGTGGGGCTTCAACAGGATTCTTCCACAGCTTCATTAGAGCTTATTATTTGTGAGACAAGACTGAACCCCTAGTTCATCTAAGTCACTCTCATTTTCTGTTATATACAGCCAAACCTTACTTCTAATTCGTGATATCACACATAGATACCCCAGGGAACTGAAAGACCTCTGCTTTAAACTATTTCTCTTCTCGTTCCAAAACACCTGATGATCGTTGAAGATTATCAGTTATACCTCAAAGGAAACTCGGCAGTTAATGCCTTGAACTGGTTGCGGCCTAAGTGCAAGAGCAGTGTCTGTGTCACGGAAATCTAGACGTGTCCGGAAGTTGCCTCTACCTCATTGCCACGTTGAGATCTCTGCCCACAGCAGGTGGACTGGTACCTCGCTGGGCACAAATAGTGCTGGGTGCACAAGTAGGCACTGTGCGTGCAGCACTATTCCTGAAAATCTCTGCCCTTTCCTCCAGTTTCTGATGTTGCACCTGCCTCCTACCTACCACTTAAGAGTCCCCCACTTTCCTCCCGTGGGGAGCATGTGTCTTAGAGCGTGGGCTCTCCTCCTCCATTCCTTGATTGATGAATAAAATTTCTGCTCTGCTTTGCTGAACCTGGTCTCAGCTGACATAAGCAGCATCGGGCAAGAGAAGGACCCAGTTGGGATCTCCTCAATGGAAGAGGGAGGGTAACAGTATAACCTCAAAACTCTATGCTGGGTGAAACAGGATCTGGATCAATGTGGCAATTCTGTTGTTCTTACATTGATGGTTTTACACTATCATTAAGTCTATTAAACTAATCCATGTTCAGCAGCTTCAGATTCTATGAAGTATCTTCACATTTGTTATAACATCTGACTTTTACTGTTTACTGATTTTGACCTTTGATTTAATTGCTGTAATGTGGTAGAAAAGATTGTAACTGCCTCCAGAATTCTTCTTAGGAAAAGCAGTTTATTGGAGAGAAAATTACTTGGAAAAGCATTTAGGAAGATTCTTTGGTACTCAGGAGTGGGTGGAACTGCTACTCATGAAAGCAGGGGAGGAAACTTCCGCTGCTCCAGAGAAGCAGAGAAGGAGGGGAGGTGTAGAGAGCAAGAGGGCAGAAGGCCGCGTGCCTTGTAACCCATTCCTATGACCTCTGACGTCTTGACCAAACTTTACTAAAGTAAGATAAGACTTGATGAGAGTAGATTATGAAACTGAGATTGAACCTGCATCCAGGTTTATGGGGGTAAGTAATGGAACAAACAAGAATTTAATTTAGAATCCTGGGGACAAGGTGGCCACAGCTGGCATCTACATTCAGTTACAATTCTCATTTTAGGGATGAGGAGAGGACTTTGAGACTCTGAGCAGATGTGTCAGGGGCACACAATGAGCATGCAGCAGAGATGTGACTTGGCCCCACATGTTCTGACCCAAATACCACATGCTCAGTCAACTCCATGACCCTCTTGCTTGGGTGAATCATCTGATAAGCCCGTCACCAAAGGTTGGTTAACTTCTCCTCTGTCTTGGTGTTACACCAGGACTCATGGTGGCATAGCCACAACCCGAGATTTTAAAGATTAATTTCACTGCTAAAAATGCTCTTCTCTTTTACTTACTTGGTAAAATTGTAGTTCACATAATCTATTTTCAGAAATTCAAGAGATTCAGAACCTTTTAAATCTGGCAGCTTTCTTTCCTTGGCCATTTGTTCAATCATCTCCATTCCAGCTTGAACAGCTGTGAAGCAACCAAAGAAAATGATTATTTTTTAATTAAAAATTTTAATTGGACTTTTAAAACTGTTTGTTTTTTTGGTCATGCCATGTGGCATGTGGGAATCTTAGTTCCCCCCTGGGGATTAAACCTAAGTCCTCTGCATTGGAAGTACAGAGCCTTAACCACTGGATTGCCAGGGAAGCCCCAGAAAATGTTTATTGATAAAAAAGATGCTGATGGCATTATATCATTAAACACATAAGTGAAATTTATTAAGTAAAATCATGCCCCTAGATACTTAGAAAAAAAGATTCTTACAAGGTGGATATTATTGTCTCCACCTTGTAGAAGAAAACACTAGTCCTCAGAGTCTAATGAAATTGTCTGAGACTCCAGAGCTAACAGCATGAGATTATGTTAACACAGGACACTGTTAGGAAAAATGTAAAGTATCATTATTATCTTGTTTTGCAGATGAAGAGACTGAGCCTCAGAGAGGTTAATTCTTGCCTGAGTCACATAGCTGAGAACCAGTGGAGACCATGGTCAAATCTGGGCAATTTGACTCCAGAGTTTGTGCCTGATGGCCAGTTCCAGAAAATGATATTACACTGTCCTCTTTCTCTCCCAGATTCTTTAAATTCAGGAACTATGGATCTGAGATCCTCCGACGATTAGAAACTCTTCAACCCCCTAAAATTCTAATAAAATATTGTGAAGTATGTGTGTGTGTCCATCTAATTTTTCAGGGGAGAGGGTTCACATTTTCATCTTTTTCTCAAAGGATACCAGCACCCCCCAAAATTGAGTAACCACTGCTTTCGTTTAATTCTGGAATAAGCCCATCTTTATATAATAGCACCACAGAACACACTTCTCTGAGCTTGTGGAGAAATAGAGCCTTCCAGCCCATCAGAATGCTTGAGAAAAGTAATTCACACAATAACAAAGAATGATCTTTTCATTTTAACCTTCTCAAGGAGGAAGCTTTGTTTTCACTCCTTTTGTTTTAGCTTAAACTCATTTCCATTTTTCTATTCTTATTGGAAATTAAGAAGAGCAGATTTATCCTCTATAACACTCTGAATAGCATTGTAATATGGAGATATAAAGACAGAGGTAAAGGGTAGAAAGATGGAACCAAAAGCACTCGCAGACAGCTTAGGTTTGAATCTCAACACTTTGGCTCACTAGCTTGTGTGACTCTGCAAGTTACAAAATCTCCCTGTCCTTCCCTTTCCTCATCTATAACATGGGCATGTCAGCAACTGGGGAGCCATCTGTTCACACACTGTAAAATAAAGTCAGTAATCTTCATTGGGAATTTGCTACTGCAAGATTCTCTTCCAAGTGCTTTATATGCCCTAAGATGTTCACTGTGTATGCATGTGCAGGGGGAAGAGAGGTGGGGGGTGGAATACGAGGCTGTGGCTGTATTAAGATATGCCTATTGTCAAGAGGATTATTTTTCAAGCAACACTTTCCCCTCAGCCTTCTTAACAACTCTGGATCAGCCCACTGTCGAGCTTGTCTCAGTCATGAGATACCCCAATATGAGCTTCTGGATTTGGGTCAAAGACTCCACTTGGGTGGTGAGTACAGCTTGGCTTATGAAAGCATCCAACTCACCGTAGTCCAGGGCCCGCTGAGTAGCCCTCGCCTTGATTCCAGGGTAAATGGCCTGGGCAGATGAGATGTAGAGATTCCACAGGATGAAACATCCCCAGAGGACTTGGACTTGGACTTGGGCCATCTTTGTGCACATCTGCAATTAGCCAACATTTAGAGTTCCTTTATTATGCTTTCTTACTGGCCAATCCAATTTAGCATTTCTAGCATTTCTTATTTTCATTGCTTACTTCCAGAACTCACTCACTCACTCCATCCATCCATCCAGTGATCATTTATTGAACACACCAGAATATGTTCCAGGTGCTAAAGATGTAGAGATGACCCATGTGTGACGTCTGACCCCTGCTTCCCACAAAATAGTGGGTGAATCAGACAAATATACAGATGATTGTAACACAGCAAGATATAATGCAATGCAATACAAGAGTCTTACAATAAATGTAACAACTTGGAGATGTCTTGGGAAGGATATGCTTTGGATATGGCAATGGGATGGAGGAATTCTTGAGTTCTAGAAAAAATGAGTCAGGAGTTTGGAAAGGTGGCCTCAGTGGATGCGAGACCAACACTTATCTGCTTTAAGATCCTTGTTGACTCTCCTTTGCCCACAGGACAAACAGGTTTAAGCTCTTAGCATGGCAATCAAGGCTTTTCATAACCGGCTCTGGACTTCTTCCATGCTCCTGACCCTCTTCTCCTATCTAAGTGGGAGTAGTGCTCTGAGCTGTCCACACCGAGCTATTTGCTGTTCTTCAGTTTGCCAGTTCGCTCACAATTGAGGGCTTTGTCTTTAGCCCTCCCAATATAAAAATACATGCACAAGCATCTCTTTCTGTCTCTCTACCTTTGGGTCGCATACCCACATCTGTGTGGTGAATGCATCCTCCAGGGCCAGCTCCACAGTTCCTTCTGGGAAAGCTTCCCTCACCAGGCCATTTTGGGCTCTTCACCCTCTCCTCTGCACTTCCACCCCACGTTGTACAACACACAAGCATCCATCTAGGCATTTGACCCAAGATGAACTTGCAGACAGGCTTATGTCTTCCACCACTATACGTCCAACTACTGCACCAGCCACTATCACCTCTCACAGACAATTACAACTGTCTCCTCACTGGTCTCTCTGCTTCCCTTGTCCCCTTCTAGCTATTCTTCACACCAGAGTGGGCCTTTTAAAATAAAAGTCAGGTCTTGTCACCCCTGCCCCCGTCCTGTTAAAGCCCCCCAGGGGTTCCTCATCTTACTGAGCATAAAATCCAAAGCCCTTCTACTGACTGCAAGGCCCTGCCCGGCCCACACATCTACCTCCTCTTTTACTTTCCTTTACAGACACACCTGGCTCATCTGGACCCAGCCCCACCGGCTGACTTCATCTTTCTTGATCACTCTAAGCAGCCTGGATCTCAGGTCTTTACACTTGTTGTTCCCTCTGCCCAGCAGAGTCACCTTCCAGAGCCCACGTGGCTGGGCCTTTCACTTTCTTCAGGTATTTCAAGCATTATCTCAGTGAAGCCTTTCCTAACCTGTCTAAATGAAACACGCTCCCCCACGACCTCCATATTTCCCATGCCTCCCTTGCTGCATTTTTCTCCAAAGCACTAGTTATCACCTAGCATCGTTTCCAGTTACTTGTTTATTTTCTGTCTCTCCTACTAGAATTTTAAGGCTTCACCCAAAAGGGCTTCATCACTTCAGCACCTTGAACAGTGACTGGCATCTGTAGGCAAATATTGATTGAATGAATGAATGGCTTGTCTCTTTCTTGAGACCATGCAGTGGGCCAGGCGTGCCTTTGGAGGCCCCGCAGTACTCGGTACAGGCCTTGATTTTCACATGTACAGTCCTGCATTGTGATTGTCTTGTCTGTCTTACTTCTATAATTCCAGAGTCTAGTACAATACCTGGCACATAGAAGACACATGAAAAAACTTACTAAACATCTTCTCCAAGGAGAAAGACCACATCTTATTCACTGTTCTCTTGCTAGTGCTTAACATAGATCAAATGTTCAATGCACACTTACTGAGTTAATGGGTTCAATGAATAATGTCGCTCCATTTTCTTGATGAATGAAGCAGAGGTAGCAACAACATCAGGGATACAGGTTTCTCCTAATGACAGTAGAGTGAGTAATGCATTTACAGGCCTTGTTTCTAGTTCTGGGAGTTTACAAGCTGGGGGACCTGTCATTCCTGTATTCACACAGATACCCACGGAGTTAACACACAAACATGAAACTAGTCAGGGAGGCACTTGAGGGGGTGGTCAGGGAAGAGGAAGTTGTCGGAGCTGTGTATTTAGACAGAGGGAGGAGTCAGGCCAGTTGGGGCAGGGAAGGACCCCAGAGGGGCTGGGATTCAGGAGCAGTCCAGATGAAAGGGAAGGTCACTGTAAGAGGGGTGTGTGTGTGTGTGTGTGTGTGTGCGCGCGTGAGAGAAAGAGAGAGAATCTGTGCTTGGCCAAGATAAACAAAGGACTTCCCTATAGCTCAAGTGGTAAAGAATCTGTCTGTGATGCAGGAGACCAGGGTTCAAGACTTGGGTCGGGAAGATCCTCTGGAGAAGGGAATGGCAATCCACTCCAGTATTCTTGCCTGGAGAATTCCACGGACAGAGAAGCCTGGCGGGTTACAGTTTATGGGGTTGCAAAGAGCCGGACATGACTTGGAGACTGAACAACAACAAAGAAAACAAACATTTGTGTGTGCCCTTGGGTTTGGCCATAGAAGTGGGATTGCAATGAAGCAGACAAATGCACGTTGCAGAGAATTTATCTGAAAGGAGCACAGCAGTCTGACCAGGGGAGGGAGTGTCCTATTAGGGCTACTGCTGGCTTATGTTGGGCTTTTGTGTGAAACGAGAAAGGGTGCCCTCTGGAGATACACCCGCCTCTGTGGGATCAGCAGAGAATGATCCAGGCAATCCCCACACTAGTGTATCCAGCTTGGCGGCAGAGAAAGGGCTGCTCCTCTCACCCCTGGGGCTGGCATTCCGTCCAGTGCACAAGCTGCCCCATTCATGCAATGGGCTTATGCTCAGATTGGTGAATACATATAGGGGGCATTTTGCTAGAGGGCCATGAGATCGAGAATTATAGTCTTGATTTGTCTGTTTTGTATTGCATAGATCCACCTTCAGGTATGAGAAGAGGCTGGTTCAGTCAACCTGCTTACATTTGTCAGCTGATCTGTATATCCCTTGTCCAGAGAAGTTCCCAAACTCACCACACTGTTGTTGTTGTTTAGTCACCAAGTCATGTCCGACTCTTTGTAACCCCATGGATTGTAGCCTGCCAGGCTCCTCTGTGAATGGGATTCTCCAGGCAAGAACACTGGACTGGGTTGCTGTTTCCTTCTCCAGGGGATCTTCCCAACCCAGGGATCAAACCTGTGTCTCCCTCATTGCAGGTGGATTCTTTACCATTGAGCCACTGAGGAAGCCCCAAACTCACCCCATGTTTCCTGATTACTACCCACACTTAGGCTGTTGCCCTTTACTTAGCCTATAGAAAGTCTGTGCATCCTTAAGGTTCATTTAAACATAACCTTCCTTCTGAAGCCATTTATGACTTCCCTAAGCTAATCTTTGGAGAAGGAAATGTCAAACCACTCCAGTGTTCTTGCCTGGAGAACCCCAGGGATGGGGGAGCCTGGTGGGCTGCCACCTATGGGGTCGCACAGTCGGACACGACTGAAATGACTTAGCAGCAGCAGCAGCAGCAAGCTAATCTCATTTCCTTCTGAACCCTCAGTCAAAATATATATTTATTCATGTGCCTATATTTCTTGTTTTTTACTTATTGTCTGTCTCCTCTACCAGAATATAAGGGCTGTGAGGGCAAAGGCCTTGTCTGATTTGGAGGTTTCAAAGCCTGGATCCCTCAGTGTCTTGGACATAGTGAGTGACTGATAAGTACTGATAGAGGAAATCAATGAACCATAAGCAAAGAAATAGCCTTTATTTTTTCCTTGAATATGACATACCTTGTTCTTCTAGGAACACACCCAAGAGAACCCCCTGCCTACCTGAGCCAGGTGCCAAAATGTCCAAAAGAGCAAAGTGAGCCCAGCAGAGAGTTAAACCAACATAGATGTTCCCAGCAGAATGCACATACATTGAAGTTTATTCACACAGTGGAATATTATATAGCAGTGAAGATGGATACCTCTAGCCACAAACAACTAAAAGGAATAGGATTTATTTCACTCTACATTTTATTATAGCTCTTTGCAGAGGTGGTTAAAGCATTTATACACTAGCAGAGCATATTCATCCATTAGAACAGATGTTGGCCACAGTTCTAGAGCAGGGCTGGGGAGGTTAGGTCCTGGATCATGGGTGGGACAGAGGAAGTCTTGGAGGAGTGGCCAGTGTGGGTATACTGGGGGGTGAGGTGGGGGACCCAGAGTAGTGACTAGTTGCTATTAGATACTGAGGTACTGCAATATTTTAAAACTGCTATGACCTCATGCATTCAGCGTGGTGTCTCAGCCATATGGAATTAGCCTTGGTAGTAAAGGACAAGCTACAGAAAGAAACTGGACAGGGCAGGGGCAGGGCCAGGGGTGCAGCTGAGGAAGATGAGGGTGAAGACAACACTCAGGAAAGCACAGAGGAACCAGAGTGAGAGCCGAGGAGAAGGAATTCTGCCAGAAGAGGGTCTCTCTGCTCAAGCAATGAGTGATCTGAGGGTTGGGGGAAATGAGGGGTGGGATAAATGAGTGTGAGGCTCTCCATGTTCTGGGAGACAGGATGACATCAACAGCATCTTATACTCAGGGAGGATGCAGGAGTTAGGTCCAGCTGGACACTACTGAGCGACTGAACACGTGTAGCACGCCATCTATCCTAGGCCTTCCTTGATCCTTTAGCTATTCTGGGAGTGGTCCAGGGGTCCTTGAGAGAGGGATAGGTAGAGATGGATGGGACAATGGGAGTAAGAGGAACACCCCTGGGGCTTAGATTAGTGGCTATTTACCAACTGGCATAGAAGTATTTCCACATTTTAACAAAGGATGAGGACAAACTTATGTGTAGTCATGTTAATATCACTGTAGGCAAAGAATTGTAAATGGATGAGTCATGTCTAGGCAGGTATAAGAGAGTTTTTTTAATTGAAGTATAGTTGATTTAC